ACAATAAGATGGGGGTGAAAATAACCATGTATACAGTATTCTTCTTAGATTGTTTTGATGAGTATCAAGACTAATCACCGATGTCAATCATTTTCTTCCAAAGCCCTGGACGTCATTTTGTTGGTGCTATCGTTCATTGAAAAACATGAAACTTAGAGGGAGTCTGTGTTTCCGGTTTAGGGGGGGGGGGGTCCAAAGTCATTTTTAGGTTACTTTACTATATAAATAAACTGAAAATCCTGGATCCGCCTGTGATTTGATTTGAATTTATTTAATTTTCCAAATCCATTCACAATGTACAAAACAAAAATTTATTATATGATTTAATCATTCGCATCTCTCTGGCTGAGATCCAACAATGTTAGGAAAAAAAATACTTATTTCACCTCCATGTGACCTTCCAGGTGATTATAAGGATTTATTTTTTCCACATTGGACTAAAAATAGATTGAGAAATTCCAAAGTGATACAAATAGTTTCGGAAATGTATTTCAATTGCACTTGGCTTCCACTCAGGTGAACATATCACCCAAGCACGTAGAATCTGGGGTGAGGGGTGGGTGTGGAGCGGGAGAGAGTAGGTTGCAGGGCAAGATTGCCCTGTCCCCACACTTTTTTATAAACGTAAATCTTTACTTATTTAATATAAAATATTAATTGAAGGGCTGGTGCCCCCAACCTCCTCTCCCCCGTTAATGGACCTTAACACCTTAACTCCCCACCCCACCCCAAAACAATTGAGTTAGAAGAATTCCCCTCTTTTTTTGGGGGGAGGAGGGGGCTAATCAAGGATTTTTTTCAGGTAAGTTGTGTTTTTTCCCTATCATAATACCCCCCCTTTTTTTAAAAATCAATCCTATATACATGCCTGACATTTATTTTTTCTACCTCACATCTACCTCGCACCTAAGATAGATTTAAGGAGGCTGGGGGGTCAACAAATTAACCACCAGATTTAACTTAATTTTTTAGATATGATATCTTAAGCTGTCAACTATCATTTGGCAAAGAAAAATTTCAAAAAATTTAGTTTTAAAATTTGATCATTTTCTATATCTTCATATGTAGCTCTTCTTCTAAAAGAGATCAATATAGTCTAAAAATGGCCACAACCCCCCAGCCTCTTTAAGAGTTCTTTACTAATTCAACTGGTTCTGTTTATTTTACCCTGTTTCTCTCATTGCATTTGTCTAAAACTTCAGCAAATGTAAAAAATAAGATGGCATGGATTGCTTAATGAGTTTGCATCATTTAATCTTAATGAATAATATAATGAAGTAATTATTGCTGGCTTTTTTCACTCAATACAATGATTTAGCCACCTTCGAAGTGCAATATTCACCTCGCCCTTCGGGCTTGGTGAATATTGTACTCCTCAGTTGGCTTATTCATAGTACTGACCTCAAACACAACAATAATTTTATAATAGATTTGAAATCTACATCTAAGATTCATTTAGAAAGACAGCCAATGACTTTAAATGGAACAGAGGCAAAGAAAGGTTAGGGGTTTAGAATGTAATAATGTAAGCTAAAGGATGACTGCACTTAGCGCTTGTTTTTGGGTCTTTTTCAGTTGCTTCTTTTGCTTGTATATCTAAACCTTATCTCACTTTTGTATGTTTATGAAAGAATACTGTCAATTTGGAACCAGATTTAAATCTTAAAATGATTTTAGACTGTGATACAATAAAATTATTCAATGTTTTTTGTCCTTACTGCTTTCCAAATATAGTGAATTTACACTTACCTGCCCTTGATTGAACATTAGATATGCATGAGAGGTGGAGCTAACATTGTAAGAATGGGTCTAAAATTAGACTTGATAAATAACAATGACATGTTTGGAAAAGCGAACGTGATCACTCTTTCCAATCTCTTTCTCCATTCTGTATGGCACAAATACACTTCTGACAAAGGTTTCAAAACGAAATTAACAATACGAGCACGTCAATGTAATTAAAGCAGATTTTATGTCAATGCCAGATGACTTAACGTGTTCGAACACAATGTCCTAGTTAGCACAAAACATGCTACCTTACAAGTCACGTGACGAAATTTAGTATTCACAAAGTTACCTGAGGTAAGAAATCACGTGGTGAATTATAATATTCAACATGTCACAATCCTTGGTTACAACACAGAGAGCGAATGTAAGAAGAAGCAGTTTTTTCTCTTTTTAACCATGAGCGATGTTTGTCTATTAATCTCCTTTTGACACATTATTATTTATGCAAATATACAACTACTGTTAAACGTAGAACAATAGACAAACATGCGCTGACTATGTATAAAGTCAGTAAAAAAGTGGGCGTCCTCATTATCGAACGGAGATTAAAGAAATTGTGATGACCCCTGCCTTTGAAAACAGATTCGAACTTCGTAAATACACACTTTTATTAAACGTAATTACATAAAGTTGTATATTGGATGTTGACCATTTTGCAATGAAAAGAAAAATGCTTGTTTTGAAAGTTTATTTTGTCGCAAATTCCGCATGTCCTTAAGTGCAGTCATCCTTTATTAATCATGACGTCAGGTCACAACAAGACAAGTGCTATTGACATCACAGTCGCTTAATCGCTCCTAGTTTATGGTGCCAGAGAGAGAGAAAGAGCGTACTATGGCTCCTACAGAGAGTAAAAATGTATGTAACATTCTAATCATTCATAGAATTATTTTGTTACTGATTTGATTATTCTTCTCAAATGGTATCTTGGTAAACTGTTCACTCGACATCTTTCGTTTGGGGTAACCAGAAATCTACAGGTTTCCGAGATAACCCTCTCACCTACAATACAACATATATTTTATTAAATCTCTTCACAGATACAAAAAAATCACCCTATCCACAGGGATGGATAGAACCATTATCTTCTATAAATAATTCAAGCAATGTTACACCTCTTTGAACGAAAAAATTATTAGGCTTCTCGTATCCCTCTTAAAATAAATTCAACAAATTCCCTGGAGCTTTTGGAAACTGAACGCGAAGATAGCGAGGTATGGTATTCCCTTATGGTGCCTCAAAACATGTGTCCAATCAAGAAAGGAGAGAAAAATGTGTGAATTTTAACACCTTCGGCGACGGGGGTCAGAAGAGATTGGACTAACATCCATCAATGTTAGAGCATCGAAATCTAGGTAAGCAAGGTATTTTCTGTTTGGAAGAGAAGCTTTCTTAGCCATTGTAGACGTTTCATTGCTTTGTGGCAACTTTTTTTATGAACCGCTTTTCCTCGTTTTTATCTGTTTATTTGCATTTTTCCTCCTGTTAAGTGTGTATTTGTTGGGTATACTTACTTTCTATTTCACTCACATGTTTTTATTGTGTAGTTTGACATCTAACTTTGGTTGCATGCAGACGCTCAGACATTGTATATACGGGTGATAAAAACTAAAAAGAAGAAAATTGAACAATCTCTATTTCTCGCCTGGCCTTTGTGAAATCTGTCGCTTTATCAGGGAATATTTGCCGATATGCATGTTTGTTTTACAAGAGCGGGGCTCCACTGTCTCCGAGATAATACCAGGGTGTCTGGGGGATTTTACCCTTCGTTTACAACGTGGATTTTTTTCTCTTCAAAATAAATTTTCTTATGTGTTTAAGGATGATGATAAAAGATGATGTGCGTTTTTTCGGATAGAATGCTTTAAAAATGCATAAATTATTTAGAATCCTTGTATTTTAACTAATCTTTAGTGTTCACAATTCTGTATGCGAAGTATACTCAACCCAGGGAATCTGATATTTAACCGAATTTATTAAGACAGAAATATACTTAAAGGAGTATAGATTGAAAATACTTTGTATTCTATAAAATAATTATATTGAAGTAATGTTTAAAAATGTAAGGATAGTTTAAAATTTTATTATTGTAAGTTGAATAATGGGAGATAATGATTTGAAACTAAATTTGCAAGAAGTGAGTGAAATTATGTACCTTAGCCCTCCATTTATTCCTTTTTGAGTGAAGGTATAGTATGGATTCAGACACTTTTAGGGAAGGGAATTATCATGTTGAATGTCAATACATTTAGTTTGGGTTTTGAAAATGGCAATGATTTATTTAAAAAGTAAATCTGTCAAATAATAGAGAGGGAGATTCATCTATGTTAGAGTTTTAGTTTTTATAAATGTTTTATTATTAATCATACCATTATTCTCATGCACTTAACTGCATTAATGAGGCAATAGATATTTGACCTATATGGCAAAATTAAAAATATAATAATTTTTTACAGAAGTGTGTGTGTGTTAATGGTTTATGTGTTAAAAAAAGATTTACGGTAACTGGGTTAGTTAATAGGATTTTTTAAAAAAAACTAATGTATACTAATTAAGTGTGTTAATTTTACTCTGCAAAATGTGTATGTTAATGTCTCTAAATTAGAGCATTTTTTGCACTTTATTTTCAAATTTTAGAAACAGTTGAAGTTTTGAGTTGGTACAGATTTTTATCAGCATTTAATTTCTAATGCTGAAAAAAGTAGAATGGGATGGCAGGTGGGGATATAGTCAAGCAGACAACCTTAACTCAGATAGTTTTTTTTAACCTCAAGTTAATATAAAAACTGGTATTTTATAACGGAATCGGGATGAAGGATTGAATTTAAATTTAAAAAATAAGTTTTCAATAATAAAGTTTGAAAAATGCAAGTCTGACAAGAACATTTTATGCTTAAAGATTTGGAAAATTTCAACATTTTAATCAGTTCTTGCAGGAAAGCAGGTGAAAAAAAAAACCCAGCATGTTCATAAATCTTTACATGTCAAAAGTTTCTTCCTGTGTGTTCCACTCAGGTGCATGTGAAATGCCAATAAATAAAATTATAGAATATAGCTGTAAAATTACATAATATATATAACGTTTTAGCTAGAATTCATTTTCAGTGCAAGTTTCATTTTGGTTACGTATATACTTTTAAACACCTCAAATCTTGTCTTGTACTTGAAATTTGAGGTGCAATTTATCTTTTTTGCAGCTACAATTTACAGTTTTAGGCCCTGTAAATCAGCCTTTTGGCATTTTCTTGCAGCTTTTAAAGCAATTAAACAAGAAACTTGAGAAGACTAATCCGCAATTTGGAGCCAGTTCCACCTGATATGTATATTATCAAATGTAGGAGATAGGGGGGAAACCGGAGAGATTTGTGGGGCTAATGTCTAGCACATCTGAGGCCATTCAATTGGTTAATTACTGATAATGATGATAAATGATGTTTATTGTAAGATTATGAGAGCAAAATTGTAGCCAGCTAGGAAGATGGAGTTAGTATATCCAGCTTAGGGGATGTGATAAAAAGTTGATCCGAGGTAAGGAAAATTGGTGTCCTTTGAATTATTTTTTTAAGGAAAATCTAAAACAGATGGTGTCAAAATTGAATTGGTTCACAAGAACAAAATCTTTAAAAAAAATAATGGAAAGTACAAATAAACAAGCTTTGCCAAGTTGTGTTGCTAGATAATGATGCAAGTTGTGTTTTTGTCTTCTCAGCATGCACACATTTTCTTTTTCTGAGCAGTACATGTAAGTTTCTGTAACTAAGTTCTAATGGTGATGAAGATAAGGTTATCATTTCGGATATTTATGAGATGCTTGAAGTAAATGGAGTACACATTTATCCCTGTGCACAAAAGGCCGACCTGTCATTGTTGCTTGCAGATTCTGCATTTACATTCTGGAAAAATGGATTGTACCATTGTGTGCTTAAACAGCTGTGGTGTGAAAACTCCATTAAACTGATGAAGACCCAAATGATCTAAAGTGACTCACAAAAAGGGGGCTTCCCAAGGGGAGAATAATTTCCTGCTTGGTTAAGCAGATGGACCTTGCATCAATGGGTTGGACATCAATAAGGCATATCAATTAAGGTCGAGTTTGAATCCAGAGTTTTGTTGTTATTGTTATTGAAGAAATACTTTTCCAAACTGCAGGGACTTTTGTATGCTGGGATAGTCAGTGAAACATTAGCTCTTGTAAGGGATTTGATTTTAATAATTTATTTATTATGCAACAGCCCTAATTTCAATATTTGCAGTGAAAGGATTTTTTCCCCCTCATCATCTAATTGACAATAAAGCGCTTAATTTTCTTTGCAGATTTAAAACAAAGTTTTGATAATATCAATTGTAAATTAAAAAATATTGTTGAAAAAATATCCAAAATAAATTGGAGATTTTTCTGAGCTGTTGCCAAAGAAAGCACAAGATTTCATTTTAAGCTGCCTTTTCATAAAATTATTTATGTCCTTAAGACATCTGACATAGCTTGAGCGGTTTACCATTATTAATTTGTGAAAAGCTTTTGAATGATGGATTTTTCTGATTTATTTTAATCCCCAGACACAGAAACACTGAGCTGGCACAATTGCCTCCTGGTGCCTGATATCACTGCTTGGCTCATTATTGATTGACATCACTTGTAATTTTTCTGATAAATAATTGATCTACTGTTGGACGTGGTCATTTGATGGACAGATTGAGTTGACACTATTTCTGATAGCGGTCATCAATTAATAAATGACCACCTACTGTTATATGCAGACAAAATTCAATAAAAATTCATTTAAAATCACTATTATAATACATGTATGTATTGAAAAGAGTGGGGTTTCTTTATGGGTATTTATTTGTTAAACTTGAAACTATACTGTGACTTAATGTCCTTGGGAAAAATTGACAAGGAGGCAATAGAAATTTGATAGATAGTTAAATAGCATTTACTCACATAGATATTTGTTTTTACTATGATTTGATTTCAAGACCATTTTTGTCATATATCCATGCATGCAGCTGCCTATATTGAAAGATCTTTATATAGGTTGCTTATATTAATTATATGATATTACATTAATTATGACAAACATCCTTATGGGAAATGTCAAATATACCAATTCCATTCTGCATTATAATGAATTGTTTCCTTGCTATAACTTTGCAAGGGTGAAATCAGTACACAATTAGATGTGTTCCTGCTGGAGTGATATAATATCTTTGTACGAGAAGGATGTTAATATATTGCAGTGGGTTTTGGACAACTTTAATTAAATTGAATAGCAACATTGTTACAATCCATTTCAAGCCTTAGTGTGAATTGCATGCATGACTGTGATGGAATGTTTATTAGGATCAAGTTTCAGGTTGAACCCATTCATCCTCACGCACCTGGGTTTTAACAACACACCTTGTTGCAAACACTGACTTCATGAGTTATTGTCATTTTGCTGTGCATTCTTCTTCCAGTTTGCCAGCAGCTAATTACACATCACCAGGAAATTTTCTGCTGGGCTGATGAGAAGACAGACTGACATGTCCAAGAGTCAACCAGGGAATTGAAACTAACAAGAAATTGCAGGATGCAGTTGTCACCATGGAAACGTCACTTCGGCTTTGAAGGTATTTCTTAAGAAGTTCATTGTATTTTCCTTTATATTTTCCCTCTTTTGTTATCTTTTTCATAAGGTATATTCGCATTTCTTGCTTTTATGATGTTATTTTTTTTCCTGCAATTTTTGATTCATTAGAAAAACTAATATAAGCCTGAGAGTGACGGGGGAAAAAAACCTTAAGATCGATCGATATCATTTGCCATTGAAGTCAGTGAGCTTTTGATTGCAGTGATTGCATGACTATATGATACTGGTTCCAGCCAAAATCAATTAAGACATTAGATACACTGTAATTATTTTAACTAGTTATTTTTTTCAACCAAATGTCAATACTTGAACAAAATACGGGGCATAAAGTCAATTTGAGATAATTTTTGTCTGTTGTTTTATTGGATAGATATCAAATTTGCAGTTTGTGATAAATTATGTATTATGCGTAGAAGTATAATAATTGCATCATTTCGATTTTTCCCTGCAAGCATTCTTTTTTGGGTAGGATTTGTCAGATTTTGAGTAAACATATTTAATCGGGGTAATTACTGAATTTTTAACACTTCAAAGACATTGTTGTAGAGAACTTTTGTTGAGCGGTGAGACACCTATGGTTTTTTTTCTACCTATCAAAGCTTAGTTAAGGGGAACTGGTCAAACAATCTTTGACAAATATCCATTGTGAATCTGATACTTAAGTCAACAGATCTCAAAGAAAACTTGTGTGATTTTAAAATTCAGTGCCTTAGAGTAAACATTCCTGTTTCATCCATGTGGTGTTGAAATTACAGCGGGCTTTGTCGGTGAAAAAAGAAGTTTTTTTTTTCAAAAAGTTTTATGAAGGAAGGATGTATCTTGGAAAAAAAACATTATTCTTTCTAGTCAGGACTAGAAAAAAAAATCAATTGTGGTAATTATTGATGAAAGTTGACCAATTGTAAGATGTGATTTATTTGCGAGTGGTCCCAGACTGTAATGTTTTTCCTCCTTTATTGGCAGGTTTGATGCGTCTCCAGAGAAACCACAGAAGAAATAGTTCCTAATCGCTACAAATGGAGAAGCATCTGATACCATGGAGATGTTTCACTACCATTTATGGTGAAGGCTTATTATTGGATTATGCGAACACCGAAAGAAAAGTTTGCTTCAGTTAGGTGATATATGGATCTTGATGTGTTTGTGATCTGATACTGTTTGTTACAATGCTTGGGTTTGGATGATGCCACTTAAAGTGTACTAGCCATGGTACTAAAAGTGCGCAGAAGATCATGGCGGATTTTGATTGTGACAGTGTCGCTGATGACAGTGGGATTTTTGTGTGTTTTAAATTTGCTGGTTCATGAATTGAATTTTTCCGAAAAGATTGTGAATAGAAAGAGTGAAAATGAATTCATTCTCGAAGACCCACAAACCTATATTGCACAAGGAATTAGAAAACCTCAATCAGCCATTGATAAAAGTGACCAAGATAATGTAAATTTAGACCAGGGTTCATATAGAAAGTATATTTTTACATCCCACAACAACATTCCAAATGACATTGATCCAGATATTGGACCAGATGAAAGTGATGAAGAATACACAAATGGTGAATTAATGGAAGATGATGACGATGATAATGATGATGAAAAGGACAACACAGATGATGAATTCCATGAAAATCTTAAAATTAGTCCTCAGCTGAAAAAACAGAGGATATTTGAACCTCACGATTTCCAGAATATGTCCAAGTTAATATTTGCGAAACCACCTTTGCGATTCCAAGAAGTTCCTATAATTAATGGAAAACAAATGGTTGGAGTAATAGCAGAATCTGATAGGAGGAAATTCTCTGGAAAGCTTGCCGTGTCTGAGAGGATCTTCTGGAGTGCATTTGTAGAGAAAATGGTGCCCAAAGGTATCCCCCCAAGAAAAATATTGATATAAATCACAGGAGTTGTCTGTTTTTATAGATAGGATCATATAAATATCTGCCCATTTTATGGGGAAGTGAAAAATGGGAGCTCAGAACATATTCATCATGAATGGCTATTTGAGTGGTAAAAAGGTTTTATATCACATTTTTACAATCAGTTGTGTAAAATGAAGGGGTGATAACTCTTTTAATTAATATTTAATCACATAAGATACAAAATCATATATATTATAAAATTTTAAATTACAGTTCTTCATTAAACCAATGATACTGATTTGCTTAATAGTGATGAAATTTGTGGTACCAAATTTGCATAATGCGTTTTAGTAAGAAATTTAATCCACATCATATTAAGTATTGAAAATTCAATTTATTGGGAAAAGTTAAAGTATTACACATTAAGTAATAGAAATGAAAAAAAAAATCATTTACAATTAAAAGTACATCTAATTAGAAAAGCAGTCTAGATTGAAATTCTTCGAAAAAATTTTTCCCTTTTTTTTTTTGGTTAAAAATTAGATGCATCTTTGATGTTATCTTATTATAGTTTATTTCTCAGCAAATCCTTCTTGACTCGCTTTTAACAAAAGGTAGTTGTTAGGACAAACATACTACTAAAACTCGGTGACGAAGCATGCACAAGAGCTGAATTATTATGTTTTTACAGCATAAATATTTATGTTTTATAACAATGAAGATAATTTTATGACCAAATGTTAAAAAGTTATAAAATGCAGGATATCTTTACAATATTTTTCAGATTGCGATCGCAAAAGGGGTGTTTAATGGTTGCAGTGAAAAAGATAAATTAACTTCTTTTAACACACACATATTGAACATGGGGGCTGCATACTAAATACCCGTTTTTGTTGGGAGAACAGTGAATAGTAAACCTATACCCACTGTTATTTGAGAGGCAAGAACCCAGTGAACTGGGCCATTTAGTTGAATTCAGACACTGATAACGATCTAAATGTTAAATGATCAAATATTAAATTATAAAAAAAATCCCAATCATTTAAACCGACAGTAAAACACATTTTTGACAGGTATGAGGGAGATAAGAGCTTGTAGCTGGCCAGGTAAATGATAGGTATTACCTGTGTTCTGTGAAGCTTAAAAAGGGGTTGAAGGTCAACACGTTTCTTCTCCTGTTTTACATGAAATCATTTCTGGTGATCAGATTCGATGGGTTGGTTTGGAGATATGTTGAACATGTGTAAGATCTATCACAGATAGATACAGAAACTCATTTCATCTGTTTATATACCCCCCTCGATAATGTTTAAGGGGTATTATTTTGTTTACAGAATGTTTTTCAATTTTCATCATTAGTAATTTAACTGAACAGTGTGTGTTGAGGAATAAAATTGGCTTTGTAAAAAATTGGTGTGAATTTGTGCACTGGTCATATTGCATTAATTTCCACTCCAAGTAGCAACAACAAACTGCCATTTTCTCTCTCTCTCTCTCTCTAATACATAAATTTATCATATGAATTAAATTCTACTGAAATTTAGTGACATCCTTCATATTATATATTTTATTTGTTGCTATTTGTAGTATATATCTTCAGTGTAAAATTTCTTCCATCATCATGATCATCAGTATTATATCACATTCATAAAGTATTTTACTATTTCTATGTGGTTTTGAGACCCAGTGTCTTTGAAATGTTCATTTGATGAAAAAAAGGGAAAAAAAAGTTATGAATTATAAAAATCTTCTATATATATTCTGTAATGGGAAGAAAGTGTTTTATATTTGCCCAGTTTTCACACATAGAGGCTTATGGCGCGTGCCTGGTCTCTGCTTTCAAATTGATAGTTTCTGTAAATGAATTCAGTCCATTGATTACTTTATCTTAATCAGAGACTGACTTAATATCACTCTGTAGTACCATTCAAATACCCTGAACAAGTTTATTCACATTCTGTTATTCAAATTCATTTATTAAATGTATATTGTAGCAATTGATAATGATTATGCAAGAGTGCTAATATTGTTGAACTTTATTTTCATTAATCTTTCACTGACAGTAAAGAATGCCATCAGCCAGTGAATTTCAATCTATCATAGAATATCCCCATGAGAGGCGCATGCAAGGCTCAATTTGAAAATAGACACCTCAAAGGAAAATGGCTAAGATAAGAACCCTCCGATTTCTTTCATTATTTTCACCACCTTAATTAAAAGCCGAGCTCCAAATTGTGTTCATTACCTGAATGCATGATAATGTAGCATATAAAATATGTACCAAGCAATCTCGTGTTAAGATCGAGGGTTAATGAAATATTCTGACATTCAAGAAATATTGGATTTTTTCATGCATGCTGCATTTGATTTGTATTTTGATGAGGGCTTTTGGTCTCATCTTTGATTACTTGTGGGAAGTTTCCAAGAGGAAAAAGCTCTTCTTTGCATGAAAGGTATCAGAGTTGCTGCCAGCAAGCATTAACAAAACCCTGATAGCGAAGAATTTAATAACGTGGGTAAACAGCTGTGTTCGCACCAAAAGAAACACAGCTTTAATAGAAAAAATCTATTACTGTAATGGTTAAATCAAGCAGGTAATTTGTTTATTACTAGGAGTAACCTAAGATGGCGAGATAACTTCCTACTCACTCAAAGGAAACACTTCGTAATAAATTCTTGCTATCTGTTTAACAAAGCTTATACATCTTCTGCTCATACATGTGTAACTCTGGGCTATTTGATGTGCAAGAAATGAATGATTTTATATGATAATAACTAAAGATTTTTCAATTATATTTCTAACGTTTCAAAGATAATAAAATTTTAGATTTTTATTCGTATTTTCAATTTTGCATGCATAATACTACTAGTGAAAAGGGTATATGACTTGACAAAATGTGCCAAAAATATTGATAACAATTATTCTGCCTTGATCTTGTTGGAAATTGAAAATTCTATAGGTAAATAATTTTGTTCTCTGTATAAGGGAACATTAAAAGTTATTTATAACAGTTTGCTTATTCTACAGCACATAGCACATTGAAAGTAGTTGTTTACACACAATAAATTTGAACATGAAAACATTCTCAAGATAAGCTATTTTTGCTATTAGAAGTATTACTATTTTGATTTACATGAGGAGTTGAGTTTTGTGTCGAAAACTAAGTAAATAGATTACCTAGCATCCATCATTTTAGGTAACTTGAGCCCCTCAAAAGCTAAAATAAAAGTACAGTTAAACTTCAGTATCTTGAACACTGATATCTCAAATACCAGGGAAATGTTGAAATGAGTTGGCAGTCCCAACCACTTTTCTTAATGTATTTCAACCTCAATATCTCGAATCCTTGGATATCTCAAAGTTTAAACTTGGTCCCCTCCGAGTTCTACAGAATAAGGTTTGACTGTACATCAATTCACACAGCTTTACCAGTAATTGCATTCTTTCCTAGGAATTGTTAGCAGTTAAAGGGTAAATTCTTTTGAATTTTTAATTTTTCTCCTGTTAAACAATTATTTGGTGTTACAAAATGTTCTGTTATGAAACCAGCCACCATTTTATTTGAATTACCTATGTACTTAATAATTTTCTTATTATAAAAGGATGTAAGTTGTTCATCTGTCTCAAACTTGACAAAAAAATGTGCAGCAATTAATGTTGTTTGAATTTGTATACAGTCAAACTTGTCTAAAATAACATCCTGATGTTTTGTATTCCCAAATCTGGCTCATTACAATGAAAACTTTTAGTCCCTTTCAGCTAATTCAGTAGTTTAAAATGCTGTTTAATACATAGGAATGTTGTTTAATCTGGCCAATTTCAATTTCTATGGCACCAGTGATGTTCGGGTTATGCAAGTTTTACTGTATTTTCAATTTGTATAGCAATGAGTGTAAAATTTCAGTGCTGAAAACATTTTGTATAGATTTTCTTAAAATAAAATTAATATTCTCTATCTTTCCAGGTTTCTCAGATGAAGAAGTGTTCAACTATACCATAAATATACAATCTCAATCTGTGGACAAAGTGGAGCTGGCCTCTTGGAACAAGTGTGGACGACCCAAGAATGCTTACATCACGCTGAAGAACAAGAATATTGTGTGTGCTCGCTATAGAGACTCCCACGTCAGGTTCATTCTGGGTAAGATTAGTGGAAATTCATTGAAACAATTTAGTATTTGGCTCATCAGTTAGGGGGTTAGGGCAGGTATAGGGAGAGGGTCATTGACCATAGGGTCAAGACTTTAGTGACAGCTTGATACAGCTGCTTTTCTACTTTGTGGTGAGGATGATTCATGAGCAATTTGATTAGATCACTTTTCTTGTATATATTATGAAATAAATAAATATGCTAACAAGCATTCCTATTGACATATAACAGAAGGTAGCCTATTTCAATGTAAATAATCTTTTTTATAAATTATTGAGAGTTCAGCGAAAGGTCACTCACTGTTAGAGGATTTGTTATTAAAAGAAAACTTTAGAGACTTTACTATAATAAAGAAATGGTTTTATTGGGGTACTGATATTTATCTCCTGTCACATGCTGGATAAAAAAGATTTTTATTAACTAAATTTGTAAAGCAAATCCTTTTTCTTTTCGTCTCTTGGTACTTAAATGTCAAAGGTAGATAACTGGGCAGTCAATATGAGCTCCTTTTTGTGTGTTTTAGGTGAGGTCTTGTCCTTCTATCTGTCTCGTTTGTTGGGGATGGATAATGTCCCTGCTGTGGTCTTATCCACCACCGTTGCTGGTCAGTGGTCAAAACGTAATCTGGACAGACTGAACTGGAAGGAGAATCAGCTGGTGGCTCTGATACAGTGGATCCCAAACATGGACACATATAGGTACATATAATAAGATATACCTGGTATTTACATTTACTGGGTTTAAAATGGTAATAAACCCTTAATAGATCTGAAAGTGTATATAGCAATATATTGAGTAACAGGAAAAGAGGAAATGTATGACTCGACAGGGTTCAAACCCAGGACCCTTGAATCACTAGTCAGATGCTATATAAACCACTGAGCTACTCAGGCCAATATAGTCATGGCCCATAGTCCCATACCACTGTAATTGTAAACCAACTTTTATATGCATGCAAGATATAGCAGCAGAGTTTATGAGCAACTCCAGATATATAAAATGGTCAAGGAAAAGTTTGATTTAACAGGGTTATGAAATGGGAATACTTGATCTTGAATATTATTTGTCACAATTTTATTTTTCAGTATGAGATCCATAAATAATGTTGCGAATAATAGTTGGTTTACAGTACATATGTACATGGTATGTGACTTCGCAAAATATATTGTTGTATCTTTGCATGGTGTTTGAGACATTGCTGGCAGAAGGTATATTTCACAAAGTTTAAAATGTATAAGAATTTTTTTTTTTTTGGGGGGGGGGGGGGGGGGGAGGGGGTTATGTATACATTGGAGCACAAGGTATTTTGTATATAAATGGCTTCACAGTTAATATGTATTACCATATGTGCTCCAGCGAGTATATATCCTCCAGTACCCAAGATTAAACATGTTTAAATAAGTATATGTATAGTAATTTATGATTATGTGGAGCCTTGCACTTCTCTTTTGTAGCTCTTATGTCAAAATTCCCAAGAGGATCCTAAAGGCCTACCAGAGTGGACAGCCGATTCGTGGTGTCCATCTTGAGAATGCCACTTTGCAGGAGGTGGTAGAATTACAGCAGTGGGGCAGCTTGTTCCTGTTTGATTACCTGACTGGGAACTATGACAGGTGAGAGAGAGAGAGAGAGATAAATCATCCTGGAAAATCTGCTGCCTCTCCGGCAAAATTCTTTGTGAAAATTGGCAGCTGTTCTATGGTAGACACAAAGATATATGTTAAACCCATTATCCAGATAAGCAAAACATATGATTGATTGGACTTCGGGGATGTTTTCTTCAGAAAGATAAGCTTTTTCTTTGGGGAAGGAAGAATTACTCCCCTTGAAATGTGTGCAAGAAACCAGTTTAATGAAAACCAGTATCATATATGTTTTCTATTGATTATTTTTGTAGAGTTGCAAGTATGCAGGATGCAGCATATGAGCAGAAGAAACCAAGCATAATTACAGAGAGAATTAGAAATCTATTCAAATCTACCAAAACCAACAAGTTCTGGTTGATTGACAATGAAAGCGGTCTTCTGGATGCATACGACTTAATGTACCACAAGGAATTAGGAGGCAGTAGGTTCATCAATTTTCATCAACAGATGTTAAAGACTTTTTGCATCTTCCAGAAAACTACAGTGACTGCTATTCAAAGACTTCTTAAGGAGGATGAACCTCACTTTTATTTATATAACTACGCCATGTCCCATGATCCCGTTCTGCAGAAAGTGCTGCCCAATTACAAGTCAAATTTGATTCAAAAATGGTTCCAAATGTGGTTCCAAAGAAGACTTGCTGAGGTTTATAAATGGATAAACCACTGTGCCAGCTGACACATGTGATCAGCAATACCATTTTCAAATCTGTGATAAAACTCTAAAGACAAACCAAAGTACATCACTCAGGCAAAGTTAGTGTTCATTGTACAATCAGTACAGCTCTGTCCTAAAGTAGTCTCTGTGTTTTTTCCAAGTACTGGATGAAAATATTTCTGTCCTTGTTTATTTTTTTTTTTGAAGAAAGAATGCATAAATGTATTTAAGTGTTATGATGGTATGTGAATTTTTGCTTTGTTTTAGTGTTGCCATTTTGTTGAGATATTTTTTAATTATATAAGTGCTGTCATAAATATATGTATTTTGAAGGGGAATATTTCGTTACAGTTGATCATGTACACAATAGAAACATCTAATATTTCAAATAGGATCAAATTTGGGGGAAAAAACTTCACTTGTAAGTCATGTACACATACTTAATTCCAGTAACTATCATCCAAATCATAAACTGCGTGCATTACGAATTCCAGCCACCAGTATTTTATGGTATTTTTAATTTCAAGTATTTGTATTATTATATTAAGTCAATGTGATTTGGTTCATATATTGTGTTATCTTTTGTCCAAATTTTAGAATTATTTTCAACACTTGAAATTTACACCATCATATGAGAACCTACCATGTTAAGCCAATGGAGTATATGGAAGTTGCACAATAAATTGGGCATGCAGAGTAACCATTGAATTGCCATTTTAATAGACAATTCTAATCACTTTTTCGGTCATGATGGGTCACAGAAATTTCAATTGCTGATTATTTGAGCCTTAATATAGGGATTCTTTTGTAAAGAGTCAATAATTGAAGCAGAAGGTTCATAAAGATTAAAAAAACCCACTTATTTTACACATTCTACTGGTAATACCCTTAAATTTTGGAACCATGCCTATACCTATCAGTAGTTCACCTGGCCATATCATGTCAACAATTCGAGTCTGGACAATAAATACCTGCAATTGTTTGTAATATATACTTGTGAATCTCTCAAATATTTAATTTCTAGACATCCATTAAATACTTTATCATATGAAGTGTAATTGTACCATATTGATACAATGTGTTTGAATGTATTGTATCGAAAGCCATAAATGTGTCTCTGTGTATCAATAAGGGTCACCTGCATTTTAAAGAAACCGGCAATACATGTACTGTAAGTTTTCAAAGGCAATCCATTATATGGTGCTACTTTATTTAGTCTTATAACAAATTTTTTACAGTTCAAAAAAGTGCTTATAAATCCACTTATTTATTTTAAAGCTATTGTGAGCATTGTTTTTAATGTTTTGTTACTGAATAAATGCAATATGGAAACAAAGTTTTGTTTATACTGAAGTATCTACATAAAGAACTAAAAGCTAAGAAGGAACAAGTACTGACTTGTACTCACTCTATAACAGATGTTTCATAATGAATTTGTATATAGAATATAAAATGGCATGAGTTCTTCACTGATAAATATTTGAAGTATTCGACAATTTTTACAGCAAACTGTCTTGAAGGTAATGCTATGGCTATTCGTACAATGAAACTTTTTGGAATATGGGGTATCTCTCAGGTTGTTAAAACATAGGTAATCAAAAAAACTTGGAAATAGACCTGTTCAAAAAACGTTTATCCTGTTTACTAATCAAGAAAATTTTGGTCAGTTCCAACATCCAAAGTAAGTCTGGAAGTTTTCATCCTTAGATGCACCATCTATGCAAGATTAATCATAACAGGCCATGATGTTATATAGCTACTCCAAAAAAATTATCATGGTCACTCATCTGGAAAATGTAGGTCAGATTCAGAATCCAAAGCAAGTCTGGAAGTGACCATCCCTAGCTACATCATCCATGCTAATTTGGTTAAAATATAGCTAAAATTCACTCATGTGGAAAATCTAGGTCGAATCCAGCATCCAAAGCAGGTTGGTTAGCGTACATCCCAAGAAGCAACATCCATGCAAGTTTGGTCAAGGTAGGGCTTATAGTTACTTGGGAATGGACCTGCTCCAAAAACTTTAACCTGGTCACTCATCTGGAATATCTAGGTCAGATCCAGCATCCGAAGCAAGTGTGGTAGTGTCCATCCCTAGATGCATCATCCATGCAAGTTTGGTCAAGGTAGGGCTAATATTTACTTGGGAATGGACCTGCTCCAAAAACTTTAACCTGGTCACTCATCTGGAAAATCTAGGTCAGATCCAGCATCCGAAGCAAGTGTGGTAGTGTCCATCCTTAGATGCATCATTCAAGCAAGTTTGGTCCAGGTAGGGCTTATATAGTTACTTGGGAATGAACTTGCTCCTAAAACTTTAACCAGGATGCCAACACTAACGCCGACACCGGGGGTATAGCATAAGTTCATCTTGACTTTGTCGAGGTGAGCTAAAAATCTTCTCAAAATAACATTGGACAGATTACCATCAAACATGTCATGTCATAGCATTCAAAATATAAAAATTTAAAGGATTTCAAAATATCACAAAGTCGGTCACTATGACCTACTTTAAGTTCAACACATTGCAATACCACAAAATGCATCAACTAACAAAGTTTGATGATTCCAAGTATCCAAGATATTTAGCTAAAAGATTTTAAAAATGAATACCATGGTATCATCATTTTTCGTGGAGAACCAATGCTTGTGGATTTCGTGGGTCACTCTATTTCACAAATTTACAATTTGTTGAGAGAAAATTTATTTTTGGTTGCAAAGGACAAGAAGTCACTAAATACAGGTGGTCGCTATGACAGGTTTAACTGTATACGTAGTTGTAACATTTGTGACAATAATGAATATCTTTTCTTCCTAGTGACCTTGATTCTGGATTCTGATGCAGATTTCAAGCAATATTTGCCTATTTTTTTCTTTCCATAGACACTTGCTCCATGATTGGAAGGTCATGGGTTTAAGTCCTAGCAGTGACAAAGTTATAAGTCAATAAAAAATAGGTAGCAACTGTTCCTTTGCCAAGCATTCGGCACTTTAACTGTTTAAAGCAATAGTTGTGGGTCTTTTGGATGAGACCATAAAAACTGTGGCCCTCTGTCATGGCAGGCATTGGCACAAGGAATATCCCTAAATACTTAATGACCCTGATTATTCGGTCTAAAGACCTAGGTTCACTTTATTCATAAATTACCCTGTCCATATATCAATTGACATATTATTAGCACTCTGTGTCCCATTTTAAACATCACTATAAAGAAGAGACTTAGTACTTTCATTTCCTATGACAAAGTTTCTTCTGAGAGTCCTGGTACATGTATTGGAAAACAGGCTTTATGGAATTGCAATGTTCTTGAATTTTGCAGATAACAGGTATATTTGAATACCTTCTGCAAAGAATTAAAATATCAGTACATCCCTCAATGCAAAAAATGTTTTGTTTTGTTTTGTTTTTACAAATCTAAGAAACAGTTCTATCACTATATATATTAATTGCAAATTTTGGATGAGGTTGTGCTCTATTTGAAACAATGAAAAATATCACAAACTTCAGTCATTTTCCAAGAAATTTCCAGGATATTGGAATGATGACCCATTTAATGCATTGCCTAGCAAAAAAATTACATCATTTTCAATAGATATGCAGTCACCAAAGGTCCAAGTGATATTCACTGCATTGTCAACTAAGAGCAGTTCAGATTTTTCAGAAATTCACAAGGCCAAACAGTGAACCTTGCTCTCTGAGGCCCTTCACTGGTATATGGTGACATCTCATATGAATGAAATAATCTTGCAAGGAATGTGAAGCAGCAAACAATCAATCTTTCCACAATATTACAGTAAGACAATTTCTAGAAGTTTTACTTTTATTTTCGATGAATGTTAATGATCTATTTACAATGTCATAATGATCATGTATTTACAAAATGAAAATGAAGTTTTTTTCCTCTCTCTCTTTCCATACCACAAAAGCATATCATGCTTTGTTCTTCAAAAGCCCAAAAATTAACTCCCAAGGGGCCAGTACTTTGCAAATACATGTAGTGCATCGTTTTGTTTTTTTTTTAAGCTCCACTGAATCACTTTTCCAGGGGTGCATAGTTCAGAAGTTTTTCAATAAGGTCAACATGAGCTAGTAGCATTCTTCTGCAGCAGTATCTCTTCAATCCAAGGGCATCCAGTGCATCACTGAAAAAGTTTGCCAAAAATGCTAAATATCACATTTCATATTAAAGTATAACAAATCTACAAACTACAGCAATGTTGATTATTCTGGTATGCAACTGATATCACTGTTAACTTAGGTGAGATAACGGGGGTGATTTCAACAAAACAAAAAACTTTGGAACAGACAACTAATGGAAATTTTCAATGGAACATACATGTATATGACTCTTCAATACCATTCTATAGTAAGACATATAAGAAATAATCATTGGTTATTTGGTTATATACTTGCACAAAATCAGTATACTATTATAGCTCTCTTGCATCTATACCTACCCTTCTGTGTATTCCACTTGTAACAATCCTAAGTATGCTTCCCATTTATTGCCAATAACTTTTCCACATGTAAAACAACGGATTGGTATAATCATTTTCTCAAACCTGTGAAGAAATGACAATATATGTTTATGTCTACAATTGCTTTTACCTGTTTACTAGGCCTAGAAATACTAGAACAATGCAAATTAGCTCTTTGACTTTTCATGTAGGATGTTTTTATTTAAATATATTATAACCTATTAGCAATACATCTTTTATATAACTATAGGCCTAAAAAAATGCATGTCAAACTCAAACAAAGTAAAGTCATCCACATACATATATTAAAATAAAAAGTAAATGAACTAATTTTGAAATTGTGTTATAATGGTGGAATCAAAATGTCTTACAAAAGAAAAAAAAAAAAGATGTATTGGTTTTATCTGAATGAAATGAACCCACTAACACGGTAAATGCGAAAAAAAAAGCTTAGGCCTATGACATGAATTGACGAAATCTAAAATGTCAATAAGAGGTCGCTTAGTCTGTTTGAATTTAGTTTTAGTTAGTCAGTACGTTATTCCCTCTCTCTAAAAGATGAACAGTTCAAACCTTATTTACACAAATGTATCAAAATACTTTAAAAACAACGAAACTTTGTGTCCTTATTTACCTGCAATGCGTAGAATAACGTGTGATTGTTTATCTTTCACGGTAACCCAAGGAAAATATATTTCCGGATGGGGAAGCCTAAATGCCCGGAAGTGCAAGTACACGAAACATAACTCACTATAAATGATTCTTGATCCCTATAATTTAATTAAAAATTAATTCACAACTACATTTTTTTAGAAGAATAAATCATTTTTTAAGAGAGCTAAATTCAATTAAAAAAAGATCACTTAAATTATGAATATGTTGAATTAAAAAACATCAATAAATAAATATTTTCTCTCTCTATAAGAATTATTGCACAAATTAATTGAATTAATTACGTCATTGATTAAATTGAACACAACAATAATTCACTTACTGTGCATTAATCAATGCATGCAATAATTCAGAATTGAAGATATCATAATTTTTTGAAGAGATCTTTAGTTGCACTGTTGTATGCCTCAAATGAATTGATGATTTCTTCAAATAATTCAACATAATCTTCAATTATTTGAGTTTATCTTAATTGGGGCACCATAAACATGTGTGCTATCAAATGAATAACACTTAAAACACTTGTAGAAAATGCAATCCTAATATAAATGTATTAAAACTAAAATTATGGATTATTGGAGGGGGGGGGGGGTGTCATACCAATATACACTCAAAATGAAACTAAAAAGAACAATTATGTGAATTCTCGACCTATAAAAGAGTTAGCCTACAGCTAAAAAATATAACAAGATGTGTTTGTGTAACACTGATCCCCCACCCCACCCCACCCCCGTATGGCAGCCCATAGCGAAGACTAATGTTTCTCAAATGCAAGTCAAACTCCAAGGTAAAAAAATGTTGATACTCAAAGAAGGGTCTTGTCACAAGAAATACGCCTGTAAAATATGAAAGCCCCAGCACCAACTGTTCATAAGTTATGGCCAAGGTTAAAGTTTTTCAAAACTAGGTCAAACTCCAAGGTCAGGGAAAATGGGTCAAAACGGTTGGTACCCAGTAGAGGATTTTTTCACAAGGAATAAACGTGAAATATGAAAACCCTACCACCAACTGTTCAAAACTTACGGCCAAGGTTAAAGTTTTTCAAAAGTAGGTCAAACTCTAAGGTCAAGGTCAAAATAAATGATTCCCAAGGGAAGGTCTTACCTGTGAAATATGAAAGTCCTAGCATAAGCTGAAGACGAAATAGTCCGAGTCTGCACTACTTAAACCAAGTTATAGTCTGGCTCTGTTATAGTCCAACATCTCAAAAGAATTATGCAGAAAGGTTGATTTGTTTGGATGATATGGCCAATATTGTAGTTATGTTCAGAGAGTTCAGCAGAAAATAAGACTACTTCATAAAATTAGATTTTGGGCATAAAATAACACCCCTTTAAAACTTTTAGCCTTTTACTGTAATAGGAGTTCTGTGCATTTTCATAGTTTATAAAATGATTTCTTTTGGCAAAATTATCACTATTGGTGCCAGAATTTGTGTTAAGAGTCCAAATTTGTACCCTTCTTTCATGAACAAGTAGCAGTTACACTGACTGATGGAGAAGAAAAATTTTCCTAAAACTCCTGATATACAAGAAAAACTAATAAACTTCTAACACATCAATCATTTCAAGACAAAAGAATGAATTTTTATATATGATACTTTCAATCAGCATACACAAATCAATATACTAATAAGCAGCTATTTCTGCTGCTATAACTTTTATTCCCTGACTGAATGACTGAAGGAAAAAGATTATAAAAATAGATTAGCATAAAATATGCAGACAAAATACCACAAAAAAAACCAGGAATTATTTTATTGATGTAACAATGATGAATGTCAACCAGACAAAGGAAAAAAAAATCTTTAAAAATGAAAAAATGTAGATTTACTGTAGAGGACATTCCATATTTTCATCTTTTAATTCTGTGCTGTAATATTTCAGAGTAACATATCTGGCATATTGATGATGTTCATATACAAAAAACAAAGCCGAATTAATTTTTTGATTCTGTTCTTGTCCAGTCATTCAGAATTCTGCACACTCTCTGTAAAGCTGCAACAGGGGAAACCTACAAATACAGATAAGGGAGATGGGACACTGTAATATTAATGTAAACTTTAACAGGAGACAAATCATCAATGTAGAGAATTATATGTATAATCTACCTGTTTGTATTGATAGCTGAGAGATGTTTCGTCCCCTCCTTCCTTCAGACTGGGACACACTATGTACAGTATTTTCCTCCATGGTAACATTCCATCACTGCCAGACTGTTTCCAAGGGCTTGTGTCACATGATTTCTGTAACCAAGGACACCATGTTCGATGTTCTGCCAGAGGATCAAAGCTGTCTTTTTCTTCCTAGAAAAAAAAAGTTGTATAGCTATATACTATAATATAGAATATTGTTTCATGTCAAAGAGAAGTTACACCAATACTACAAGTTACGATAATAAATGTAATTCAGAAAATGAACTGGATCTTGGTTTTCTCATTCTGCTGTCTAATTCTTTATCAATGAAAAACATATTAAAAATCTGGAATAGAAAAAAAAATTTTTATCAAAGATTTCAACTCTCAATTTCAATACAGTTTCAATCATAATTAAATAAGCTTACTAGTTTCACTCTCTTCCTGGGCCTCTCCTCAGTGTCAGAGGTACAGTTTATCTGTGTGCTGCTGGAGGGCCTCACAGGGGATTTAGGCTCATCAGTTTGTTCCTGGGTGGTGTTTGAAGAGTTATCTTCCTTGGTTCCCTTCTCCTCTTTGGAATTATCATTGGACAATTCTGCATTAAGACTAGATTTCATTCCCTCAGTGCTCTCAGTAACTGTTTCTGAAACACTATCTTGAATTGCTTCACCTTCAGAGATATGGCCACCATTTTCAACTTTCTCTTTGTCAACAATTGCATTTTTCGAATCATGACCTAGTTCAGAATTAAATGGTTTTGCACTGTCATCCCCATCAAGATCATTCGTGTCCCTGGCTTGTAAAGCCTCCATATCTGTGGAGTCTTTAGCACTCTGAATATCAACATCAGGTTTTGACACTTCACTGCAATCACTGTCTCCTTTATTCATACATGCATCCTCTGTACCATTATTGTCTGTTTTTGTCATATCCTCTGTATGATCAGAATGCATCTCCATCTTTGATTCATTTATTTTCTCATTGCAGCTATCCTGGTCTTTATTTTCCTTATCTTTCACCAAAGCACCATTTTGAACAATATTTGATTCACTTTCTGTTTGATTGACTTCAGCACTAGATTCTTGCACACTGACAGATATTTTATTTTCACCGGAATTTTCATGTCCATTATTATCATTGTCTCTGTCTGTACAACTGTCTTGCACTCCTTCAGCGGTTTTGTCAATCTCTGTAACTCTTTCTATAGTTTCTGTTTGATCAGAATGTTCTGTGGTGTCTTGTTCAGAATTTTCTGTGGTGTCTTGTTCAGATGTGTCATGAGTCTGGTGCCAATATGGAGATTTATAATTCCACAAACCAATGTTTCTTCTGCAGAAATCACAAGACAAGATGTCCTCCACATCATCTGACCTGCAACACATTGTCAAAAACAATACTGATTACTACTTGTAATACTTCACATACTATTCTACAATTTAACAAAAAAACCTTCTTCAATCAAAGCATCTTCAAATAAAATCATCATTGAGTGATTTTCAATTTGTGTAGAATACCTGTTTTTCCAACCACAAAGTGAGATGATAGAAGCTTTTCTTATGAATTCCAGATCATCTATTCCTTTACCAATGGCACCATTAATCAAGTTCTCAGCAAGTGCTGTCAGTGTTGCATTTGTAACTCCCTGCAACAAAGTAAAAGAATGATTATAATTCAATGTAATGGATGGGAATCAGAAAAATGCTTTAAACATATGCATTTATAATGATGTAATACGATGATTTATGTGGTAAGCTCTGTTCCAAACTGTTCTAAATGTTTACAAATGAGAAACTCTACAAACAGTTCAATGATCCATTGCTTCAGGTTTTCCTGGCCTATTCTCTTTATACCTAAGACTCTATGGTTACACCTGAAACTCTATGTTATACCTGAGACTCTATGTTATACCTGAGACTCTATGGTTACACCTGAAACTCTATGTTATACCTGAGACTCTATGTTATACCTGAGACTCTATGGTTACACCTGAAACTCTATGTTATACCTGAGACTCTATGTTATACCTGAGACTCTATGGTTACACCTGAAACTCTATGTTATACCTGAGACTCTATGTTATACCTGAGACTCTATGGTTACACCTGAAACTCTATGTTATACCTGAGACTCTATGTTATACCTGAGACTCTATGGTTATACCTGAGACTCTATGTTTATACCTGAGACTCTATGGTTACACCTGAAACTCTATGTTATACCTGAGACTCTATGTTATACCTGAGACTCTATGGTTACACCTGAAACTCTATGTTATACCTGAGACTCTATGGTTACACCTGAGACTCTATGGTTACACCTGAAACTCTATGTTATACCTGAGACTCTATGATATACCTGAGACTCTATGTTATACCTGAGACTCTATGTTATACCTGAGACTCTATGGTTATACCTGAGACTCTATGTTATACCTGAGACTCTATGTTATACCTGAGACTCTATGTTATACCTGAGACTCTATGTTATACCTGAGACTCTATGGTTATACCTGAGACTCTATGTTATACCTGAGACTCTATGTTATACCTGAGACTCTATGTTATACCCGAGACTCTATGATATACCTGAGACTCTATGGTTACACCTGAAGATCTATGTTATACCTGAGACTCTATGGTTACATCTGAAACTCTATGTTATACCTGAGACTCTATGTTTATACCTGAAACTCTATGTTTTACCTGAGACTCTATGGTTATACCTGAGACTCTATGGTTATACCTGAGACTCTATGGTTATACCTGAGACTCTATGGTTATACCTGAGACTCTATGTTTATACCTGAGACTCTATGGTTATACCTGAGACTCTATGGTTATACCTGAGACTCTATGGTTATACCTGAGACTCTATGTTATACCTGAGACTCTATGTTATACCTGAGACTCTATGGTTATACCTGAGACTCTATGTTATACCTGAGACTCTATGGTTATACCTGAGACTCTATGTTTATACCTGAGACTCTATGGTTATACCTGAGACTCTATGGTTATACCTGAGACTCTATGGTTATACCTGAGACTCTATGGTTATACCTGAGACTCTATGGTTATACCTGAGACTCTATGGTTATACCTGAGACTCTCTGTTTATACCTGAGATTCTATGTTTATACCCAACACTTTATTTTTATACCTGAGACTCTATGTTTATACCCAAGACTCTATGTTTATACCCGAGACTCTATGGTTATACCTGAGACTCGATGGTTATACCCGAGACTCTTTGATTATACCTGAGACTATATGGTTATACCCGAGACTCTATGATTATATCTGAGACTCTCTGTTTATACCTGAGACTCTGTGGTTATACCTGAGACTCTTTGATTATACCCGAGACTTATGGTTATACCCGAGACTCTATGATTATATCTGAGACTCTATGTTTATACCTGAGACTCTATGGTTATACCCGAGACTCTATGATTAAAACTGAGACTCTATGGTTATACCTGAGACTCTTTGATTATACCCGAGACTTATGGTTATACCCGAGACTCTATGATTATATCTGAGACTCTATGTTTATAACTGAGACTCTATGTTTATACCCGAGACTCTATGGTTATACCCGAGACTCTATGATTATAACCGAGACTCTATGGTTATATCTGAGACTCTACGGTTATACCTGAGACTCTACTGTTACACCTGAGACTCTATGGTTTTACCTAAGACTCTATGTTATACCTGAGACTCTATGTTTATACCTGAGACTCTATGGTTTTACCTAAGACTCTATGTTATACCTGAGACTCTATGTTTATACCTGAGACTCTATGGTTGCCATGTTGATGTAAGGAAGTTTACTTCTAGAAGGTAGTAAGCTTTGCAGTCTTTTGTTGAATTCTGTTATGATCTCTTCTTTATTGTCCATGGGAATTTGAAGTACAGAATCTATAATGTGATAGTTTATTGTGTCAATACTTATGATTTCCTAAAGTTACACAGTATACGAATACACAGTATGTGGCAAACACCCTTTATAAATGTTCTCATTCCAAACTGTCTGGAATACTTTTCAATTCTTACCTGGAGTGGGATTTGACCTCCATTTGCAAGCCTGTTCATGACCAGACTTCAATCTGTCCATTAAATTTTTTACACATGTTTTATCTGCAAAGGAGTTTATAAACTGTGTTCATAAATAAGGGAATTAATGTACACAAGTACCATGAAGTAGAATAAGAATATTACATTTATACTTGGGGTAAAAATATTGTTAAAAGACAGCAATTACTTTACAAATGATTCTAAAAATTAAAATTGTTAAGTAAATTATACAACTCACATATTTTAGGGTCATAGTTGAAAGGTAATGTGGCACAGATCACTGCACGACATACACCACACTGCAGCATGTCTGATTCTGTGTTTCTCCAGCCATACTTTGCACACTGTAGGGGAGATAATCCTTCAGGCTTTCCAAACCATGTGGTAATATGGGAAATTTAAGGAAAAGTAATTGTGCTAATCTAAGACTTCCATTTCCTAGTGAATACTAAAGTCATCAGTAAAGAAAATCCTTACCTAAGATCACAACTAATTTGAATTTAAGATTTTGATAAATAAAAATGTTTATAATTTATACATAGGGATTCTATAAGACTGTATCAGTTACAGTTACTACTGGTAAACATGTATAAGGGCTTAGCAAAGAATATGTTTCACTCAATCATATTTGAAAAAAATCTGACTAAGTGTAAAGTAAAAGCCAGTTTGACTTGGTATCAAGGTAGGGCATTTTGATTTTTGTCTAGTGTAAGATGTTAAGGTACAGTTTCAACAAGGATACTGAGAAGGTTTGCACCCTTTGGAAGAAAGCATCTCTGTCCCAGGAATAATGAGATTCCACTCCTGGATCACAATCTTCCAATTTCCTTTTGGTTCTTTGTTTTAAGTTTAGCAAGAGATTTTCTACTTTCACAACTTCACTAAAAAAAGAAATGCATATCTCTCATAAAATCAAAGAAGTTTTTCTTGAAAAAATTATCAAATGTGACTAACAATATAGGTATAAACAGATATATATACAGTATTTCACTCATCAAGTCCAAAGTGTAATACTTATAGTGAGCATAGTGTGTTCTGTGGACTAAGGTGTAAACAGAGGGAATCTGAACTGAAATCTCATTATGGTCAAGCAATTTCTTGTATGAAACTTGCCAAAAGTCCCTGACATCCAAAATTCCTTTTAAACATCAATAAAAATTCATTTAGCACCATTAAGTACTATGGGGTAAAAATTTATTACAGGAGCGGCTGTCTAGCATTTCTACTGAATGCTAGGATGAGGCAAAGAATGATAACTCTAAATCAGCAGAATTTGTGATTTGTTGACATTCATTTTGCTTGTGAGTATACAAGCAATACACTGGGTCCTGAATTCTACTTGTAACACTTCCCTGGTGTATGACATTGTCCGAACAAGGTAAATATAATTTCTGTAGGTTCATAGAAAGCTATTTTTACTAAGATTTAATCAATTACAGCTTGAAATGTTAAGAAAAAAACAATCTAAATGAACATGTTATGAATCCGTTAAAAGTTGCAAAATATAACTATATATTTTTATGCAAAATTACAGTTTGAACAGAGGGGTGCAATTTTTGTCACTCATTTTTTAAGTATATTGAAGAGGTGTTTTGTTGTTTGATTACGTCCCTGATATTTTCAGTTTTGTTCTCTATTTATCACATATTTTCACATTTAGTATGTTCTATCCAGTTTCATTACCTTAACTAATGGCAATATTTGCTTATGAATGGTAGCATATATAGTGAATATGTTTATTTTAAATGCATCCCATTTTTTCATGTTCTATGTTATGTTATAATAAATACAAAGAAACGGATTATAAATAGGAGTTATCCTTACTAATTGAAAAGTCATCTTTGGTGTCAGGTTAAATTATTTCCCTTGAGTCACAGATCGCTCTTTGTGGTAACACTTGATCTTATGTAGTTAGAATAATCTAACCATGTCTCGGGACTAGCCCTCACCACAGTAAGAATATGTCCCATATACTTGCAATGTAGCAAATCGGAGCGAATCTGATCCGAAATGATTTTGAAGAATACAAAAGGGATTGCACTGAAAATAACTACCAAATGAATCATAACAAACCTTTTTGAGATTGTATGCCTTTTAACCTAAAAAATAATCCATATAAATATGAAAATTCAATTCATTTTCTTGACGTTTTATCCTCGCTTCAAATTTAACGCCATGTTGACATTCGGAACTCTCTGGATTGTTCATAGAAAATGCACAGAGTTCAAGTTATCGCCCGTGTTTATTTTGCTACATTGCCAATACACGGAACAAATTCTATTGTTAAACCGGGTCCATAGGACAATATCATTTTAACGATAGAACGTTCTATCTGAGATAGATAAACAAAAAGGTTGCTCCTTAACATATATGTACACTGTACAGGTCACTGTTGGTATATTAGTAAATAGGGTGAGTATTCCAAGGTTGGAGGTTCTGGATAGATGTTTTAAACTGCTCCAACGATGGTGAAAATATGTCTATCTAGATCTTATGAAATCTAGAAGGTATTTAAACAAATTTCTTTTAGAATCTACCATTGGATGGAATTGTAGTTAATTACCAATCATGTTGTAAGATTTTGCCAAGACAATTCTCCCGATTATTGAATGCATCTCTGAGAGTTAATTCATAGTTTCAAAATATTCATAAAAATCTTTGTAAGTGTTTTGAAAGTGAAAACAACTATCTTTACCTGGGAAGGGTTTTCCCGTCACGTCTCTTCGCCATTTTGAATGATAAAGCATACGAAATATGAAACGAATGTCTTCATTGGTTTACTAGCAGAGCATTGACCAATCAAATAAAACGATACATGGCCACGAGTCAGAATCACCCAAAAGTTTGAAGCGAAAGGAGTATAATCGACGATCAGAACCCTAAAAAGGAGAGGGACATGATTGGTAATTAACTACAATGTAATAGGCTATTGTTATTTTTGTCAAGACGTGTTACGTCATATATATAAAAATAAATAAATAAAAAAGTAAATGAATAAATAAATAAATAAAATTCATTTAAAAATATAGATAAATTAATAATGACATTAGATTAATATTAATATTAGATTATGTTATCTATGATATGAACGAATGAATGAATCAATCAATCAATAATATCAGATATTTTGTAATGGTTATGCCGTACATCACATATATATATATATATCTTGTGGCTTTGGTATATCAATTTAACAGCTGTCTGAGCAATTCTCTAACTCAGAAATATCATCAAGGATCTATATACTAACTAGAAACTATTAGTATATAGGTCCCCGGAAATACAAAATCAATACACTGTACTTGATTTCCATATATATAATGAGACATAGTATTGATAACATTAAAAGGGGGGATGAAATCTTGATGTACATTTTCATCGATTTTGTGGGCAAGCAATTAACATTGTTACGTCTGAGGAAATAACTGTAATAAAGACAGATAAATTAGATAATACGTCATCATTTTGCAAGTTCTATGGTCGAAGCATAATGACCTTGTCAGCAAAAACAATCTATCATTAAGTCAAATGCTGACGTGACGTTTTCCATACAAATTGTTAGGCCATTATTTACACACTGAATTGTATACGGATTTTTCCGTTTGCCCGATAATGACAAGGAGCTCACGGCGGATGTGACCGCGGTCGGCAGGGGATGCTCACTCCTCCATGGCACCTGATCCCACCTCTGACGTTTAAGAGGTCCGTGTTTGCTTTGCTCCTGAATTGTGCTGTTTGGATGGATTTTTTGAGCTTGAATACTGTTTGTTAACTCCATATTTATTTATGATAAAGGTTATTTCTTTCTTAATTATTTCTTTTCTCTTTCCAGCCATTAGTTTCAGATTAATCAACTGAATATCGGTAACGATATTTGTTAAAACTCTATTTGCTGTATACTTACTTGCTTATATATTGAGAGCAGGTACCTTAAACTCTCCTTTTCAGAATTGGTTAAACATACCGTATAGTAAGGCAGGGCATTATCATTTTAACAATAGAACACTCTATCTAATGTTTTGAATAAAGGTCAGAATTTGACTAAAATGTTTAATTCCAATATTTAAAATACATATGTGACTATTTGTAAATGACTTTGAAGACGTAAATTTTGAATGAGATTAATGGATTAATTAGGGGACGACCATTTGATTCTGAGGGGAGGGGGGCTGGAAGATTTTGGAAATAAATAATCTCTCCTCAAAAATGTTAGAAATAAATAATCCGACCTCGTCTGGCAATAAATCAGAAAATAAGAAAAAAAAAAGAAGAAAATAAATCAGCTGTCCTTGACTGGTGCCCCCCCCCCTTCCGCGCGGACCAGGAAATAGAAGTTTAGAGTTTGGCATCCCCCCCCCTTTTATAAATTATATTATAATAAATAATCTGTCCTCGATCATCTTGGAAATAAATAATCTGTCCTTCACCGACAGGAAAATAAATAATTTGACTCGGAAAATCCCCCCCCCCCCCGAATCAAATGGTCGTCCCCTTACTAATAATGATTAAAAAAGAGATGCCTAAATAAAGGATCTGTAAAACAAGATCTTAAGGCGACGTGCGCATGCTTGACTTATGTTCGATAATCTTAAGTTAAAATTTAATCCTGACTATTGAAGGATCATGAACACTAACAGTCAGAAATTTTCATAACTATAATTGTATAATTGGTATACACTACACGTTTAGTATTTTTTCCCCGAATTTATCTCCAAAAGAACATTGTTTAAAGGTATGATTCGTGTAATTATTCATAAAAGACAACACGATAGTAGAAAAATATTGTATTTTATATAAATAGTAAACAAAACATTCAAAATTTTCCACTGGAGGTGCTGAGATTGTCTATAGCACATCAATGTAATTTGTCAATGTGTCAATAGAAAGTTATGTATGCATAGCGTCAAATCACATGACGTCAAGGAAATCCATCGGCTGGTTTTCGTCTGGAGGTCTGCGACTAGCACCATCTGGCCATGGGCCTAGAGGTGGTCCTCTCTAGAAAATAAAATAAAAATATCTCATTTTATCAATCATACCCAAAAGACAAAGTTTATAATTTAAGGATAAATTAACCAATTTACCTTTCCGTAGAGATCCAGAGTTCTGGCATCATACAACATCTTTTGTATTTCCAAAGTATCTCTTATCTTGGCATAGTCTGCCGGCGACCGACCGTCCTGTGAAGTGAACAGCAAGTATTTTAAATCTCTTAAAATATAATGAGAAAAAGGAATGTTAATGTTGAGAGAGAGAGAGAGGTGTTTACTTACTTTGTCCACTTTCTGCTCTATTGCTTGTGGATTTTGCTCAAGTAACAATTCAATTAACTTTTTCCCATAGGCTTCTGGTAGCGCATATGCATAATGGAGTGGGTATCTATTGCACTACAAGAAAAAAAATGTACTCAATTTCACAATAAACTTTACGTTGAGGTAAAATAAAAAAAAAAAGCTGGGAGGGTTCTAATTCCTAAACCAGAACCTGAAAGGCTCTGGGAGCCCTGAGCCTGTGGACAATGTGAGCTCCGTTTCTGAGCGCTATGACATCAAATACATGTACATGTATATCCTTTACATTTTGACGAGGAAGATGAGAAATGAAACAAAATTGACAAATTAAAGAATTTCTTATGAATAAAAAATATCATTTGTCCAAAATTGAATAGAAGAATCTTTACATTATCTGGGATGGACTTGAGGATTGGTCTAGTAATACAGAGAAGACGGACGACCTCGTATTGTTGGAAGGCCACCGCCCGTATCATAGCTGTGTATCCATTCTGTAAACGTAAAATAAATACATAGAACAATAGTTTTCTCATTACAATAGTCAAAACTTATAGTGGTCTATACCCCTCAACAAAATCTGGTACATGTTATATACGAACTATATATACAAGTAGTACTTTGACCAAAATAATGCAAATTTGTAATTAACACATACCGCTGACTTATTACACCCTTGCCCGACTTGTTTTACATCATCTGCACATGGCAGGGCATTTTATAAATTATATAATTTACTGAAGTTCTGATATTTAAATTTGATATCGCAAATCATTAATTATTTACCTTGTCCTTATAGTTTGAGTCATATGTCTTCTCCACAATATCAACATTTCCAAGAGAAGCTGCTTCAAAAAGGCGAATCGCATGATTCTAAAAATACAGATATCGATTTTCCAGGTATTTTATGCCCATTTTTAAAAATTATTACAGTCATTTTTAAAATAAAATAACAATGATTAGTATTAATTTTTTCCCAACCTGTACATCGTGAAAATTGAGCCACTTCTGAGCATCGAACCGATCGTCGTCTAATGCTTTTTCCGCTAATGTCTTTCCAGTTTGCTGTAAGAGAGAAAACAGATAACATTTTAAAATTGAATTTACGACGTCTTCTGGATAATTTTGAATAATACTGCCAGATGTCATTTTAATCGTCAGAAAGTAGCAAAAGTAGTAGTGGCTAAAATCATGTATATGAAAGAAATACTTCTTTGATGTTTGGGATTTTGTTTTCATCTTACGTAAAACACGAATACCGACCTCATCTTTAATACTGACAATATCCTTCTCTTTAAGGAAGCACCCAGAAAACTTTGGTATTCCCACTGGTATCATTTTGTCGATGATATACTGAAAATATTCAACCATGTGCATATTAGCCAGATTAAAATATTTTATTTAACGTTAATATTCATTCTTAACTCTCAAATCTATATACTAGTAGTTTTTTTGTTTTGTTTGTTTGTTTGTTTTTTTGGTTTTGTTGTTGTTGTTGTTGTTGCTATTGTAGTTGTTGTGGCTTTAAAAATACTTAAGATTGTTATACAATAACACTCTAGAGAACTCCGATTCCCAAACTTACTTTGTCTATCATTTTAACTACGTCATCCCTGTTGTAAGCTTGTGCTAGTTCCCTCGGAGTCAATGCATCCTAAAACGAAGAAACTAACACTTTCATCTTTCGTGTTGACCTCTGATGAAAAATGCATAGCTAGAGTGTGGATTACAACACACTTTGAAACAATTAATCAATTATTCTGTATTCACATCGTTCTGAAAAAGACTTAAGTTTTAAAGACGCACCCCGACAGCAAAGAAGTCTCTGACTTACCTTATTCCTGTCCACCAAACAGAGACCTTTGGTACACTGGATCAGCCACTGAATGAACTTGACAGAACAATCATTCTCTATAGCCCTCAATACTGCTGTATTCCCATTCTGAATAGACAAAAAATGAAAGTCGATTTAATAGCCATACTATGTCACATTCAATACAGATTTTCAAAATCTATGGTACTGACTTTATGCAGTTTAACAAGATCAGTGTAAGTAATTGTCCACAACAAGTCCAGGTTCGATCTAAGTACATATGAATGGACGTGGTCACGTGATTCTATAATGCTCCTCACCCACCTTGTCTTTTTCTGAGTGCTCTGAAGGTTCCTTCATAACAGAGTGGAGATATTTGGCGATATCTATATTGATATCTGGATGAAGAGCTTTGTGAAATAATGGCACTGTCACATTTGTCTGAAAAACATTTTTTTTAAATTGACATACAGACAAATAGAAACCATGTAGGAACTGAATCATTGGAAAAATATATTATTAGAAGATTTTTACTATGTCTTGTTAATCAGTTTATTGACTAACCCCTTCATGTTCGCGGACTCTGATCCCCTTAATCTTGGCTCTGGCCGGAGCGTCCACTAGCAGAGTGACCAGCTCCAGGTTGTTGGACTCAATGGCTTGTGACAACAAAGTCTTCCCAATCCGGTCCTGAAGAATGATCACCACTCAATAAAGGCATCATGCTGGTAAAAATTGTTTTGATTAAATAATATTTTTAGGAAGACTGACGTTACCTTAAACCTGATGTTTACAGTCCAGCCTGTTTCTGTTTGAATTATGCTTCGGACTGTGTCAACATCCTCACATAATATGGCGTGTGTAAGTTCCTAAAAAAAATAAAGTGACATAAATATACATGTATATTTTGAAAATGCTGACTATAAATGGGAATTGATATTTTTGTGTACAGACAATACAGGATATACTGACACTTGTTTTCCTGTATTCCTGTAGAATCCGGAAACAGTTAGTGACTGTTCCTTTCTCTGTCATGGCTTTTGCTTCTGCAAATTCTAGAAGAGTTCTACCTTCCTGATAAAAGAAATACGTTATTTTAAGAATTTACAAAATATCAATGACAATGATTTTTTTTTTTTTACACATGTTTAAGACACTAGTATTTATCAAAAAATTATTCTTAAAAAAGACTTTCAGTGTTAAATTCATGCATATTCAATTTTAGTAAGAAATGGGGAAACATATTTTCAAATTCAAACTTGTTAGCTCAGACACAAATCCATGCAACATTTACCCTTAAGTTAAGTCACGACAGTAGATTATTTCATTAGACACTGATATTCATTGTTAGATGTTAATTATTTTTCGATTTTCTTAGGAACTTTCTGTTTTAATTACATATTATAAAATGATAAGGTTTTAACTTTTAAGAAGCTAAATTTTACCCAATTAAGCCTGGAAAATTATCAAATACATAAACTTTTACATTTCAAATTCAAACACTGGCATTTTTCATAGCAATGACTCTCTACATTCTAGAAAATAATTTATCTATTACTAACAAACGCATATATTCAATAACTTTTGTTATACATGTATCTAAATTAGAACCACGTCAAAGGTCAAAGGTTCTACGGTTACCTTGACAATGCTGCACAAACTGCACCAAGAGCGTTTCAGTAATCGATCTAATATTTGGTTCTTTCCTGAGCAAACAGCTTCCACTATCCCGGGCTAGAATGTATACGAAACACACACTAACATACACATCTAAAATACATCAACAAACACTGAGGACCGCTGGGAGCGGAGTCAACAACTCTACTGCTGTGGTTAGAAACATTTACAAATTCAAACGACACAGCTACAATGTCTTTGAACCTTTTTATATACATTTTTTTTTTCTTTGAAAGAACATTGATAAACATGAATGGTTCATTTTCCACCTTTTGTTCAGTTTCGTTTGGAGAAGAAATATCTCAGCTATGACATAGCCAGGTTTTACCTGCCAATTCGAAGAGTAATACAGATTTGTGAGAAAACTGTCAAAGACATTGTAACTGCGAAATTCAAACATCACTTTAGGGAAATTAGACAAATGAAGAAAACAACAACGTTAAAACTTTATTCAAACACACACACACGACCGTCTTCCCGCGACATGAAAACAGTCCATGTCACTCAAACTGGGGACGGTTATTCAAAACGAAGACAATCTACACATGCTATATAGTGATGGAACGACAGAGTAGCTACAAACAACTAATACACTGTAGTAGGAATACGTATTAGTGGTGCAGCATTCTTTCTCCTTGTCAGCGCCTTCATCTTCCAAAGTAGAGGATATATTTCCATTTTCTTTCTTTTTTCTCGTCTTTCATTTATACAAAAAGCAAATGTGCTAAAAGCACACATTTTTCGCATTAATTTAACTTTTTCATCATAAACAACATTTATACAAAAATAAAGTACTTCTCAAAAAGATGAGTTTTAGAAATATCTTGAACTGGAACATGCCTTTGCAAATATTCGTAAATAGTTTGAAGCAGTGCAATGAAATTATGTCCTCTAGATGGCGCTGACATTGAGGTTCAGCTGTTTCTAATTTTTCATCCCTGTGTACCTTATTAGGCACCGCCTCTGTGCTACCCCAATAGCGCTTGTATATCTCTACAATCCTAGTATTGCCTTTACAAATGGCAGTCACAATACCGGGCTAGTGAAATTCAAACAACACCATATTATTTAAAGCTCATATTAATGTCTTTATCACTAAAACCGATCTAGTCTACTAAATCATTCAAAAACGTTATTTTATATAATGTAAAAGTTTCAATAAATAATTCATATCGCATATGCAAAACTAAGACCTGTACGATAAGAACAGTTTGAGACATGTATACACTCCATGCAAAAAATCTATATATTTGAAAGCAACATGCTTGTGTGTGGGTACCTCTGTACATTTTTACTTCCGTCCAAGAAACTGTCAAATTGAAACTTTATTCTTTTAAATGTTCATTAATATACTAGTTTTCCAGGTATATTTTACACTTATTGCTTCATTTTATGTTAGGTTAACGCGATAAAAATACTTTACCTTGAAAGTATTTAACATAGCTGTTATGTCTCCTCTTTTAGGATCTGCCTCATCTAATGCTGTCATTCCCATCTATCAAATCAAACGGGATTCAAATTTGAGCAGTGATAATTTTGATTGGATATCTGATACAAACAGTGGAACTTTTTTGAAAAGAAGGTGTGAACTTATCTAATGAGAAGGAACTCTGTCAGTGATAAGTCATAATACAAGTATTTCTTTTGTAAACTTTTTATCCTCAATAATGATTTTTTTAAAGCTTGCCTGGTATGGTTTATATATTAGCTATCTCTTGTTAGAGAATTGTCGCGACTCCCCCCCCCCCCCCTTCCCCTATTTCTTCCAATATCGGCTAAGATTTGGTTTGGTTGAATATTTTGATGGTGCCTTTGAATCACCGAAGGCATCAGTCCAAATATCTAGCCTAGCCGAATCTCAGCAAAGGTGATGGTCACATTTAAATACTGTAAACGTATTTATTTATACAGCAATCCTATTTTAGAGCCTGCTTCAATCTTAATACATGATATAAACCAATACTTGTCATTTTTTTCAAGACTCAAGTGCGCTTAATTATGATTAGATTATCAGTTGAAGAGAAAGATTGCGCTCAATTTTGAGTGCGCTAATTTATGTACATTTACAGTATCCAGCCAAACCAAATCTCAACCCAGATTACCCCTCCAACACCCCACCCCCACCCCACTCCCACCCACCCCCAAATCCATTTAAGTGATCTGATGGTTCCATGCAGAAAAAAATGTAATATAAGAAGGGTTAAGATATCATATTAATACTGATTTTCTTACTTTATTCCTTATGTTCAGGTCAGCACAGCACTGTGACAAGGCCTCTACAGAATTCAACAGTCCACTGCGGACAGCGATATGTAAGGCTGTGTCCCCATCCTGTACAACGACGATTAAAAGTATTTCCATTTTACAGAATGAACATTTAGGAGACAGGTTAAATAGGAAATCTCTTTATTCTTAAAAATGTGTGTGAATGACTTTATACGTTTGTTTAGCTTTCTGATTGCTTACAATCACCACCCCCATTTAATCGAATTATTTACCGTATTCTGAATGTTTACAGGTACACCAGCACTTGCAAAAATGTAGATATAGACTCTGGGTTTGTCTAAATGCAAATGAAGGAGAGTGTTTCCATCCTTAAAAAAATGAAAGATTGAATTATGACAAAACATTTTATTGCCATCATTTTCGAAAGTAATAAAAAAAAATGCATACATCATTGTGTGTGGTCCAACTTTACCTTTGTAGAGAAATTTTTGCCATATTTGTCGAGTATATCATGGGCATCCTCAACGTCTTTTCTCCTGGGTGCCTCCATGTTTAATATATGCTGGAAGATGGCAACATATCATAAAGCTTTGTGAAATCAAGTGTATGTTCCTCAGTGTTTACATTTAGAATAAAGGATATGAATATCACGCTTATTTCATTCCCTAATTTTTTTACCACACACATGCATCCATTGACGCTTTATCATGAAAAGGTAAATATATGCAGTTTCATTTAAATATTTGTCGATAATGTTCCCAATTTATTAATTTTACCTGACAAAATTAAAACAAACTCTGAAATCTCTCGAAATGAATTCGCCGGTAAGAATGATGACCATTTTCTTATAGATGTAAATTCAGATACCTACCTTTTCTGATTTGACTTCCTGGTTTTTGACTGCCGGTTTAGTTACATAGTTCGGTATATTGAGTATCGTCAGACTCTGACCCGGCTTTCTCTTCCCTTGGCGGATCTCGTTGATTAGCTGATTTAGTTTATAAAGGTTTTGTTTCTCAGCATGATCCGCCGCTGTGTACTGTGACGCACATATATCTATCCCGTGGTCGTAATAGCACCACTGGTCACAGTCTTGGTTGTCCCACTAGAAGGATAAAAAAAAATCAGTTCAGGATTTTCCATGGGGTCTGGGTAAGGCTTTTTAAACAATTACTAGTAAATGACAACAGAAACTCAGAAATACAATCATGTACCGTAGTTAATATGAGTTAAATAGAATAAAGTTAATTTTGGAAGGGGACAGATGCGCCAATTTAAATCCGTCACTGCAGTTTAACTTCCAAAATAGTGCTTACTAGTATTAGAGAAATGTGTTTCTGATGCACTCCTCAAATGAATTCAAATTGTTGAATCTTGTGCAGAAGTGCAGCAATTTATTTTATTTACGGGTAAAAATTATCCAAATTTCTAAACCACATTATCGGGGTAATTGAGACTCTCTTTTCAGTTAAAGGTGCATTTGGGAGGATTTTTTCAAATGACATGTCATTTCTTCCATTTGGACGGAATTTTCTCATTTCATTTGGGCGAATTTCAATACATGTATTTGGCGAAATATTTTGTAGGTAGTAAATTAACAGAAAACTACATCAAACACAAAGAGTAATATCGAGTCTTACTTTTAACATCAAGTGCGATATATAACGGGAGGAATTCATGTAAGTTGTGGGATTACAAAATGCCCAGCCAATACTGATATCTGAATTCGTGTATAGTGACGCTTTCAACTTTTATCACGTATTTGTTTGTAAAGTACAGAATGTATATCTTTTAAGAATATAAAGAACAACAAACGAGTATTTTGTAATTTTCTCTTGTAACTTTTAGAATGTTTTTCATGTACAGTGTGAATATTTTTAGTAATATGATACAACAGTAAAATAGATTTTTACTGACTCTTCACGGATAATCCGCACTTTTTCAGCTTTCTGATAAAAAAAGTTCCGCCAAAATGAAAGCATTTTCCACCCAAATAAAAAGTTGAGAAGAAAAATGCCAACAAAAATTGAAAGAAAAAAACATGTTTCCTCGCTTAAAAGTTGAGAAGAAAAATGCCAACAAAAATTGAAAAAATACACGTTTCCTCGCTTTGTAAATGCAATTCCTTTAACGAAAAGTTACATTACATTTTCTCAGTGTATTTAACTAAAGTATTCCATAAAGGCATAATTCTCTACTATTAAATATGCGTCTGATATAAAATACTCTGGCATTAATCTAATGCATTTTAGAGTAGGAAAGTACTTACTGAGAGAACATTAAGCAGTAATTAATCAACGAAGATTGCATTGAGGTCTATCAAGAGAAGCTATTTTTTTTTTTAATTTTAAATTAATTAAATACTACGAATATAAACAAATGTCAAGATGAAAAGATGTTTAATTTATTATCAGGAATAACATTTCATTTGAAAAAGATATTTTAACTGGATAGATTTTTATATATTTTACATGTAAATATTTCTTTTTATTGATTAAACACAAAGGTAGATAACTCTTCAAAGACAGATCAAGGTCATAAATTAGGGCACATTCAATTACTGATAGTTATAATTGAAAAGGATATTATGTGTTAATATAATGAGTCCACACATGCATGCATCTACTGTGTATTCAAATTGAATCTAGTGGTATGGGCAAAGTACCTTAATATTAAATTCTTGAGTATATGCCTGTTTACGGTTGGCGATTTTCTTTCTCCCAAATATATCCGTTTTCTTACTTTTCTTGAAAATCACTCTCTCACGAGATAAAACAAATTGCTTATCATTTGGTATCTTATAATCAATATCGTTACTGCGACTACCAGTCTTGTCTCTTCATCGTAAATAATGAATGAAGACTAACTAGGACTGAGCTGGCGATATTATGATTCAGTAGACGGAACTCTACGCTTAATTTACTAGTAATTTAGAACAAATTTTCGTATTTGCCATGTGTACATCAGAAAATGTTTCAGATTATTCTCTTTAGAGTTTTAAGCAGAGACTACATGTACATGTATTTCCTCTCTCTCTCTCTCTCTCTCTCTCTCTCTCTCTCTCTCTCTCTCTCTATATATATATATATATATATAACACAACCGTCGGACGAAATTCTAATCGTTAAGTAAACCTAGCTTAGTTCTTACGTTATTCATGGCAAAGCTAATGACATTTGCAGTCTGTTAATGTCTTTAAACTCATTAAAGTAAGCATACAAAATAAAACCTAAAGGGAAAAACCCGCAGAATTTCTGAAGTATAAAATCTACTCACGTGAAAAATTCTGTCTGTGGAGAATTCCTTCTCTACCAGGTAAATTGCAATAGGTTCGTGTTTGTGTGATATTGCGAGATTAATGGGGTCTGTAGCAGGGTGCCTCTGCAGGAACTAAAAATAAAATCAAATTCCAATGGACCTTAGAATGACTGTCTATTGTCTAGTTTCTTCGTTAATGATTTTTTTAACATAGCATCAATGTTTATTAGCCGACAGTCGAAGAGACCGTGCCTGCGAGCCAATATTAAAAATAATAATAACTATCTGACATTTAATGAAAAAAGATTCTAATCAATAATACAAAGACTATTTATCATCTATATTTTCAGATTGTGGTTTCTAATATCTAGAACATATAACAATCATTGCATTCTTTTTTTCTCTCTCAGGGAAAAAATACATTTTTAATGTAAATTTAAAAAAAAAAGATAAATGTATTGGTTTGAATTTATAACCTTATTGGTCTGCAAAATTACTACCCAGAATCACTTTATGATTTTATTTTTCGCCTTTCTACTTTGAAATGTTTGTTATTTCATCGAGAGAGATTAAATCTTTCAAATGTCATTTAAAAATTTAAAAATCGCTTCCAATTTACACAATTAAATGCTATCCTAAAATGTTACATACCTTTTCTTCTATCTCAGAAATAACACGTTTGTCAAGAACGGGGTCCAATAACAGCTGTATTTCCCTCAGTTCTCCCTCCTCGATGTGGTAGTGAAGCTACAACAGTTAATTAAAAATGTCAATTGCTCCATGTGAAGTTTAAAACAACTTTCAATGTGTAAACAATTTACGACCCCCTCCTTCCTTCCCCCTAAGAATTTTAATTAAACTACACATTATTAAAACCTCAACTCCCGTGCTTTCAAAATTATAAAATATGAAATTAATTAGAACAGATCAGCATCATATCGCCACAGCAAGGAAGTTACAGAAAACTAATAAACTAATCCATTTCCCCAAATGGCTATATGTAGTAGTTAGCCACGAAGAGTTATATACAACGGTTTTGTAACATTAGACACGCTTTTGGAAAGTGTGGAGATTTTAATTCCTTTGTCATTTCAATAATATTTTAATATTTAAAATTAAAAGTACTCAAAACTGGAGTTGTCATTTAAATTGCTTCAGATGCTGGATTATGTTGCTAAGAATATCCAATTGCTTTTGAAAAATTGCATTGTTTAAACGTTCATCACGCTTTCTAAACATTGATATAAATAATTAAATAGGTAAAATGGACTACAGGAATTGGAGGCTTGCCGATATATAGTTATTAAAGGCCTGATAGAATATTTTACGTAACATTGAGATACAATCAATGACATTTTGTTCCCACATAAATTTGGCTTATCTTGTGTGCAATAGACCTGCATTAAACATTCATGCATACATTGATTGAAAAAAAAAAAGATTAGCAATCAACTTAACCGTCTCTAAATATGGCAGTTATTTTTAACAGCCTCGTAACTTGAATCAGATGAAAATGAATTTATATTTTGACATTAACTAAATTTGAAACAAACCTTATCAAGACTGAACTATTGTTCAAACCTCCTTGAAAACCAATTCAGTCGTCCACACCTTGTATTAACTATTAACTTTCGTAGGATTATCGACAGATTAAACTTTTGCACACTAAGTTTAAGAATTTGAGTGATTCATTTTCCCTAGATTATTTATACAGCTACAACATACTCGAACAAAGGCAAACATACACGACAAACTCCAGTTATTAGCAATATTTCGATTATTAGATAAACAATACGGAAAAGGTTCTGCAAACATTTAACAAATTGTATTTATTTTATTCCAATGCACTTAATATTTCATTCATAGCTGAATAGCCGTAACGATCATATATATACTTCTTGTACAATAATGGACATTTTCTCTCTCTCTCAACTTCTTTGGTTTGCAAAAAAGAGTCGTGAAACAGAATAAAGAAAACCATTTAAAAAACTAACGATAAAACCCCAAATGAATAACTTTACAAGTAATTTTTACCAGATGTATATCCTGTTTAATCGAATAAACTTTATTGGTGCATTTAATTTCCATGCATTTTTTTTTTAAAGCAGAACAGGTTTGGTGAAAGAATAATAAATCAAAGCAACAAGCAGTGGAAACTGACCTTGTTTGAGATATTTTCGACGTCCATCTCATGACAATGTCCCCGTCCCAGATTTGGTTTTCTGTGAAGAGATTTATATTGAAAAAAAATAGACAAACAAATCTGGACTGCAGGGAAGTTCTGCCAGAAGGATTATGATTTTAAACAGTTAAGACGTTTCGTTTGGCACCTCAGACCAGTGCTCGAGTCAAATCGTCGTCTAGATTCTGTCTCATGAAATGTATTTTACACCCCGTGAATAAATTCAAGATATTTATGTACCTCGCATTTAATAAATAAATAAATAAGAAAAATAGAAAGAACAGACCCCCCCCCCCCCAATAGGAAAACACAATAAGAAACACACTCAAAATAAAAATACACACTGTACTTGTAACAGTATTTTTTATATATCAGAAGAGGGACAATTACTAAAACTAAAAAAAAAATGAAAAATGATATCAGATATCTTAGATATCAGAATGTAAGTATGATATGTTAGGTATTCATGTAATATTAATGAGGGATAGTGTGTACAAAGATACTCAAAAAGTGGGGGTGGGGTTGGTTGGTTGGTTACACCATTCACGTACAGCAGGTGCCTGCATGTGAAAAAAAAGTGTTTTCCTTGACCAATACTTCATCCATTTATGATATGTACCTAGCACCCACATTTTGCTACTGTTTAAATATGTTCAGAGGAGACTTAACTATGTCAAGCTGGACGAAAACTACGCTGCAAATGCAAAAGGTGGGGGCGGGCATTTGTTATTGATGGGTGTTGTAGTTGGAGCACTAAACACAGAAATTGGACATACTAGATAAAAAGAATTAATCGTCTTATTTGTATCTGAGCCAAATGAAAATCAAGACTGCTTTTATTATCTACTGAGCTTACATACTCTCGATTTAGGAAATATCTATAAAGGAGCAAACTATATTCTAGCTAGCTGCACTTGCATTGACCTACCTGTTTTACTTAATTAATCCCGAAACTTGAAGTCGAAGTTGTTTTGCACATCCATATAACACGGTGTCAGTGTCGTGAACTGTGTTTTAAAGTCGCCATATTTTATTTCGTATAGTAGATTTAAAACTCATTGATCGCCATAGCAAATGTAAACAAACCCCCTTATCATATACGCGACACAAAACACTAATATATATAACAATATTTCAAAAATATAAATATTTTATTCTTTTAAAAATGTTCAATTTGAAGACATGATACATTTTATTAATGAGGTGTTTTGAACTTGCAAAGAGAACGTAAGATAGAATTTGAAAACAATAAAATCAAGCTATAGATTTAAGGTAGTGTCACTACCTTTTAAACACAGGTATTTAATCCTCACAAGTTAAATATAGAACGTGATAGGTCCTATTCCAGTAGTGATTATTTTGAATACTGATCGGTTTTAAATGTATAAATGTAGCAAACCCTAGAGACTATACGTTTTCTGTCTGACTTGAGAGAGAGAGAGAAAAAAAAAAGAGAGATGAATATAAGAAATTAAGAAATATAAGATGTGAACATAAAACTTTGGTTCCTAACACGTCTTTTTAACTTCCTTCGCATCACTTTCTGGTTGAAATAAGGATAAATGGTTCATGTTGAAGATTTTTTTTGGGGGGGGGGGTGTGTGCAGTGGGACCAGTAGAAGAGGGGTAAGGTTGGGCGTGTGGGTGTAATTCATCTCTAAAGAGCTTGTGCTGCAGTTATACCCTCGGTGTACATGCTAAATCCTGAGGAGGACCATATTAACCTAGCTTTGAATGCTGCATCTAACCAATACTTTAAAGATGATTTTCCAAGTATTTCTGTAGTAGGTAATTCAACAGACTGGGTGTTCGGAAGATTACCTTTCATTGCACAAGTAAGGAGCTATGTGGACTTGCTCATGACATAAGCCTCTTTTTGGCTTGCTTCATATTTTTTTTTTAATTTACATGGTATATCGAAGTCGTGTATGTGTGTTTGAGGGGGGGGGGGGGTACGTAACCTTCCACCCATGTCTAACTCTTCTTATGAGCAATCTTAGTCCTTATTAATCCAAGAAATGAAAGCACTTATAAGTTAAAGACTTTAGAGGTTACCTTGTAAATTTGGCAGCATCGTACCAAATAAATGTTCAATAAGATGCAGAATTTATTGTCCCCGGCTTCTGCGAAAGCGAGGGGACATTGAATTTCATTCATCTGTCAGTCTGTTCGTCTGTCACAAAAACTTTAACCTTGGTCATTACTTTTGAATAAGAAAAAATACGGCTTTCATATACATGTATGTGCATTACCCGTGACAAACCCTTTCCAAATATACTATGACTATTGACCCCGTGACCCTGACCTTGAAATTTTTATATTACTTTTACCCCAGTAATAACTTTTGAATGAGAAGAGGAAGAGATAAGGCTTCCATATATCACATGTACATTAACTGTGACAAGACCTTTTTAAACATACTATGACTTTTGACCCCGTGACCTTGAAATTCAACCTACTTTTCAAAAAAAAAAAATTTAACATTGGATATAACTTTTGAATGAGAGAAGATAAGGAGTTCATATTTGAAGTGCATTACCTGTGTCAAGACATTTCCGAACATGCTATAATTTTTGACCGAGTGACCTTGACCTTAAAGTTTGACCTAATTTTCAAAAATTTAAACCTTTATTGTCATAACTTTTGAATTAGAAAAGATAGGAAGTTCACAGCTGACAAGTGCATTACCTGTGACGAGAAGGTTTCAAATTTAGATGTTCTATGATATTTGACCCAGTGACCTTGACCATCAAGTTTGACATATTTTCCAAAATAAATCATTGCTGATATATTTTGAAGGAGAAAAAATAGGGCATTCATAATTGACATGTGCTTTACCTGTGACAAGACCTTCCCGAATGTACTCTGGTTTTTGATGTCGTGACCCTGACCTTAAAGTTTAACCTACAATTTTGTTTTCCTTTTTTTTTTACATTGGTAATAACCTTTTAGTCAGAGAAGATGGGGCTTTCATATTTTACATGTACATTACAATGACAACACCTTTCAGAGAGGTATAATTTTTGGCTCATGACTTTGACCTAGAAGTTTGACCTACTTATCAAAAATTTTAACTTTGGCCATAACTTTTGCTCCAGAAGAGACAGGGCTTTCATATTTTTTAACATAAGCATTAATACTTGTGACAAGACCTTTCGGATTGTATTATGACATTTGACCTCGATCTTGAAATTTTTGCTGCAGTTTTGAGAAGCTTTAATCTTTGCCGTAACTTTTATCTATTCAATAATACAGTGGCGCCGCGTTTATCCGGACGCCATTTATCCGGACGCTTCACCATCCGGACGATATTTTTTGGGAACCGATTTTTTCCACGTTATTTTGTCTCATTAATCCGGAAATTCGCGTTCCGTATCCGGACGGTCAATTTCTACTACAAAACGTAACAGTTCATTGAAAAATGACTCGTTTATCCGGACGGTAATTTTTCAAGAAACGACTTTTTCACACTTCGCTTGCATTCGTGTTAATTGTTGTAAAAACATTGGCCATGCAGTCAGTTTGAAGACGGTTACCTGTGACCTACAAACAATAGCGTCTATAATTAGCGTGTGTTTACCCTAATTCAATCACACGTTTATCTTTAATATTTAGCTTACACTGTGCATTAATTAAATAATGATTAATCTGTTCAAAATCATATTGCAAACCGTATGTACATCGATACATTCATGAAAATTTTGGAGAGTTGTAAATAAAATGAACAATAAATAACGAGCGATTTCGTAATGCTCTTTATCATGTTGATTGCGTTAGTTTAAAATACTGTTTTCCATTTCTAAAGACGTAAATGTATTTGAAACGCTTTTTCCCCACAAGACAGTTTAGAAAGGTACATAACTGAAGAAATATCTCTATTTAATGTACTACCGTTTACAAACGTCCATTGCTTTAGAAAAGATATATAAAACTGGCGTTACGTACAGAAGTTGATGACGTTTATCAAGGTATTTTTAATGATCGAAAATCAAACTTAGCGTCTGCAGAAAAAAAAATATTGATAATCATGAAGATGGCTTGTGATTACGAGTGTTTTTAATACTTTGTTTGAGTAAGCTTGCAGTTAATTTTATAGTAACCCTGTGTAATGAATATACGGGGAATATACGGGGTTAGTTTAAATTTGAACATTTTAATGATGATGCTGAACAGTTCTGTCATATAATATGAGCTTCAATAATTATAATATATGGCTAAATAAAACAACTGAAGATCAAAACTTGCTCAGCACATGAAGTCACAGGCCAAAGAGAAGGCGAATCAAAATAGGTCTCAGCATAAAATAGCCCATCCATTTTTTTTTAAGTGTAAATTACATTTTAATATATTTTTTTCTTTAATCAATTACTGCTTCAAAACAATAAACCAAAATATAATTTAAAAGTTTTTTTCTTTGCTGTCACATTTGAAACAAGAATGTGCATATATACAATGTACATGATTAGAGAGTACTTTTTGAGATGTGATTCAATTATCCGGACGATTCATTTATCCGGACGATTTTGTTGGGGACAGAGGCGTCCGGATAAATGAGGCGCCACTGTATATATCTTTTTTGTATGATGGATAGACAAGACAGGACACACAAACAACAAAGAAAGTTACAATATGCCATTAAATAATTGCATCCCAACCACACTAAGACACGGATAGTGGGGGACCACAAATCTTTGAATTTGCTTGTATGCTTATGTTTTGACTATTTTGGAAGAACACAGCATCCACAGTAAAGTGCATGTTTATCCAAGTACAATAAGTTGAGTAGAGACAAGACATAAGGTTATTGAATTCCAAAACCTTCTGACCAGTCTTAGGACAAAATGTAGGTCAGACGCAGCATCCAAAAAGAGGTTAGCAATATAAAAGTCTTCAATCTCTGGATGTGTCATCTGCAAAAGTGTGCTTCAAGTAGTGCTTATGATTACTTGAAAATTTTCCTTAGAATTTTACATGTCTAAAATTTCAGAATTTGACATTTTGAACTCTATGTCTATTATCTTCTAATGCTTAAAGTTTTGACCAATGCAAGAATTCCATATTTCTAAAACCTTTGACCTTGTTTAAACTATCCTCTGTTAGGATTAGGACATAATCCCAAGTAACCTTTGTCTCTAGTACAAGCTTCTAAAAATAGTTTGTGTACCCTGGTACCTTAACCTTGTCCAAAACAACCTTGGTTGTATAAAGAAACAACCTTTGTATAAAGTATGAGCCCGTAAAGTTTCTTGGTTTTAAAGTTATGTGAGTTAAAAATTCTTGAAGGGATTAAGGAAAACATGTACCAATTTTATTGAAATCAATTTCAAATAGCATTTTGAAAAAAAAAAATGTTATACATTTTTTTGGTATGCATGCTGATAAAGGCCATCGATCTTAATCCATACTGATTGTGTGGAATTAGTTTATTTCTGTGCCAAGTGTTTAAATACAAGACTTAAACTGAAGGAGAAGTAGCATTCATGAATTATGATGATACCGATTACAGGGACTTGAATTCTGTTATCTTTTATTCTAGATTTTAAACTACCAATCAGGCCACTCACTCCAGTTCTTGGCATTAAGATAATTAAGAACACAAAGACAATGGTACAAAAGAAAGAGATTGGACAATGTTAGGGCATTCCCCATCATCCATTTGATGATAGCCTACCAGTATTCAAAGAGTACACTGTAGAAGAATTTTTATTTATAGAAGTATTGAAACTTCATACCTCTCAAATTTACTAAAAACAAAATCTATGAATGAAATATAAAATATTTATTTAGTTATGTTACTTATTAGCAAGCAAACATTTCAAAATGACAATGGATCAAGCAATAACAAGTACATGTTCTAAGTGTGAAACAATTCCCTGAAATAAGATCAAAGTTTCATAACCCTCCCAATATAAGGGGTGACACTTTGGTAACAAATAAGACTTATAAACAAACTGAGACAGTCTAACTAAACACAGTCTACTTCTAATTCTAATACACTGTCAGAAATGAGACAACTAAAGTTTCTATTACCCAGTAAAGTACTGTTCTAGGCTTCTCTCCTAAACAAAAATAAACCTTGTACCAACTTAAACCATAAATTATATCTTATATTTGTTCTTCAGAGATGCTGTGTGCATATTAACATATAATATTATGAAATGGAATGAATTACAATAACACTGGTTATATTAAAACTTAATTATGTCTGTTACAGTATCAGATCTGAGTTAACTAAACACATATTAATTTGAAAACCAACACATTTCATTCCGGAAAAAATTGCTTTCCTAACTTTGTGAGACTTAATCAGAGAGACCAACAGATAAAAATATATTTTTAAATAATAAGTATACAAATGAGGCAAAATATACAGAATTTAATTCTTTTTTGATTAAAAAAAAAAGCCTTACATGGTGAGTTAAGAAAACTTGAAAATTTTGACTCTGTGAAACTCGTAGCTAAATTCATGTACATATATCTATAGAGACTTGACACAGTGGCCTTAAAGATCAACAACATATGCATTCTTTCCTATTGTGAGATCAGCTTCTATTTGTTCACGTTGACAAAACAAAGGTTATCACGCAATGCGTCTTGCAAGAATAAATTAAGAAAAAAAATGTACACAGAATTACAAAATTGTAAAAACAAAGCAAAAATCATACTTTAAGAATATTACAAGTATGAAGATACAAGTAACATAAGATTAATATATAAATTGATACATGAAGGAATGTTACCGATACACAACATATTAAAATGGCATAATGAGATTTGAAAATGAAACACAAATTTTAAATATCATTTGAACAAACATAAATATTTTACATATAAAGCAACAGACAATTTTCATTTTAAATAGTAGCTTTACAAAGGCACTGCCAGCTACCATATACCCCCGGTACACCGAAAAGCAGTGGAATTTATTATTATAAATAGAAATACTCGGAGATCTATGGAAAAACTGGGAAAATGCTTGTAGATCATGCCATTTTCAATTTCCTTTATTTAGAATTCTATGTTACGTATAATATCAAAATGAGCAAAATAACAAAATGAAACAAAAACTCAATGGCTATAAATGATCATAATTTTAAATTGGTCCCCTGCACTAGCAGTTAATTTATGCATGATTTATTTTATCAGTTCACAGACCATCTAAGAACAAGACAATTAATTCCTATCTGGAAGACTTTCACGAACATTTAGAAAAACTCCATTTCTGGTCATATAATACAAATCTCACTAAAACAGATTCAATACGGTATTCAGAGTCAACATTACTTAGACATTGAACTCTTAAGACAAAATACAGAATCTGTTGGCAGGTCACATAAGTTGTTTGCACCATTTATTTTATCTTTGAGTGTCCATAAACACATTAATACATTTACATGTACTTACAACTGTAAAGCTTAGCTAACTGCACCATAGGCATGCTTAAAGCTGTGGCAAAAATCTGATCACAACCATAGCAATTTAACAACAGAACAACAATTTACAATGTCTCCATATTTAACACATCAAGATAAAACTTTCCAACATTAATAAAAAAAAAATTTCTGGTTTCCTTCAGAACATTGTAAACAATAAATAGTTTTCCTTGGTTTGATCCTGTGTTTATGAAGTCATCCTGAAGTACATTTTGCCATGTCTTTAAAAATCTTTACAGACTTATAGTGATGTATTATTATTTCTTTCAATAGGTGTAGAAAGTCTTCATTCTCTGATATTATCAAAATATCATCATTTTATGTTTCCGACACAGTTTGTATGTAAGGAGATGGAATTTCAATGTTGAGGCTTGATGAGTTTGCTTTCTGGGACTTGTTAAAAAACTTGTTGTTGAGGCTTAATGAGGTGTCTTTCAGACCCGGGAATCATTACCAAACTTATTGTTGAGGCTTAATGAGGTGTCTTTCAGACCCGGGAATCATTACCAAACTTATTGTTGAGGCTTGACGAGGTTGCTTTCAGACACAGGACTCATTACCAAACTTATTGTTGAGGTTGCTTTCTGGGACTTGTTACCGATCTTATTGTTGAGACTTGATGAGGTTGATTTCAGACCCGGGTTCTTACCAAACTTATTGTTGAGACTTGATGAGGTTGATTTCAGACCCGGGTCTTGTTACCAAACTTATTGTTGAGACTTGATGAGGTTGATTTCAGACCCGGGTCTTGTTACCAAACTTATTGTTGAGACTTGATGAGGTTGATTTCAGACCCGGGTCTTGTTACCAAACTTATTGCCGGGTCTACTCCATATTCTCCCCGTTTTCATTGACGTCGGTTCCTGATTTGATGCCCCAGATTCCCACAGTGTGGTCACTATGGAAACAAAGCAAAGGTTATCAGAAAATGACAGAAAAATAACATAGAGAGGGAAAATTTTAAATAAAACTGCCAAAAGGTTGAGAAAAAAAGTTTGAGAGATTAAGTTATCGATAATAAAAGTTATAAATTACATGAAAAAATAACCTTCCTTATTATTTAATACCATTTGAAGATACTAGTGTGTACATGTAACTGTACTTGTTCCATTACTGAACACAGAACATATTCTAAATGATTTTTGAATGACTTCTGGAGATATACACTAAAAAAATTAATTCAGAAGGTTTGGAAATATACTGGCACCAAATGGTGAACATGGGTCTAATAAAAAGTTTATGTGCAGCCAAAGTCTTCATATGTTTAATAATGTCATCTCATGAGGTGAACTGTACATAATGATTATAAATGTGTGGAATGCAAACTTTGAACTGCTTATGAAATAAATGCAAAAGACAAGAGAAAAAGAAAAGAAAATGAAAAAAAATTTCATCAAGTTATCTTGTTTAATATTACACATTCCTTTATCTGCATAGGTTAAATTCAAAAAGACAGAGTCATTTCTGGATAACTATTTAACAGCAAGATGTTCATAATGATGTTAACTGGTACAGCATGCAGCAGTATACATTTATTGACTGGGTTCAAGAGCAACATGCATTTTGTCAGACCCAAGAAAAAAACTGTTTGTGAGAGGTCATTAAGCCAAAGGCAAACAGTTTGGTTTGAGGTGTCGTCAAAATGCATTCTGCCGGTATTAAAACATAGTCAATAAATATTTTGTTATACCTTTCACTTGTTATAATAATGACATATCTAGCTGTTTGCCATGGATATAAATTTTGTTTATCTGCACTTGGTTAATTCTTTAACTGTTGAACACCAACAAATACAAATAAGTTACAACTGATCCCACCTACACCAAGTGGTTCCAACATCTCACCAGGTGGTCCAACATCAATTTTTGGGGGGAACGCTCAGTAAAACTTTGGAAAATGTTAGTGTTTTTATAGTATAGATTTATAAAGGAACAACTTTCAAACAATTTTTAAAGGTATAACAAAAAAAGTTATTTCCCTTTGCTTATGGAGCATTTCATGCTTTGAAATAAGAATGGTCAAATATAAAATTCACATGACTGTATTTTCCGGTACTGCCAGAATTTCACTTCAGTTTCACTGAAACACAGATAATTTTACATTTTTTTGTTTTCAATATTATTAAATATGACTTGTTACCACAGCTCAATTAGGCTCCTGTTTTAAAGAAATGCATTCAGATATGTGCCATATCAACTCATCTAACTGTATGGTTTTCTCAAATGCATAAATATTCAACAATACATGCCTTGAGATGATGAAATTTAACCACCAAACATATCTCATTCAATGATATGAAAATGAACCTGCCATAGATAGTTCACTATCAAATGTTGGTATGTACTTACTTTGATGCTGTGAAGATGGCGGAGGAGTTGGTTGCTATGGCGTTTATGGGACTACTGTGAGCCTTGATTTCTCCCAGCTGGTTACAGTTTTCTATATTCCACAATTTAAGGAACCCTCCTCGACAACCACTGAACAGAATGTTGTTTCCTGGCATGAATTTCAGAGCACATATCCAGTCCTTATGAGCAGAGTTCAGAGACTAAAAATAACAAGAAATATCAATTAATAAAAACTGAAATCACAATTATCATATATGTCTAAGTTTGTCGTGGCTGATCATAAATCAACTTAAGAACAAGAGTCATTTTAGGAAAAGTTCTTCTTTAGATGACCATTGTGGAGAATAACATTTTAAGGAACATCAACACCTGTGCGTGACTTACATGTTTGAGCTGCTGTGTGGACAGGTCCCACTTCTTGATGCACATGTCCCTGGATCCACTAAACAGGGTATCCTCGTGTATACATAATGCCTGGATACCATCATAGTGGGGGGGTTCTAGGTTATACTTAGGGGTCATTATACCTGCCCTCTCCTCAACTACCTCAAACATCTGAAACATTAACAAGTTAAAATGGTAATGTAAGGTAAGTTACACATTTCAAAGTTAAGTTCACTTTTACTCACATTTTCATAAAAATAAGACCTTTTAACAACCCATACCATTTTATCAGTTTTGTGGTTATTTCAGGCACTAATACATCTTCGCTAGCCAAGGGTTTCTGATATGCTACTCTCCTCATAAACCCTTGGAATACGGTGCTGACAAAAGACGGGATTGTTTTTGTCACATGATCATGATTCTTACCAGGTATGCACAGATTGCGTCATCGACAGAAATAAAAAGCGTATTTAAAAAAATTTTGTTTTTAAAGGATAATTAAAAAGAAGGTATTGAGTTATGTTAATTTTTTATTTAAACATGTAAAAATGCAGGAATCTACATCTTCAGTATAGATTCTTAATCACATATTTTGCACGTTGCTTTAGAAATTGGATGACACCATATTGCTATTCATAGAATGGCATGTTATCTTACGGATCATTGTTTACTTGCGTTTTACATTACCGATATTAAAGAGTCAAGATATATCCCGAACGCAAATATCGTCATTTACAAAAAACAATTGCTGATTGGTCGAACGATGTCGATCAACTCCAATCACAACTTGAGAAAAAAATCCCAACTTTTTTTAACACCGTATGCCAAGGGCTTATGAGGAGAGTAGCGTATCAGAAGCCCTTGGCTAGCGAAGATGGCATTAATATTACATGTGAAAGAGTAAACATGTATAGTGAGCTGCATATAAACATATTGCTCTGTGTATGAGATTGGATATCTTGAATTAGAAGTTGTGTTTAAAGATATGCAAATGCAATGGTTGGAAATGTAAGAGGGGACAAATTGATGACGGGGATACCTTGATGTAGTGGTGTGGGTGATATTTTGGTGATTTCTTTATGTATTGAAGTGGGTAAAGGGTCTGAGAATACCTTGATGTAGTGGTGTGGTTGATATTTTGGTCATTTCTTTATGTATTGAAGTGGGTAAAGGGTCTGAGAATACCTTGATGTAGTGGTGTGGGTGATACTTTGGTCATTTCTTTATGTATTGGAGTGGGTAATGTGTTTGGGGATACCTTGATGTAGTGGATGGTGGTGTTTCTGGGGATACCTTGATATATTGGTGTGTGTGAATTGTTTGGGAATACCTTGAGGTAGTGGTGTGGGTGATATTTTTTGGGAGGGGATACCCTGATGTAGTGATGTTGGTGGTGTGTTTATGAATACCTTAATGTTGTGTTTGGGTGGTGTGTTATGGAGTACCTTGATGTAGTGGTCCTTTGATCCAGTGAGGACAATATCGTTTTTCTCCCATCTGTCCACTGCTATAGCCATTACAGCGGCCTGGTGACCTCCGTTCAATTTGCCAATAGCACAAAAACTGCACAAAATAAAACATTTATAATATTAATTCATAAACCTTGTACTCAATAACATATATCAGCTAAGCATAACACATTTAAAATGCAATTTTAGATTTATCCTTGCAAAAGAAATCAGGCATATCTGTTCTATAAATTGAGTTACTGTCCTTGAAACAGAATTTTGCTTTACCTCTTTAGGTCCCACACTCTGACCACGTTCCCAGCAGCACTGTACAGAGCTGTTCCATCTTCATTTAAGGCTATGTCATTAATGTGGTGCTCTCCTGGAGCTAGCTCAATCTGACGGGTGGATCCAAAGTTTACACATCCATCATGGGTTAATCCAGAAGAACTGCAAGATATGATACATAACAGACATTATACTGCAATAGCTGTTTCTAGTCCAGAGAGAAGATAATGCAACAGATGCATGAGTAGCAACCATTCTGTTCTAGTTTATTACTTTGTCGTCTTTGCCATAGCAGTTTAAAATAAGTAAAGTTAACCAACTGAGGTTGCATCCAAGCTTCTAATGTCTTTTTAATTAGTTTAGAGATAATCTTAAAAATGAAACCTGTTTTATTACTTCTAATGAACTTAATTCTGGCAGACATAATTATACTGTTGTCTCATGCCAATCAATTGCTTCATTTCTATGATCACAACCCTTACACATCAACAACTTTACGCCAACTATGAGGAAAGTACATGTATAAAATGCACACTGCCATGATTTTACAAACACTTCAAACTCTAACTCTTCAATAAGAGACATATACCTGAGAGTTTTGATGCACTGTTTGGTTGAGCTCCTGGTGTCCCACACACTGACATACGACTGAGATACAGTAAATAATAACTTAGACTGTGGGCAGTATCTCACACACACCACGTTGTTAGGGTGACCTGTATATGATGCAACTTCTTTCCCCGTGTGTAGGTCCCATGTTTTGGCAGTGCGGTCTAAAAAATAACATGACTAGGTCTTTACTTGCTGAAAAACTTTTTTTTATTATACTTCCATTTAGAACTTCAAGAAATAAAAAGGGTTTGAGTTTTTCTTAAATCATACATACAGTAAGATTCTATAAGCCAATTATCAATAAAATTTCCAAATTTCACAAACCATTCACTCACTATTGGGGTGCTAATAAAGCAAGAATTCTCATTTTCAGTAGCATTTAGTAGCATCTCCATTTGCAATTTATAAATAAAATATGCAAATAATCAATGCAATAAAGTAACATTTTCCTATCAAAATTTATTTCTCTGACATTACTCTTGAAGCAGTCTGATAGACATAAGCACAATTATTCCCAATGTGTACTGCACTTATTTAAAACCAGAACATTAAATGAATCATAATTTTTGAATTCTTTGAAGAAGAACAATTTGATTTTTATCTTAAATATCTTTTCCAAAACATCTCCTTGAAATTCAGATTAACATCATTGAAGAACGCCCCCTACATCACCAGAATTGAAAAGGGAAAATCATCACTTATATGCACCTTTACTGCTGGTGAAAAGAAGGTCCTCTGTGGCATCTAGTGATAGTACTGCCTTACTGTGTCCCTCAGCTGTATGTGTACACACTACTGGGGCAGTCTTACTAGGGGGCACTTTCCCAGTGTTTGGAACAATCTGCCCTCTGTCATATGAAATTAGAGATGTTCAAAACTTAACAGAGTAATGTGGAGAGCTATGTTGAGTTGTATAAGTATTTTTGTTTTGTGAGTAGTATGAGAGTTATACTATTGACAATTTTTCTGTGTGGGTGAATAGAGTAGAGATGGCAGTATCTATTGTGTGAGAGAATGGTTTTTGTATTGACAAGCACCTGTTGTGTGAGTGGATGGATTATGTAGTGACAAGCACCAGTTGTGTGAATGGATGGGTTATGTAGTGACAAGCACCTGTTGTGTGAGTGGATGGGTTATGATGTGACGAGCACCTGTTGTGTGTGAGTGGTGGGTTATGATGTGACAAGCACCTGTTGTGTGTGAGTGGATGGTTAGGCCACAATTAAAATATTGTTGGTTTAGTGTTGCCTAGTCTTTAAACAGTTGGGTCGGTAGGTAGGGAAAATATATTTTTTTCGCTGATACAAAAACTAATGCTGTTAAATTAAATGTGTTATATCATTGTATTTTGTAATTTAAGTTAACAAACAACTCCTATGTCAAAACAGACAGGAAATTTCACACAATATCATACAGACATCTAATACAGTTTCATTGATTCCTGCTTTCTGATCAGGAAATGGCATTACATTTAATCTAACATGACTGATATTCACAAAAACTTTAAGTTACCATTTTTATAAAATTATTTCAAAAACATAACTCAGTAAATTTGCCATATTTTTGACATAAAAACAAAACAATATACAAATCAAACAACAATATTCTAGAAAATATACAAAAGAAAATTTAATAGAAATGTAAGATGACAATGACAAGCACCAGTTGTGTGAGTGGATGGGTTATGATGTGACAAGTGTCTGTTGTGTGAGTGGATGGGTTATGCAGTGACAAGCACCTGTCGTGTGAGTGGATGGGTTATGTAGTGACAAGCACCTGTTGTGTTAGTGATTGGGTTATGTAGTGACAAGCACGTGTTGTGATAGTGAATGGGTTATGTAGTGACAAGTATCTGTTGTGTGAGTGGGTAGGTTATACAGTGACAAGTACCTGTCGTGGTAGTGAATGGGTTATGTAGTGAAAGCACCTGTTCTGTTAGTGGATGAGTTATGTAGTGACAAGCACCTGTTGTGTGAGTGGATAGGTTATGCAGTGACAAGCACCTGTAGTGTGACTGGATGGGTTTTTGTATTGACAAGTACCTGTTGTGCAAGTAGATGGATTATGTAGTGACAAGTACCTGTTGTGTTAGTGAAAGGGTTATGTAGTGACAAGTATCTGTTGTGTGAGTGGGTGGGTTATGTAGTAACAAGCACCTGTTGTGTGAGTGGATGGGCTACATAGTGACAAGCACTTGTTGTGTGAGTGAATGGGTTATATACAGGAAAACTCGTTTAGTACAAACATGATATAGTGAATTCACTGATATAGCGAATTTTTCTTGGATCCCCAGTTATATAAATTTAACGAATTTCTTATACCGATATAACAAATTACGGATATAGCGAAGTAATTTCACAGGTCCCAGTGACTTCGTTATAACCGAGTTTTACTGTAGTGACAAATACCTGTTGTGCAAGTGGATTGGCAACATATGTCAATGTGAAGTTCTTGCTGTATGAGTGGATCATTTATGTTAATGTTAAGTTCTTGCTTTTTGAGTGAATGGGTTTTTATAACAAAAAGATCTTGTGCCAGTGGATGGGTTTGTGACAATGATAGTGTGGCTATTTTAAAGCCAATTCACAATTCACGGTAACTGAGATTATAGAGATTATTTACTAGTGTACAATCATTGAGTTATGTGTGTTAATTACCTGTTTGGTGGTTGTAGAGTAGGTGGCTTTGTATTGCTTGTAAGTCTTGAGAACACATTGTCATCTGTGGGTCGGTCTCTGGCCCGTCGAGACAGCGTGGGGGAGGAGGGAGGGGTGGTATCAGAGGAGGTAGCATCTCTGTAAACATAGGAATTAAACACTGACCAACAACTAAATATAGATATAACCTGTTACAATTAATTTTTTTTAACATAACTACCTCCAAAATTATGGAAGCCATCTGGGGTGATTCAAAGATATCACTCAACAAACTCAGAGCTATGAGAGGTCTTGCACTACTTTAACACCCCCCCCCCCCCTTTTCCAAACCACACATACAAAAAAAAAAAAACACCAAAAACAAACACAAAAACAAACCAACAAAAGAAAAAAAAACCCTGATTATTCCAGATTTTGAGAATCAATAGTTTGTGATATGGTTCTCAGCCCGTGTCCTGCTGTATATCACTGTTCTTATCATGAAGATAAAAAATCATCTGGAGCTATTTGTGACAAATACCTAGAAATAAGCACTATTTACAAATATGTTTATACCCTAAAATATTCTAAAAACATCTCACTCGACATTATATTCTATGCCATAATCTATAAAAGAGAAAGATTGCCAGTGACACAGTAACATATAGCTTTAGATATCAAAAAGTATGACAAAATCAGCAGCAAACTGACTGAAGTTCAGATAAAGCCACTTCAGCACCAAGATAAAGAGAGATGAAATTATGATTGAAGAACAAAACAAATTGCCCAATCAGTCCAGAAATCAATGTCCTGTAAATCACAAGGCAGTTATTTTTGCCACCACTTCAGATTGCCGCTAACAAGAACTGTATCGTAATCAGCATCTCCTCAGAAACAACTGATAGCAGCCATTGAAGAGCAATTACTCCAATCCCAAGTCCCATTACAAGTACTTGTGGACTTCTCAAAATAGGTATTTACAGGCCAAAATGTAATTAGAGGAATCAGTTGAGAACACAAAGCAGCAGGAATTGTTAAACAGTTTGTTTTCTTAAATCACAATGTTTTATCATGAATATCTTTTCCCCTATTCTGTCCCCAAATCTAACCAGAAAAATAAAATAGATGTCATGGACCCACAGCTTACACAAAACAGGCAAGTACTCTCATAAAAAACTTTTCTTGTGTTTTTTTTTTTAATTATTATTTTTTATTTATAAATATTTTTTTTCACAAAAAGTGAATAGGATTGGGCAGCAGGCAAAGCCTATTTTAGCCCTCTCACTGAACTTTTATTGTGTTCTAAATAGTATCTTGTCTTCAAAGCTTTCAAATATCAAAAAAAAAAAAAGAGAGAAAAAAAACTATAGCAACTATTATGAGTATGACCTATAGAACAAAAAAATATTGAAAATTGGAACAAAAGTTTGTTTCTGGAAATGTATGATGAAAACGTTGTTTCTTTAAACAATCTAGATTTGAAATGAGGAAGTGGATAGTACCACACACTGTCTTAGTTCCTTATAAATTTTCAATTCTCTTTTGTATACAAACAAGAGGCAGATCAATAATATTGTTAATTTTTAAAATACAAAATGTTCAGAAAGATAGAGTATTATAGATTATTCAAATTGATGTAAAGTACACTATATATTTTGAAAAGCATCTTGTTTGTCATCTCAAATTTCATTGATTTACAAAGAAAATTAACTACATTATGAATGTTACTTTTTTGGGGAAAAATCTGTTTTTGTTAAAAAGAGAACTGACTTTTGGCTTTTGAAATAGCCTAAAAACTTATTTTGCACAAATGTTTTAAAATAATAATCAACACAGAATTCTTATGTTACAAGCAATTCTTTTATGTTGTTTAACAATAACCTGTCTTTATACATTATCCTGTGAATCTATATTGTGTTAAAAAAGGTCCTTAAATTGTCTTTACGTTGATACACACTGCATATACATGTATCTATATAAATGTATTGATGTTTGTATCAGGTACCCATCCATGAAGGACATTGCCTCTTCAAGATAAAACAAAGCTTCAAAATTGTGCATTAAACAAAATGCAAACATATTATTGGATTTTAAATTCCCTTTAAATGCTTTGATATTTCAAACATGCTTCTTTCTAAAGGTTACTGTACTTAACAGTGATTTTAAAGCTGTCAATAAATAAACAAAACAGACAACGCCCCACTAAATTTACAATTCTATCAAAAAAGAAATCACTAAGCTTCAACTATATGGAATCTACCACGTGAAATATCTTTGTTTATTTGTCTAGACTAAAACAATGGCTACACCAGGTGACATCATATTTCAGTAATGAACTCATTGACTGTGAATTTTAATTATACTCCACGTAATATGCTATACTATTCACTTTATAAATTTACAAAAGCAGAAGCTCTGATTTTCAAAGATATACTGGCAAGTCAAGACCACACAAAAACTAACAATAAGATAGTTTCACTTGTCATATTATATTGTGACCAAATTACTCACTGGAAAGTTTGCCTGATTTGCATTCTACAGTTAATCAACCTTCATAACAGTTATTTTATTAATATTTTTTTGAACTTTGAAAGAAGTGTTTTCTCTAAAAATTACTTCTTCTGTTTTGGAGGGAATTTTGTTTAGTCTTTCTTCAAAGTAAGTGACATGAAATTTGGGGGTGGGGGGGGGGGGGGTGTTGAGGCTGGTTTAATTAATAGTCACGTATATATATATATATATATATATATATATATATATATATATATATATATATATATATATATATATATATATATATATATATATAATGGATTTCTAAGCTAAATCATTTTAAATGAAGCATTAATATACTCTTGCTTCACAACATTAGTATACTCGTTTTGGGAAAAGGACTAAAAATTTGCTCATAAAGGGATTTAATATTATTTTCAGTTAATTTTCAGCTATTTGACATCAAAAATACTCTAGAGAAAGCCATTTTGAAATCTGGAATTTTAGTAAGTCTCAATCAATCATATTTGTGTATAAATCATAAAATTATCATCTTTTTCTTTTTTTTAAAGCACATCACCACATGATCAAGGAAGGAAGAAAGATCACTACATAAAACAAGAAAGACGGACCTCCAACAGAATCATGACTTTACCTGACTGTCTCAATGAAGCCCGTTTTGGTACAGCTGAACTTATGTCAAGACACAAGGAAGAGGGGGCTGTTTTTACTTCCACATCTAAGACAAGTCGCAAGTATGCAGATTTGTTAAAGTCATGGTTAGATGTATCTATAGCATGCAAGTATTCAAATTTTATTTTTGTGTATCAAGAAAGTAAAAAATCTCAGATGTACCTAATATGAAAATTGACCTGATGTCTAATAAGTCGATTTGTACATTCCTTCTGCAAATCTGAATACCAGCTTGCTCAAAATCTTCTACAGTTATTGTATGAAAATTAATAAATAACTGTATTTTTAACAAAAGAAAAGAAGCCCTCCGATACCATAAGCAATCTTAGCCAAATCTCTTCATTAAACCAAACAATGGTGCAAATATGAACTCTCCATCCAAAACCTTTCCTATCAAAGTGAGCAGATGGATAACCTCATAACCACCCCTCTTCTACCCCACCTCCTTTCTCCCATATTTCAATGAAGACATCAACAAATCAATTAATTACTTTTTTAATTTCAATGATGATTCAGGGATTTGAAGGAAATTCAGTTAATGGATTTTGCACTTCAACAACTTGAGAAGGTGGAAAGAAGTTGCTAGCATTTGTTTTTTATTGAATAAGTAATGTTACTTGTATTACTTGCACAAAACACTGTACTCAATGAGTCTCCAAGATTTGTCAATGTCCTTTGAAGTATGAGCTCGCCAGATAGAAACCTTTTGCCCTGAAGTAAATCTTTTCATCTCAAACATGAGCAATTCAAAAATACAAGATTTCTCTTATAAAACAAACATTATTTCCTACACAAAGTCCTAAGACGCTTCTACAAAATATCAAACTGAAATCACTAATCACTAATCCTAAGCTATTCACATAATGAATTTCAATGATAAAGTTTGAAGTAATAACCAAAGAAAAATCAACAAGAAGGTTGAGATTCATTGTGTAAGAGGAAGCCCAAAGAGGAGGCTTCCATATATATAATAAATATCTTTTTGATAAGATCCTTTTGACGCAAGGTAGCCAAGTTGATAAACAATGTACCTGCCTCACCCCTTACACAGGTGACAATAAAACCAGCACTTTGGGGCATTTCTTAAACCCCCCTGACAAGCTAACATAAGACTTAAAAAGGCAATATTAAAGCTTTCATAATTCAATTTGCTGTCTCCCAAGAAAAAAAAGAAATCGATAGTAATAATTCAAAAATCAAAAATGCTCAGATTTGATTCAGTTTGTTTAACAGACAAAAAACCAATATAGAATATATGGTCAATATTGAATCCATGCGTCAAAGCCCGTATAATGAAAGTCCCATGTTTTGGTGATCATAAGGGAGTTAAGGGAAATCAGGCCTGGTACTGAATTAGCTACTTGAAAAATACTTGGGCTGCAAACTGTCAAATTTTATTGACATTTAGCACTTTATCTTGCTTCTGTACAAGACAAAGTAGAAATACAGGAAGCATTTATTCTCAAGAATCAAACAAAATCAGCCGTGTTGGCAATCAATTAACTTCATTTTGGAGACCTTTATTTGCATTCTGTTTAACCTAAATGGAAGGCTTGTAATATGGTAAGTCATGTTTTAATTATGTTGCTAACAGGTAAATTTTAACATAATTTTGTTTAAACACTTGGTAATTCTTTTAATAAATTATAATTTTTTTCTTTAATAGAAGTCTTTCTTTTTTTAGAATATTTGTTCTCCTAATTAAAAAATTTAGAAGTTTGTTAATAATTATAGCTGATTTCTGCACTCTATCAAAACACATGTTCTATAGTTTCTTGCAAAGATTAAATAAGAACTTGTTTTAACTTGAACTCTTTCATCCTCAAATTTTTGACTTTCAAATATCATTAACTACACTGATCCTCCATGTTTTATTTTTTATGATTTTATCTTGTTTACAAAGCAAAAAATTGAATAAAATAACACTGATGTTGTCTTTATAAAAAATCATGTTTAAAGTCACCACCCATAGAATTCTTCTGATCCGAACTATCAAGAATCAATTAAAAATCAATCTGTATTGAATCAAAAATTAAAAAAACATCATCAATCCATTACTCAGAGTGGCACAAACTCGTAAACAAGTAGAAACTTTGTATAGGATTTAAATCGATTCATTCTCATTTCATTTCGATGCACGTCAAGAAAATTTTGTCAGTTTGAACAAAATAAAAAAAGAATTCTGACGTCCAAGTGAATAGCAAGATTCTTTTTATTCTTAAAGGTATGCTCTTTATTAATTATTTTACAGTTTAAGAGAATCTTGAAAATTAATATAAGAAAATGAACACCATCAATAATTTTTTTTAAAAATACGAATGACAACTTTAACAAATTGTTATAGCACTCCTAATTATCAAGCTCTTTGACGTAATACTCATAATTAAGTTCAGTAGATTAATACCTGTAAAATTCACAGACCTCTAAATAGGTTTTAAAAAACTTAATAAAAATCACATTCAACACCATTATAATATTATAACAGAGGATTAAAGTGTAATTTTTTTTTATTTGGTAGGTCAAGATTTGTGCTAGGGATTACTAAGATGTCTATTGAGCCGTCAAATCTTTTAAGACACTTAAGATATTTTTTTTAATTTATTCTAGTCAGAGATTCTCTTCACTCCAGACTTCAATATTTTCTATGAGCTGAAGATAAAGATACCACTTTCCATTGATTAAAACTTTTTTGCAGGGTCGTTTTTATCAGACACACCATGTACGGCAATTTCCTGCAACGGTCCACAAAGAAACTTCAGGATGATTTACGACAGACAATGAAAACATATTCCTCTGAAAAGCAGCAACTTCTTCACCACCTAGCAAGTCTACGACATGAAATGGATGAGATGAGATTGTCCGGCAGTGAAACTCCCAATTCTACAGGAAGCACCGCCGATCTATCCACGGCGTCCAAAAGTCGCCGAGTTTTCCATGCTCCAAATGTTGCAGCTCACAAATTAAAAAAGAACAGGAAGAAAAAGACCAAACAGAGTACTAGAAATTCTGAAACCTTTGAGGAGAAAAAGGCAGTGGATGGAATTCTTAAGCTTCCAAGTATCAAAGAAGGAAATATTGGAAACCAACCACCTTTGACCTGGACAAACAAAAATTCAGAATGGGACTCTGGGCAACACATCTCTTTGAACAATTTACCTCCCATAAATCCACCCCAGGGCATTGCCGCTGCCCAGGAACTTTTACAAGATGATTTGGTCATGCCCAAAATTGTGGACCCAGACAGAAGTGATAAAAACATTCCAAAAAAAGAAAAACCTCGTGAGAAAAAGAAAGTCAAGTTTTCCTCTAAAAACCAAGTTGCTTTGTTCACAGGAGAAAATTCAGACATGAGGATCGAGGACAGTGATTCTGACACTGATTCAAAAAACTCCCAGCAATCTTGTTCAGAAAATAAATCTGAACACCATGGTGTGGACCAGAGGGAGCATTACCTGCCTCCATTGGATCTTGGAAATAGAAGACACTTAAACCCAAAGGAAACAGCCGACCACAAAATGCTTTATATTTCAATAAGGGACCCTGATGTACGGAGAAAAACATTATCTGAAATCTTACACGCTGTCAGAATGAGGATGCAGGAAAATGAGCATCATTTAAGGTTTGGAGAGATGCCTCGCAGGAAAACACATCTCAGCTCGTACGAATCGCTCCTCAACAGCAGCCAGGAATCACTGAACACTACAGACAGTAACAGGGTAAGATACCTTAATAAAACGGATATCACACCTCTAGATAGTAACAGGGTAAGATATCTTACTAAAATAGATATCACACCTCTAGATACTAACAGAGTAAGATGTCTTACTAAAATAGATATCACACCTCTAGATACTAACAGAGTAAGATGTCTAACTAAAATAGATATCACACCTCTAGATACAGAGCTGTACTAACAGGGTAAGATATCTTAATAAAAATAGATATCACACCTCAAGATATTAACAAGGTAAGATATCTTACTAAAATAGATATCACACCTATAGATACTAACAGGGTAAGACATCTTAATAAAATAGATATCACACCTATAAATATTAATAGGGTAAGATATCTTACCAAAATAGATATCATATCTCTAATACTAGCAGGATAAGATATCTTACTAAAATGCACAGCCATAGATATAGCCATATAGATCTCAATTTAGCAATTTTGTGTGAAAAGTTAGTTTTTGTGAATATAAATTTCTATAATTGTTCACTTAAATTTATAAATGAATTAAACAGAAAAAGACAAAATATAAATTTATAAATGAATTAAACAGAAAAAGACAAAATATATTTCTCCCCCTCTCCCTTTTTTCCTGAAAATGAGCTTAAAATTGTTAGAAACTGCATTTTTTTTTTAAAAATGCCACCAACTTTACAAAGAAACTTTAAAAGATAAATACATTATTAAATCACTTCATCAGTGTTTTTAGATTTTGCTTTCTATGATGAGTTACAAGTTAGACACATTAAGCAAATCAATACACATGCAGACTTATGTTTCTTTTAAGATATTGAGAACCTAAGTACTTATAAAAATTTAGAGACATGTTCATGGAATGTATCAAAGATTTAAATAGTTCAGACAAGGGTACAAGGTCAATCTGTGTTTGACCTATTTGGCTGCAGAATCAATTTGCACATGGGTATTTTATAAATGTGACCTAGTTATTATCTTTCTAAATCTCTTATATACTTTCTGGGTGAATGTTTCAAAATTGCAGGGTCATAAAGTCCATATGGAAAGATAAATATATTCTGGGTTATATATAATATAGTCTGTTAACATTGATAAAACTGTCACACCAAAACAACTTAAAAATATTAGACAAAAAAATATTTTAATAAACTTCCATCTCTATCTTAGCATACATATTGACACTTTTTTTCTACTAAAATCTAATTCTAATTTTTTTTTCTTTCTTGATATATCATTTAGACATCTTTCCCTCATTTTCTACATTCCTATTTCAGAGTAAACTAAGCCGAGCAGGAGTTCCTCAGAACACAGCTAGCAGACTTGGCCGACGTTCCAGCAATTCACAGCTTCAGAGCTACCTACGTAAAATGTCAAGGTCACGACGAATGATTGAGCATATGGAAGTTGAGGAATATCGACTGGCCCACATTATGGGGCACAAAGAACTAATGGCTGTTTCTCAGCAAGAAGCAAAACCTGCTGCAATTTAGCTAAAGCACAGCAACAACAGCAGTTAAAACATATTGCAGGAAGAAAGGCATTTCTTTTATTCCTGAATGAAACATGATGATTCATTCTGAAGACTATAGTCCTTACTGTATTTCTTACTTGGATTGCAGATATGGATTTTGTGTATTTTTGTTTCGTCTGAAATCCATAATGCTTTCCCTACTTAAAGGACAATTAACATGCTTACAGTTTTATTCATCAGATGTAATATAAACACATTATAATGAGTTTTCATTATGTAAATAAAAAAGTTGGTCCAAGTCTTTTCCTTTTTTAAATTTGATTACGATCAAGAAGACAACATCACTGATTAAACTCAATCCAGCAGAAAAGTTGCAAACAAGTGAAAGCATACCATTGTAGCAATAATTTTTCAACTGTTCAAGCATTCAGCAGTAATCTGTACATACTGTCAACAGAAACAGTTTTAAGAGAGTAAAATTGAACTAAATCCTTCACTTACATAGAGCTAGATCTGGATATGAGGCTGGAAGAACTGTTGTTTTTCCGTCGGAACACAGGAGAGGGTTCAGGACTAGGCTTGGTGTAGTCCTTCCTCTGAAATCGGGGGGAGGGACCGGGGTCTGGGCGGACAGGCTTCGGGGCTGATTCAATACCAATCCTGAAATAATCCATGCAACATCGCATCTAAAAACTCTGATAAAAAGAGAAAACTGGACACTAAAATTCTTTAAATATATCAACTATATAAACCTTCTGTTTGCATTATCTAAACTGATACATCTATCAAAACTTCTGTGTTCTTTCACTTTCCCATCAAAGTCATTAACTACCAAGGTCCTCCGGATGAGACCGTATAAACTGAGGTCCCCTGTTGCAGTAGGTGCTTACACGAAAAACACCCCTCACTGCTCAAAGGCCGTAAGTGCCAAGTACAGGTCTTAATTTGCAGCCCTTCATGGGCAAGTGGACTGGCATCTCAATATGAGTGAAAAATTCTTGAAGAGACGTTACACAAACAAACATTAACTACTGGCACATTGAGTTCACTGAACTAGAACTATAAACACATACTTTGACAGATTGGAGGATGAAGACATTTTCATCATCCCTGTGGTTCTGGGGGGTGGCATCAGCTGGCTGTCTACCCCCTGTGAAGCTTGCTTCCTAATGGGTTTGGGAGGGACTTCTGGGGGTTCTTTTCTGGGGGAATTCCCCTCGTCCTCTTCAGGAGTTTCTGGCAGAGGTAAAAGAGGCGTGACACTTCCATCAGCATACAGTAGCTCTTGGGGTAAAGGGGTTTTCCTTCTGACCTGGTAGAGAGAAAATATTCTGTCAACCAATCAGACAAGCATACATCATTGACCTATAAATTGATCCATATCATTGAAAAATGAGAAAACTGACTTATATACTTTACTCAAAGTAAAAATGAAAAAATTACATACATGTACATGCATTTCTTATATTAAAGTCAAAGATTTTAAAATATATTACAAAAGAAAAAAAATATCCTTAGCTTTATATCCCTTCTTTAATGACAAACTTTGAGTGCATGTTAATATATCTAAAAGTTCTTGTGAAATATGAAAATCTTCAACTATTTAAAAATAAAACATTTTAACTTAGTAACTTTGTTAATACAATGAATAGCACTTTATATTATTATAAGCTTAGAGTCTAATATGTTTTAAGAAAATACATCACTGATTAAATCCATGATCCATTGCTATAGAAATTGAATATATAGCTCTTATGTCACGATATTTGTGCAATTATAATTTTTATTAATTTAAATATTATTTAGAAGATGGGTACACAACATGCGTACAGAAATACCTGCTGACAATGAAAATTTAAAATCAACTTTGTTGTGGGTGAATCAGTAATTGACCTTACCATATGACATTTATCCATCTACTAAGTATATGTACTAGTATTAAAATGATAGAAACACTATGTGCCCCAGCTATATTCATGGTAGGGCATGAAAATTGAATTCGTAAAGATTTCCCCCACATACTGTTTTCATATATAGAAATATACATTACCTACTCTACCTCAGAGGTACTGCCAGGCAAATAAAAACTTATCAATTATATTTAATGATTTTCTTGTGAATAATTTAAAAGTGCTGCCCCCCTCTCCTTTTCAAATACATGAATGAATACATATCTATATATGTAAGAAAAATTAAAAAAAAAAATAAGTGCAGTTCTTAATTCTTACACCAAATTTATTTTCAAACCAAGCAGTAAACCAAGTAATCACTGAAACCATACTGTTATAACCATTCCTAATATGTTTATCAGTTTGACAAACATTAATAATCTAGAATTAATTAATGCAAATCTTTAGTTTACTTCAACCAATGTGTTCACATCACATACATGCAGTACTTGATTGGATTTCTAGCATGCAGTGTTCAATTTATTCATTCTTTAAAGGTTAATTGCTTTCATTTTCTAACTTTTACGGCTGATTTTTGCTTCCGAAGAAAAGATAATGTTGGAGTCTGAAACTTTCGAGGTCTCTTCTGTAACTATGACAACATCCGCATATTAATTAAATTAATGGCCTATTTTTCATTGATCTCTTTTATTGTAAAATTAGGCCTTATCATAAAAGAAATATAATTATAATGCTTATTTTGTAAAGAGAAGTGATCAAACTATTTGATACTTTATCATGTATGTTGTAAATTAGAGAAAAGATGCAATTCAGTGCTAATGTGTTAAAATTTGGAAGAAAATTTGAGCAACAATTCATCCTAATGTGAAACTGTGAAAATTGATAGCTTTTTCTCCTCTGGCAAGTATTCATAAAATGTATATAAAATTTATCAATAAATAAATATGTGTAAATAGTGCTATTTAATATATAAATATTATGAATACACATGTATATATACAGTAAGGAATAAGAATATGCATTAAATTTGTATTGAATTGTGTTGTGTTCATTCCATTTTACTCACCGGTGAAGTGGACTCCTAAAACATTGGTTAGGAACATTGTCATGCCAAGATACAATATAGACAGGTCAATGATATTGCATGCAATGCAAAATAGAAGTTAATCTTATCAATCTCTTGACTTCTCCTTTTTAAGAATATTTTCTATGGATGACTGATAGAAATTCACAGTCAGCACAAAGAATGACAAAATAACTATTTAAAAAAAACCTTCACGCTAAAAAAATCTAATACAAGCAATGACACCATCAACTAAACCTCCAGCCATCAAAGCTAAATCACAACAGTTATTCCATCTCTCTCTTTCATATGATACCAGAGTTATAAAAAATAAATATAGGTACTCAAAGATTACAATTTGCATCTCATCAAATCTAATACAAAAGTGGGGCTAAAAGTCTCATATCAAATGACTTGTTCAATGAGATACAATAGTTGGTTTTTTAATTACAATATTTATAACATCCACAACACAGCATCTGAAATGCTTATTTAGGCTGCAGTTGTATGCCTCAATAGATACATTATCTACAAAACAAGTTTGGTCCAGGTAGAGCTTACTTTGGATATAGACCTGCTACAAAAACTTTTCTTGGTCATTCATCCAGGAAATATAGGTCAGAAAGCACCTGAAGCATGACTGGTACTGGTAATAAACAGGGCTAGATGCAGCATCATCCATGGCAAGTCTAATTCAAGCCTATTTGGGATGAACCTATCATACTCTAAAAACTTTAATCTGGCCACTCATCTTAGTATGGTAGATAAATAGTATGATTGTAGCAAGCATCCCTTGATGCATTATCAAGTTTGGTCCAGGTTTTGTTTCTAGTCTTTTTGGAATAGACAGACAAAAACTTGATCACTTATCTTGAAAATATAGCTCTGTCAGCATCAGAAACACATCAATTGTTGGCATTCCTCTACATGCATCATCCCTGCAAATTTGGTCTAAGTAAGCCTTATAGTACTGCTCCATGAACTATAAACCAGTACATCAACCACTGATTGTTGAGGTGAGCAAAAAATAGTGTGAAGAAGAAAGAATAAGATCCCTCCTTTCCTTGTGATAATATTCATAGGATACCCCCTGAAGCATTTCCACAAACCTTCCTTATTCAACATCTGAGTGACTATAAATGTTCTTTTTCTTTCATAATTTGTACAGAAAGAGAGAGATGGATGGTCTAGTGTTAGTACCTGCTCTATAGGTGGATAGTACTGACAGGCTGACATGGGCATATTATAAAACACAGGACTGGACTTAACCTCAAACTGTCTCCTAAACAGTCTGTCAGCAAAAAATAGACCAAAACAGCACTAACATTTAAATGATGGATACAATTTGTAAATTGTATAGCTATGTACTTGAGAACTAAACTATCAGGACAAAAATTTCAAATAAAGAAGAATTAAATCAAAAGGGGTAACTAAAATTACAAAGAAACTAAGTTCAAAATTTTCATTTGACAATAAAAGGATATTGCAAGATAAATCTGCCAAGTAAAAAAATTTCATACGGTGAAATGCTCAAATCAAACAGACTGGAGAATTCAAGAACCAGCTAGTAATTCAAACAATTTATGAAAACAAACAAGAGTGCCTATTTAAGGCACCTCATGAGTGAACAACTACTGAACCAAAAAAATGAGAAACAATCTCCTAATACCCTCAGTGAACATTCATATTCTGACAAAAAAGAAACTGTTGATTCCAATCCTTATTACCACTGAATTTTGGAACTGTTTTACTTCTTCCTTTTAACACAGAATCAGAGGCTATATATACAAACAAGAGGCCCAAGGGCCTTAACGGTCATCTGAGTACAATACAACAATTTAGAGGATCCATAGAGTATTAAAATGAAAGGTGAAGCTTTGTTGCCCAGAAGCAAGAAAAATAGGGTGATCAGGATCAACAAAATAATTAGTCTAGTATTCATTAACAGTTTATAGATTAGGTTCTAATCTGTTCCCCATTTATCACTATTACCATAAGTACATAAACAAACTATCAGTGCTTCTATACTATTTTAATTTCTTGTTGTAATCTCTTACATTGGCCTCTCTTGGTCTTTGATGAACATTTAATAAGACAAGTTATTTTTGTCTCATCTTTATTTATCTATTACTTACAAGTCCACCTGATCATTAAAACTATGAAAATAATTTTTGTATTATACAATAAAAATTCTTGCATAATTCTCTTATTCTATTAACCTTTCAAGTACATTATTTACAGTGATTAATTATCAAAAGTAAACGGCAAAGGGGAATAACTCCTCTCAGTAGAATGCAAATTGAGCCCTGGCTAGGACCAGAACACTTGACCAAATGGTCCAGATGTTCAAAAATCTGGTAAAAATACCCTTCCTTATTACAACTTTTACTCTTTTTGCCTCTGATATGCCCAAGTGCAGAGAAGATTTTTAAAGAAATAATGCATTTTTCCTACAGATTCACTATATTATCAATAGAGCCCCCCCCCCCCCCTTCACCACCGAAAAACACCAGAGCCTCTCACCCTGGGACCAGAAGTTTGCTCTTCATAAGTAATCACTTTCTTTACATGTATCTACTTAACATTAAGGAGCTGACAGGATTATTTAATAGAATTAATGCATTTTCACTATATTATCAACAGCCCCACCCTTACACCAGCACATCTGACCCAGGGGTCATGCAATTCACTACTCTGGAAGAAGCACTCTTGCTCATCATAACTTGCTTCTCTGCTTTTTAACCAGAAGCAGAAAAGAATATTTTCAAAGAAATTTTGCTTTTTCACTATATAATCAATAGAGCCCCCCCCCCCTTTTCACCAGAACCCTTGACCCTGGGGCCATGAAATCCATAATTTTAGAAGAGGCATCCTTGCATATCATAAAAATGTACTTAGTTTGTTTAAATAGTACCCAGGGGCAGAGAAGAAGATTTTCAAAGAAATAATTCACCTTCACTATAGGAGCTATATAGCCCCAACCTAGCACCAGAACCCCTGTCCCTAAGGCCATGAAATTCACAATTTTGGAAGAGGTCATTGCTTACCATAACAATGTACTTTGTTTGTTTAAATAATACCCAGAAGCAAAGAAGAAGATTTTTAAAGCATTAATGCATTTTCACTATATAATAAATAGAGCTCAGTCCTAACATCAGAACCCCTGACCCAGGGGCCATGAAATTCACAATTTTGGTAGAGTCACTCTTGCTTATCATAACTATGTATTTCATTTGTTTAAATAATACCCAGGAGTAGAGAAGAAGATTTTCAAAGAAATAATGCACTTTCACTATATGATCTATATAGCCCCCCCCCCCCAGCACCAGAACCAATGACCCTGGGGCTATGAATTTCACAATTTTGGTAGAGTCACTCTTGCTTATCATAACTATGTATTTAATCTGTTTAAATAATACCCAGGAGTAGAAAAGAAGATTTTCAAAAATAATGCACTTTCACTATATGATCTATATAGCCCCGTCCTAGCACCCGAGAACCCCTAATCCTGGAGCTATGAATTTCACAATTTTGGTAGAGTCATCCTTGCTTATCATAACTATGTATTCAATTTGTTTCAATAATACCCAGGAGTAGAGAAGAAGATTTTCAAAGAAATAATGCACTTTCACTATATGATCTATATAGCCCCCCCCCAGCACCAGAACCAATGACCCTGGGGCTATGAATTTCACAATTTTGGTAGAGTCACTCTTGCTTATCATAACTATGTATCCAATTTGTTTCAGTAATACCCAGGAGTAGAGAAGAAGATTTTGAAAGAAATAATGCACTTTCACTATATGATCTATATAGCCCCCCCCCCCCCCCCCAGCACCAGAACCAATGACCCTGGGGCTATGAATTTCACAATTTTGGTAGAGCCACTCTTGCTTATCATAACTATATATCTAATTTGTTTAAATAATACCCGGGAGTAGAGAAGAAGATTTTGAAACTAATAATGCACTTTCACTATATGATCTATATAGCCCCACCCTAGCACCAGAACCCCTGACCCTGGGGCCATGAATTTCACAATTTTGGTAGAGTCATCCTTGCTTATCATAACTATGTATTCAATTTGTTTCAATAATACCCAGGAGTAGAGAAGAAGATTTTCAAAAAAATAATGCACTTTCACTATATGATCTATATAGCCTCCCCCCCCCCCCCCCCAGCACCAGAACCAATGACCCTGGGGCTATGAATTTCACAATTTTGGTAGAGTCACCCTTGCTTATCATAACTATGTATTCAATTTGTTTCAGTAATACCCAGGAGTAGAGAAGAAGATTTTCAAAGAAATAATGCACTTTCACTATATGATCTATATAGCCCCGCCCTAGCACCAGAACCCCTGACCCTGGGGCCATGAATTTCACAATTTTGGTAGAGGGCTCAATGCTTATTACAATCATGTCAACAGTTTGACTGCTTGATGTCCAGGAGTAAAGAAGAAGATTTTTAAAGATTGCATTAATTTTGGTGGTTTTAGCCCCACCCCTCAGGCCCCAGGGGGGCAGGGACCATGAAATTCACAAATTTTGTTCCCCTTCACACATAGATGCCATATGCAAAAATTGGCTGAAATTGGTTCAGCGGTTTCAGAGAAGAAGCTGAAAATGTTCAAATGTTAACACACGACGGACGACGACGGACGAAAACAGATAGCAATAGGTCACCTGAGTGACTCAGGTGACCTAATAAAAAGCATCTTTAGATCACTACCATAAACTGTTCATGAGTATTCAACCTTAAAACTCTACAGTGTTCTATACAGTTTAAAATGGGGAAAGGGGGGGGGGGGCAAAAAATAAACTTAAAACGGCCATGCACATACATGTATGTAAATTTTTATTCTACAGAACACATGTACCACTAGACAATCACATCACTAAAACAACATAAAACATGCATCAAGACATTCAACATAGACTCTATATAATTATACAATGTTGAATGCATGCTACTTGAAAACATGCAAAGAACAAAATTTAACAAATATCCATCTGGAAAAGATACATGCTTTTGTGTAAACCCAGTGTTATAGGGCCTGTGGTGATGTGCTGATCCAATGTCTCTCCTTTAAAGGACCTGACAATAATGGACTTGAGGGGATTTATTTTCTGAGGTGGTATGACTTACCTTATTTCCCCTAACAGGGGGCTCTGCTGCGGGTACACTGACAGTACTGTTAACTGCATTGGAAGAAACCTCAGAAGTGTTCTCAAACATGCTGAACAGTGCAGCAGGAAACAAAATGGTCAGCATTAAATCGCAAATAAATCCAAGCCAGCATCAGCAGCAGCAGTAGTAAAAGGGAAAAAGTATAAAGAAAGAAGAAAATGAAAAACACGACATGCTAATACAGAAAAACAAATAAAAACAGAACAGGATTCATAACTGCAAATAAATCCAAAATAAACAAAAGGCATAATCACGATAATAAAATTAGTCTATAGTTATTAACATGGAGATCTGATGGTCAAACTTTTGAGTCATCAGTTTGCAAAGGAAACAGTGATCAAGAGTTAATGTGAATTATTATGAAGTATTGATGCTAATTAGCAAACAGAAGTAGTTAGCTATCAGATCTCCACTTAATTCTACATAAAGAAAATGCATTTTGGAAACTGCAGCATGTTTCATGCACCAAAACTTTACTCCAGACCAACTCCCTAGCTCCTTCCTGTTGGCATATGTTACTCATCCATATCCTTTATTTACAGACCAGTGACCTGAGAATTTTACATACAATGCAGACAGTGTATACAGATAGAAAAAGGCAGAGTCTGGCAGATAATGGAAATCGAGAAAAATATGCTGCTTGTTTAAACAAATCTTATAATCCATACCTTCTTGAATTTTCTGTTAAATATAAATCAAGAATTTGAGGATATTGCAATATACATACATATGTATAATAATTCAAATTCTGCAAACAAATTCTTAGATTTTTTAGATTTTTTTTCATGAAGTTCAGATCAGGATTTGTACCTTTTCTATCAAGTATTTTGTACATTTTTTTAATTATATCCAAAATAAGTGGGTGGCTGGTGATTTGAAAGTATGGGCTGCTTGGATTGTTCATTTACTTAACAGTAACCATTATTCAATCCATAATGCATTTCCTTCTTAGGCATAACAATATCATGACAACTATATAATCATAACAATCAGTGATAGTGTAAATTAATATACAGATACTAAACACATAATGATGGCAAAATAGTAAGAATGGACATTTGCAGGTAAGTGGACTTCAGTATCAACTGCAATTATTCACACTATTCAAGTATGGAGATTTTATTTGCATAACGGAATCAAATTAATACAGAGGGTATATTTCCATTTTGTATGGTATACATTTTTTAACTAATTTTGCTCCATATCATAGAACTTAACAAAGAAAGACTAAGGTACTCTTAAATATGCAAAAAAATTGTATCGAATATTTCAGACTAAAAGAGCTTCCATGTCAGGTATAATCAATTGCAGTCAATATCTTAGTTCTCTTTAATGCAAATCTCCAATAAACACAGGGGGTTTATTTTCATTGTTCATAATCAAACATTAATTTCCAAACCAAAATTTTGTGCATTTCTCTCATTTTGATTAAAATATGAAGTAAAAAATACATGTAAATACCCCCCCCCCCCAAACCAAACCTTTTCAGCAAACTTATTATTAAAGATTCATGTTTATCCATGTACAACAATTCTAATGTTCTTTCTATTAAGGACAAAACATAAAATGGAACAATGTAATAACTTACATCAATCTATCCCTTATAATTCTTTTATCATTTTGCCATTTTTTAATGCTAATTTTTGTAACAGGAACTAAATCAAATTGCTACATACATGCTAAGTAACTGTGTTTTAATTATTTATTTATCTATATTTTTATTTATTTTTTTGTATATCTAATATATACTGCAGCAACTGAAATTAATCTTATCTTACCCCTGGTTATAAAGTGAAAAACTACAGAAATATATAGCAGATCACCAGAATTACACTAATATTCTCACGTACTTCGAGAGATAATGTACAAAAAAAAAGTTACACATTAAAAAAAGAATACATCTTTCACGTACCAAATCTGTGTCGTCATAAACTAAGAATCTCCATAATAAAACATACTATCAGAACCAGAATGGTGAAGACATATGGGTCAAAACTAAGCCAGAAAATTGACATCCAAACAACATAGATTTCATAGTAAAGAGGAAAATCCAAGGTACCCCAAAATGTACCGGGCAAGCAGCAGGAATAAAAAAAGAAAAAAAAAATCAAGATGTTAAAAAAATTTTAATAACCAGAAAAATTGTACTCTATTAATGAGCACTGCTATAATTTGTATCACAGTGACTATCATTTAAAAACAAGAATCAAAATCAATTTTAACATTAAGGTACCGTCTTTAATTGTATATTTATATTTAAGAATATTGCTACAAGTCCTCTGACCTGCACTGATTGTATGGATTTACAAATGTTCTACATGTATAATTTAAAATGTTAAATGCGCTGCAGAGCTATAAAAAGTTGGACATGGCAATACAGAAGAATGCAATGCTTAAAGTTCATCAAAGATTAATCCTAAATCTCTGGCATAAGAAAAATTTAAGTCCGCCTCTACTTGACTTTTCACCACCTCTCACATGCGTTTTCCCCAACCCAATATTTCAGTGCCAGTGCTTTAATCCGATTCAAATTATGTCTTGCGTCATATACATATGACATTCTCTTGAGGGTATGCCAGTGCATTATACAAATACTTTCATGCAATTGCCCCAGTGGTTGTGTTTATGAGTTTGTATTCCCAATTCTATTTATCATTATATATGCAAAAAAAAAAAATTCACCATAGATACTATTATATAATTCAAATCATGACAAATATTATCCAAATACCCGGTACAAGAATATCCCAATTCTGCATACATATGAATGTAGAATGATATTAAATAAATATTAAAATTATTATGAGACATAAGTGAAATATAAAGACTGAAATAAAAAAGTGACCAAGTTACAGAATTAGAAAATAAAATTTTCCAAATGTAGATTATATGTTACTTCTATATATAGTTACACATATAGACTTTCACTTTAACAGCAGCAAGACAGTGCGATGACTATATACATGGAAATTATACTGACTGCAATGAATCTATGTGAAAAAGCTGACAGATGACCGATTAGCCATGAGTAGTACCCAGGATATAATTTAGGCTGTTGATTAAGAGCACATATTACCTAATTAAATTTTCAAAGTTTGCAGAACGGTCAGTTATATTGGGTTTGTTGCTCGCTCTGAAAAGGAGGGATTAAAATGTGAACCTGTACCATAGGAGGCATAAAAGCAGCATGAAAATGATATTAACTATGACTAAGATGGAAACATTTACCCTCGTCCAACCTTACCCTAACAGTTAGTGTTATAGGATAGATGCTATATCTACATTTAATTCAAGAAGATTTGACTTTATTCATAGTTTCTGTGTAAAATTGAACCTAATATTGTACCCAAATTTACATACCTAAGTATGACTTCAACAGAAATGCAAAAAATGTGTATTAATCCTGATCTTGAATATACCGGTAACCCTCACAATGTAAAATGACTTAGACCCTAATGTGTCATGTGTTCTCATTAAAAAATCACAATCTGTGTCCGAATAAATTCATTTCTCAATCAGTGTACTGCGTGTGCAGGCATGACAAAATGTCCGTATAGCAGGTGCTTGATGAGTGATGTTTTCTCCAAAATATGCTTGAAATAAAGTCATACCTGTACTTAAGAGCATAACGTTTTCTGAAATATTTTGAATACAGAAAGAAATTGACTTTTGATCATATGCCTCTCTCTACCAACTACCAATCTTAAATGACAATGGTAAATGACACTAAAATTCCTGATATTACAACCACCCCTAAACTTCTGGTTATGTCAACCTCAACCACTAGAGTATAACCAGGTAAAAGTATGTACAATATGATATGTATAACACACAGGTACCAAAATCATGATGTAATATGGATAAACAAATGTCAAAATGCACATAATCAAAATAACAGAACTAAAGAGGAAAAAAAATAATGATAAAAATTAGTGTTTTTTTTTTCAATTTCAAAACTATCTTTAAAACTGTTAGTAAACTGCATTAAAGAAAATATTATTAACAGCAGGAGAATTTCTCAAAAAGCCTAGCAGGGTTTCTCAAAACATTTTATCTAAGAAAATATTTCAAATTTTCTCAAAATGCCAGTTATTCAATTAAAACTTATGCAAAAGCTTTTAAAATATGTATTTTAGATGACGCAAGAGCTAAATTCACAAGAAATACCCTAATGCATTGTTTATGAAGCACTCTATGCAACACTGGAACAAGACTGACTTACCTGTCCGCAGGTGAGGACGAGGCAGACTCCTCAGAGGATTCCATATCTTAAATTTAAATTAAAAAAAAATTAAGCAATATTGGTTTAACTGTATACTCAAGAATAAACAGCAATATCAGTAAACCTACAGGTACCTATGATGGGACAATATTTCATATGAGAAACATTCATAATCAAAGTCTATTTGCAAAACAAAGCCAAATTCTAATTGTAGCAGACTTCTCCCTGACCAATGACTTGAATCTGATGCTTTGAACAGATTTGAAGCCATATTCCTAGACCAAACATATTTGTTTTTATCTCATTTACACATAACTCAAGAGTTATGACCAACAGCAATGGTGTGGTCAGCCACAGAAATGTAAAATAACAGGTCCTCTGATCTTTTAATCTTAGGGCAAATAGAGATAAAAAAAATGATATAAACACATAAAGAATTAAAATAAAGAGTTCCACTAGAGTGTTTCACTGTGATAAAAACAGAGAAAAGAAATATACCATCAGCAGCATTGGTCATCAAATTGTCCACTTCAATGCCCACTTGGTCATTTATCATGTGCTTGAGCAGATCCTGTTGTAAAGTGTTGTTTAACTCAGTCTGGTGAAGCATCTCTCTGATCTCCTTCAACTCATTCTCCTTCTGGGATAGAGCTAGGCCCTATAAAAATAGCAACAGGATTGACAAATAGCTAGGCCCTATAAAAAAAAGTAATAGGATTGACAATAACCCTACAAAAAATGTAACTCGATTAACAATGAGCCAGGGCCTATAAAAGTAGTTAAAAGCTATTACAGCATTTACACAGAATCTGTTCCTGTAAAAGCAGTTACAGCATTTACACAGAATCTGGTCCTGTAAAAGCAGTTACAGCATTTACCCAGAATCTGGTCCTGTAAAAGCAGTTACAACATTTACATACAGTCTGATTCTATAAAAGCTGTTACAGCATTTACACAGAATCTGGTCCTGTGAAAGCAGTTACAGCATTTACACAGAATCTGTTCCTGTAAAAGCAGTTACAGCATTTACACAGAATCTGGTCCTGTAAAAGCAGCTACAGCATTTACCCAGAATCTGGTCCTGTAAAAGCAGTTACAACATTTACATACAGTCTGATTCTATAAAAGCTGTTACAGCATTTACACAGAATCTGGTCCTGTGAAAGCAGTTACAGCATTTACACAGAATCTGTTCCTGTAAAAGCAGTTACAGCATTTACACAGAATCTGGTTCTGTATAAGCAGTTACAGCATTTACACAGAATTGTTTACAGCATTTACAAAGAGCATGGTCCTCTGTGTAATTACTGTACATTATTTTAATAAAGTCACTCCCTACAAAGAGTTTCAGGATTTATAAAAATCCAGGTCCAAGAAATCCAGTTACAGGATTAACACAGATAAACTTCCTACAAAGGCATTTACAGGATTTATGAAGACCTTCCAAGGCTGTAACAGGACTAACACCTTACAAATGTAGTTACAGGGTTTACTTTAAACCAAATACTGTATAAGCATCAGTGAAAGTTTGTGCTTTCATTTGATAAAACAGTACAATTAAATACTGTACCCTTCCTATGGAAGTCTGTATGAAGTGTTCCAGTAAATATCTGGTTTCCTCTAAGGAGCAGTTATTGAACAAATCTGTGGTATCAAATCCTTCATTATCTTCCTACAAAATACAGATAGAATTCTATGACAGGTACAACAATTAAAGACTTCACATCAATTACAATACTCAGATCTATGGAGAATATGAAGCAGATTCATGAGTATTTTATTAAATTATTATACTGTAATTATTATATATATAAGAGATGCATAAGTTTTCTTTTTTTAAGGAAGAGATGCATATTGTAAGACTTAACTTATTCCTGTGTACATCTAGGGCCATAGATTGTAAGATATACAATAAATTATTCCCAGAAAGATTCAAATGAAATCATATTCAATAGGAAAACTTGCCTTGGCTTCCTCAATCTGCATGATCTGTGACTGACACTCGGAGATGTATTCCTGTGTATACTGAACTTGTCCCTGCAGCATTCCTATCACACAGTTCAGTTCTCCAATCACTGAGTCATCCTAAACAAAATAAAACAAAGACCACACAGTTCAGTTCTCCAATCACCGAGTCATCCTAAACAAAATAAAATAAAGATCACCTAATTCAGCCCTCCAATCACCGAGTCATCCTAAACAAAATAAAAAAAGATCCTCCAATCACCAAGTCATCCTAAGCAAAATAAAATAAAGATCCTCCAATCACCAAGTCATCCTAAACAAAATAAAATAAAGATCCTCCAATCACCGAGTCATCCTAAACAAAAAAAAATAAAGGTCCTCCAATCACCAAGTCATCCTAAGCATTTAAAATAAAGATACTCCAATCACCAAGTCATCCTAAGCAAAACAGACAGGTCAAAAAAATAAACCACACAGTTCAGCTCCCCAATCACAGAGTCATCCTAAACAAAATAGGTCAAAAAAGGACCATGCAAAACATCAATACAGTATTCACATACATGTGATAATTTATACTGTACAGGAGCCTTGAAAATAGTGGAATTCAAGTGAAATACTGTAAAATTGATCAGCAAAAAAAAAAAAAAAAAAAAAAAATGTACAAATAACTGTGCAAAATATCAACCAAAAAAATCATTATAAATCATTATAAAAGGATCATTTTTATTCCTAATTTCATATATATTCATAGTGTTAATTATATTGCAAGTAACTTTAGAATTTCATATTCACAGCAATCCCCATGGTCAATGTTGAATTTTGTAAATAGACTGTTTATAGCACAGTTTACCATTTGTAAGTCTCTGTATCAAGTCATCTGCATTTTTCTCTTGATACTGAAGCATCACTCTGACTCTGTGTTACAATCGACAATACTTACAGAAAAGCAGACCAAATAAGTTATGGATTAAATTTTGTATTGTTGTCACACGGAACTGCTCTGATTCGTTTTGTTTTCTCTTAAGCAACTTTGTATTGACAAAATTCTAACAAGTTAAAATTGAAACCCTATGATAAAAACAATTCAACCTAAGAGAAGTTTTGATACATTTTAATTACCTTGTAATTGTCACAGAAAATGTTTTTCTTTTCGTTTATGTACGTTAACCAAGCATAATAAGCCAAGCATCAAACAAGATTTCCAGTATTGTGAGAGCAAGAAAAAAGAAAAATGGCAGTTTCTAGTAAACAATTCCAAATATGGGATAAAATTTCATTTTTCATGAATTTTGGTGTCCCACTGTGATCCCGTGAACTGGATAAAAAAATATGTGACATTTCGGATACAATCTGAACATATCACATATATGTATCTATTCCTTTCAATTACATGCAAATTCATTTCAGTGGATACTCAATGAAACAATGCTACTCTATAAATAAACTTACTTTGCCCTCTTTAATGGCTATATCTCTTTTTCTGCAGAATTTGTCAAGCTTCTTGCAGACACTCTCTCTTTCCTACAATAAAGAATAAAATTCGATCCAATGTATTCTACATACATGTAGTTTTGTAGACATCCTAGGTACATGATTGTAAAAGACCAAATGTAATAATGTTTTTTACCTTTAACCAGATATCCATATCTTTCTCCATGTTGATGATGGTCTGTTTTTTAGTTATCACATTAGAAATCTGTATGAAAGAGAGACACAATGTCATGATTAAACAAATAATACAGTAGAAACACTTGTGGAAAAAGAAATAGAGTTGGAATCCCAGCCAATTTTAGAGGATAATAATGATTATACAGTGAAACTTGTCTTATCCAGATGTTGTGTATTACGAAATCCTGTCTAATACACTGTAAACTTAAAGTCCATTTCAGTAAATTCAATTGTTTAAAATTTTTTCCTTTCCAGAATGTTGCCTTATCTGGCCAATTTCTATGGAACTGGTGGCTGTCCAGATTAGATAAGTTTTACTGTACACACAATCATATAGATGGATGACTGAACCTTTTTCTCCAGTGTATCCCACTTCTGTTTGGCGGCTTTGGCACTGAACTCTGAACGCTTCTTTCTACGAGGTGATGAAGTAAATGGAGCTGTAATGAAAATAAAATTATGACAATTACAATATTACAATTACACTATTACAATTACACTATCTCCATTACACAATTACAATTACACTATCTCCATTACACTATTACAATGACACAACCTCCATTACACTATTACAATTACACTATCTCCATTACACTATTACAATTACAACATCTTCATTACATTATTACAATTACACTCTCTCCATTACACCATTACAATTACATTATCTCCATTACACTATTACAATTACATTATCTCCATTACACTATTACAATGACACTATCTCCATTACAGTATTACAATAACACTATCTCTATGACAAAACAAAATTCGAGCAAGTGTCTCAAGTGAATACCCACCCACTGGTATGGTTTTAGGACGGTCATATTTGGCTATTCTGCCAGCAGCCATGGATGACATTGGTTTTTTCTCTTTTCTTCTCAGAGCTTCAACCTGACAAAAAGAAATAAAAGACTAGAAGTGTGCTTTGATTAAAGGAAATTAAAATAATCATAATAATGCACAACCAAGTCAAAAGCAATGTATCAGTATGCATTTCCATGTAATGAGAACACACAATGTTAAAAAGCTGTAACATACACATAAATCTGATAAGTAATATGTCAGACTCATGTGGTATTGGATCCACCTATTAATTAATGTGTAAATGTAAATATGAAGTAAAATACTTTCTAAGGGAATTTGCAAATTCCCTTTCTTTAAAAATCATGAACTCTTTGTATTAAAGAAAAAAAAATCAAGAGATATTGGTGTACTGCAAAACCAATAAGCTTGCACATCTTGAATATCATATTTAATGAAATGCAACATACAAGTTATTAATTCAGGCTGATAAAAGCTTTATTGTACAAGCTGCTCTCATTTTTTATGAAAAAAGGACCATCAAATAATGAAATGTTACTCGACAGAATGAATTTTACATTTTTAAAAATTATTTTTAGAAATTAAAATAATCAGCTTTTCATAATAGTTGGGAGACTTTGACATAAATATACACATAATGGAGCTTTACAGTCCTGTTCTTTACAAATACCACACCTCTACTGGATTTTTAATACCAATTCATGCTGTGTATTTTGATGACACCTGTACCACATATACAGTATATGACTTGCTATTTTTTATACCATACACATCACACATATACATAAGATATGGTTTTACAGACGTTTCACCTATAATTTCTGATTTGCTGTAGAGAATATCATTTTACACAGAGGAGAAATTTTGAAAATAAATGGTCTACTTTTAATACAAGTAGGTCTCTTACATTTATTAATAAAAAACTTAATTCTAACCAATACACACAAAAATCAGAGGAACTACCAGTAATAAAAAGAAGATTGCATTGTGAACATTGAGAAATTCTAGGACATCTATAGACTGATTATATATACCCATTCTATTTAATATTCATGGCTACATGAGTATGAAGTACAGTGTAACAAGTAAAGAATACATAGCATGAGTGATAAGCCTGTACAAAGTTACCTCTCTTGTGATTTTTTCTATGCTGGCATTCAACTGAAACAGTGGGTTTCCATCAAGAAAATTACTTATTGACAATCAGGTCATATAAAAAGCATAGGTACAAGTACAAGTGTACATAAATGAATGAAAAAATAACAATGGATGAAAGAAGGAAGAAATAACAAATATGTTGGTGCATAGCATATTGTCCAATTAGATTTGTATGAAAATGGATAAAATATTACAAAAGTCATGACATTAATTTCATTATCTATTAGGTTAAATACGTATTCTTAGGAAATGGAAAACAGAGAAAACAAAACCATGCACCTTAGCCCAATCCCAAATTTAGATGTATAGAGAGTGAAGACGTAAAGAGTTACCTCCTCTTGTTTGCGTTTGAGTACAGCCTCTTTCTGACGTTTCTCCTTCTCCAGGTTGCGGATCATGTTTTCTTTGCGTACCTGGTCCTTACGTAACTGAGCCACTTCCCTGGTTCGCCGGGCCTCCACAGCTTTACCTTTCTCTAGTTCTTCCTTGACCTGCTTCATTAACTTCACCTACATTAACAAGTCACACTGTGTAAATGGCTTTAAGATATTCTTAAACAAGACAAACATCCCATCACTGGATGCTTCAAACTAAAAATCTCTCTTTTAGAAATACTTTTCAAAGATGAATCAAGGGTTTAAATTTCAAGGAATTTTGTACATTTTCTCTCTTCAAATTTTAGTTTAAGTCTGTTGCAATTTTCAAAATCATCATTATTAAACATCAGAATTTTATTTTTCAATCATAATTATGTAAATTTCATTCTATGAAAGACAGTTCCTATCAAAATTGCTGATGCACTACAACTATATAACACCTGTGTTCAATATGCACTGTTTTATGGGACAACTTTTAATAGTTCTAAAATTCCCTACTTTTAATCCCAAAAATATACCTTAGTTTTCTTCATTTCAGCCAAATCATGCTGCAGGGTCTTCAACTGTTTTTCATGATATGAGGACTGCTTCTGCATGCGGGCGTAGTCACGCTTGGCTTGCTCTGTCTTCTTCAGGTCATTCTGGAGGGCTGCCAGTCTTTTCTCGTACTCCTCCTTGACCTTTTTGACCTTCCCCATGGACTCGCTCTCTACACTGCTGATGTTAGACAGGACCTTGTCTCGCTCCTCCTCTGTGGCTCGGATTTGGGACTGTAATTGTCGGACTTTTTCCTCGTACTGGTGGCGGACCGCCTGGACCTGCTTCTGAGCCTGTTCCAGCTCCTCCACCAACCTCTGTTTTATAGATATACTACACGTAAGCTCCGCTAGGTCTTCATGTATGTTATCTGAATCTGGAAAAAATGTAAAATAAATTATATTAATTTGATTTACAATTTCAATAGTTTATAGCCATTTAACATGACATCACTGATGATAAGTTTTGTAAAAATATAAATTTTCATAGCAAGCATATTTTAACATATACTGCATAGATACAAGTACTCAATGATACAAACATGCACAAATAAACCTGTCAGATTAATTATAACAAAATTAACAAAATACTTGATAGAGCTCAAATGTCAAATAAAAGGGAAACTCATTCAGGATTGCTGGATAACAGTGCCACAAGATGGAAAAAAATTGGGAGAAATAAGTACATGTACTTAAAGAGTTTAAACTTTGGTTCTTGAAGTCTAGAAATCTATAACCAAATCTTTGTTATGAACTTAAAATTCATGTACTACAAAACCTAATATAAAATGTTTTTTACAGCATATGAGAAAGAAAAATACGAAAACAACACACACACACAGGAAGCTACTTTTCACCTTCATAAAACCACAGGTACTCCATTAGTGGATCCGCAAAGGCTGCATGTTCAATACACAATACAGAATTACCATTCTTTATCAAATAACAGAATATCAAACTGTATCAATACCAGTACATTCTCCATGATGTATTTAAATATGATTTTATGTACATGTACAGTTTTCATAGGATCTTATGTACATATAACTACATGTATATAAATAATAATAATATATTAACCTTTATCATCAGTATCTGAGTCTGAATCTGATGAAGACAGATTTTCTAGCTCTTCTTCCATGTCATCATCCTCTTCATCATCTCCATTTAGCTGTTCATGAGAAAAAAATGTACATCCCTTTTTTAAACAACATGCACTATCTAAAGTTACATGTACTTTATATGATTTTTCTGCAAACTAAGGATTGTTTCAAAACAAAGTACATGTATTAGAAGGCAACACATAGATAATCATACACTACATATTATGCTTTTATTAATGTCCTATAAAACACAATGCTAAGTCTAATGTCAAGTATAATTGTTCAACTAGAAAACATTATCTAATTTCTTCACTTCAGATGTTGGAGTGTGTCTGGCTACTCATCTAGAAAATGTACATGTACAAGTAGCATCAGAACAAAAATTTTGAGCTTAATTTTTTCAAGAGAAGCTAGTAGTTATCAAGGGATAAATTGATTTCCATTTTTTTTTCTCTCCACTCATCCAAAAACATATTTCATATGCAACATCCAGACAGGTGAAAGGCATAGCCAGATGCTTCATCCAAGAAAGCATGGCACAGATGGGGCTTATAGCTGCATATAGAGTCTTGCCTTGGATTCAACTACTGCAAACACTTTGATCTGACTTCAGCAAGGTCAGGTAAAAATCTTTAAGATAATAAATGCTTTGCATAAAGACTTACATCTGCACTTAATCTATCCTCCTCATCTTCTTCGTTGATGTCCTCAGTATTTTCTTCCTCTTCATTATCTGCTCCTTCTTCTTCATTCATCTCTTCTCCATTCTGTTCTGCCTCATTTTGATCCTTTTCATCATCAAAATTGTCCTCTTTTTCACTAAAATAATTCAGTTAAAATTCAATTAAATTTTATCTGAGATTAGATGTGCATACTGTTGACTGTTAACACAGTTTGGGGCTGTCTTTATCGTTCCCTATAACACTTTCAAGTCACATGCTCTTAGGCATCATTTGTGCATTACAATACTGCTAATAACTTACCTTGTTTTTGAGTACATTTTCTTCTTCATTTTTTTCAGCTTTTTCATTCGACTGACATCTCGTTTGGCCTCCTCTATAATAGAAAGCCTACTTTCTGTCATTGACCCCATAAAACTCCCCATCATGTGTCCTGGTGAGATTGGACTCACAGGCTCGTTCATGAGGGACATGCTGCTCCCCATCCGCGATGCCACATTTTTCCTCCTGAACTGATCAGCTGTGTGCTCAGCCTCCAACAGTTTGGCCCTGTAGAAGTCATATCCCACATGAGGCAGAGCATTAAACAAGAAGAGACTGAATTTTTTGTATCATTGACTCTTTTTAAAAATAAAATATATACCTGAGCTCTTCTAATTCTTTGACATAACTTTCTATCAGTTTTGTTACTTCACTGTCCCGTGCATCCTCTGCAATATATCAAATGTAATTACATGTATTTTAATAATGAATACTGTATAAAAGCTCACTCAATTCACATTTTTTCAAATTTTTCTACTGTTTTAAACTGTTACTACTTCACTTCTCAATCAACCTTCACAATACATATTTAACAATTCATGGATTATGTGAACCCTCAGCACTGACCAGATACATTATACACCCCCAACACTGACCAGATACATTATACACCCCTAGCACTGACCAGATACATTATACACCCCTAGCACTGACCAGATATATTGTACACCCCTAGCACTGACCAGATATATCATACACCCCGAGCACTGACCAGATACTTTATACACCCCCACCACTGACCAGATACATTATACACCCCCAACACTGACCAGATATATTACACACCCCCACCACTGACCAGATACATTATACACCCCCAGCACTGACCAGACACATTATACACCCCTAGCACTGACCAGATACATTATACACCCCCAACACTGACCAGATACATTATACACCCCCACCACTGACCAGACACATTATACACCCCCAGCACTGACCAGATATATTATACATCCCCAGCACTGACCAGATACATTATACAACCCCAACACTGACCAGATATATTATACACCCCCAGCACTGCTTTTTCAGCCAACAGATCCGAGTTCCGTTTTGTCAACATCTCTACAGTTTCATGCATGGCTTTGATCCTCTGTCTTAGTTTATCATTCTCTGTCTGTAGCATGGTGTTTTCATGGAACATATCATTTACTGTCTCCACTCCATCTTCGTCTACCCTGCGTTTTCCCTGAAAAAATGTTGTACTACAGTCAGTATTTAAAATTAAAACATTCAGTATTTAAAGATAATACATGTACTAGAATTGAATATTTAGCTACATTTTAAAACATAGGTAATCAAAGATTACGAAGCTCACCTCGACGAATGTTATCAGTAAAAGTAATGCAAATCTCACATCATATTTTCTTAATAGTTAGTGTGCATCTTGAAAACAATATTCATGCAAGTTCTGTGTAAGTAGGTCTTATAGTTCATTGGTAATTGACCTGTTCCAAAAACTTTAAACTGTTCACTAATCAAGAAAATGTCTTTCATTTCCTACATCCGAAGCAAGTCTGGAATGCACCATCTATGCAAGTTAAATTATAACAGGCCATATAAATAATTATAGAGCTACTCCAAACACATTGTCATGGTTACTCATTTGGAAAATATATGTCAGATCCAGCATCCGAAGCAAGTCTGGTAGTGCCCATCCCTAGATACATCATCCATGCAAGCTTTGTCCAAGTAGGGCTTATAGTTACTTGGGAATGGACCTGCTCCAAAAACTTTAACCTGGTCACTCATCTGGAAAATGTAGGTCAGATCCAGCATCTGAAGCAAGTCTGGTAGTGTCCATCCCTAGATGCATCATCCATGCAAGTTTGGTCCAGGTCGGGCTTATAGTTACTTGGGAATGGACCTGCTCCAAAAACTTTAACCTGGTCACTTATCTGGAAAATCTAGGTCAGATCCAGCATCCGAAGCAAGTGTGGTAGTGTCCATCCCTAGATGCATCATCCATGCAAGTTTGGTCCAGGTAGGACTTATAGTTACTTGGGTATAGACTTGCTCCTAAAACTTTAACCGGGACGCCGACGCTAACGCCGACGCCGGGGGTATAGCATAAGCTCATCTCAACTTCGTCGAGGTGAGCTAAAAAGTACTTCTCCAGCTTTTGTGTTACAAAATATTCTCTCTAAATGAACAGTGTTCCTAAAGTTTTTAAGTTGAACTTTCTCAAAATCCAGCTTACTGTTTTGTATTCATTAAGTTCTTGTTGAAGTGTTATAATTTCTGCTCTCAGGGCAGCCATCTGTTTAGAAGCCTTGTCTTGATTGGCTATGACCTTATTCTTAATGTTACGAGCTCGGTTAGCGTACTTAAGAGTGTTTAGTGTCTCTACAAAGTCTCTGTCTGAGGGGGATATACAGGCAATCATCAGTGTCCGACTGGAAAATAAAGAAGTCTAATAGGTTATCTCACAAAAACAATAGATTGAAGCATACATTGTAAAAGAGAATTCTCTCAAAATATGCATATGAATTGTACTGTTAAATCTGCAGTCAACTTATGCATTCTCTTCCTACCTGTTTCCACCCAGCGAGTCCTGCAGTAATCGAGTTAACTTGGAGTCCCTGTATGGAACATGACAACCTTTTTTGGCCTTGTCTCCAAGAGCTGAGATCACATTTCCTAAGGCAAGCTAGTATGAAAGGAACAAGATTTATGAAATATTCTTTACTTTGACTTACATGTACATTATAATGAGTAACTGTCTAACAGACCATTTAAGTATGAGCTATTTGACAAAGGAGTGGAAGAAATTTTTGTTCAAAGGTAAAATGATAGCAAAACACTTGAACAAATCTCAATGTCTCAGACCTGCATAGTTCCAGTACATATGTACTCACCAGTCCACAGTTGATAGAGATTCCCTCCTTTGCCCTGTCCCCCGTGGCTCCTGTTCTCTTTAACCTCTCTGACCCCGCAAGATCCACAAAGTGGAATTTAGCTGTCAGTGTCTCAAACTCATTCAGGGCATCCGAATCCTTGCCCTCCTCCATGAGATTCTGTAAAAAAAAAAAATATTTTACAGGCATTTTCATTATCAAATAAAATATCTTATGCTGAATCAAATATTATCTTGTAAACATAATTTTTTTCATTTTAATGTACAAGTTGAATTTTTTTTATTGTTAAATGAGTAAGTGTGGTTCAGATGAATAAAAAATATTTTGTAACATATAAAATCTTACTCATACATGTACCTGGATAATTACATCAGGATGCATATATTTCAAAAATAATTGGGGGGGGGGGGGGAATTTAAGTGTAGTATTTTAGGGATTTTTTGGGCAGAGTTTAGGAATACCTCATCATGAACCATTCTCTGTTGTTTGATGTGTAGTGTAAATATAGCATGAGATCTGGAAGACTGCGAATTCATATTTGTACTGGCTGTGGCACGAGATAGAGCACCATTCTTTAAACACTCCATTGTCTGTAAAACACACAACAAAATCAATTGTAAAATAGCTTTGCCAAAGACTCTCCTGCTCTGTCAATAGAGTAACAGCTGTGATTTACGGCTCTAATGAAACACAGAACACGAGCATGTAATAGATTGGAGCTCATAAAATCAGATTGAAGAGAAATCAATCTGTATAATAACAAGTGAGATAGGAATCTGTGTAATAACAAGTGAGATAGGAATCTGTGTAATAACAAATGAGATATGGAAAGAGGAGATTAATAATGTTTATAATCAGTGGAAATCTTTGTTGTATATTGAATTGAAAAGAATGACAAAATAAACCTACATCTTGCAGGGAGTGGACAGGTCGTGTTGCCACGCCCACCATGTATATTCCTCCAGTAGCATCCTCATGGATCTTTATATGGGATTTCCTCATCTGAATCAAGAAACAAATAATAGCACTATGAAACACATTTTGCTAAACTTACATTGATTTTGAGAGACTTATCATTTCATGATTCTAACAAAACCTCACCCGTGATTCTGGGTCTCTTGTACTGTCCAATAAATCTAGGATTTCTTCATTATACAGCTACAAAGACATATTTCGAGTAATAAGTTTTTTGATTATCCACAGTGTTTCCTTTCATCATATAACCTGACTATATTTTTTGGTTTTCATTTCAAAAAAATCAAAAATCAAAGAGGACCTAACTGACAATATCAAACCATGTTCTGACTGACCTCAATAAACTGGGCATTGACTTTGAAATCAGGAGGAGGGATGTTCTTTTCCTTGGCTTTCTGTTTGCACTCCTCAATACCCTTAAACAGGTGGTCCACAGCCCGTGGAATGATCCCCACTTCATTCTCTGGGAGATTCACATCAAACCCTGTCCCCATTGTGTACGTCTTACCCGAGCCCGTCTGTAATATTTAAGTATGTATTAAAGCATATGTACCTGCAACTCCACTTTCATTGCTTCAGTATATCCAGACAGGTACATGTACTGTCAAAATAGATTACATGTACATAGCTAGTTTCTTATACCTAAGTGCTTTGAATATTAAAATTTGAATAAGATAATGATACTTTCAGTATGCTATTATAAGACCTCAATATGAGCAAACATAACATTTCTCTCTCTCTCATTCTCTCTCTGACATAACATCTGTCACTAGTTCTTTGTTTCATAAGACTGTTCAATAATAGATGCTTAAATTGCATGCACTATGCTGAAATCAACCTTGTTTCTGAATGAATTAAAGCTGTAACACAAGAAACAGTTTAACTTGAAACATTTGAAATATCATAGTCATACAAGAAATGCAAATAGAATCAGATGCCACATTTGACTCTACTAGCATCAATCATCCTGATCTCCCTGGACCAAATCTTAAGGGCACTATCAGAGAAATCCGAGTCAAGATTAGGCAAAGTGACTTTCATGGACTGAGATAAAGTCACTCTGAAGAAAAAGTCAAAACTATTTATAACTTGGAGAGCTTAAAAAAAAATGGGGAAAAGTGACTCTTCATTAGGAAAACAGGAAGTTGACAGCTTGCATTTTGTCTCCCCTGAATTATGTAGAAGAAGAGATTACTAAATTTTGTCTTAACCAATCAGAAAAGATGATGCCAAGTTAGAACCCAGAATGCTTTTAAAAGTAATAAACTTTACTCTCCCAAAAACATAAAGAAGAAAATTTGTACCAAGTTTTTAACCTCACCTGTCTTATGGATAATTTGGAGAAGAGTTGCAAAGTTGCATGAAGCAGGTGATGAGGCATAACTCAACATTGGAAAAATTTTGCATAAAAGTTTCTTGAGACTACATACATTTGTGTATAGCCCAGGTAAGTAAAAACTATACACCACTAAATTTCAATAGAATTCTTTCCCAGTTGCCAATAATCTTATGGTGTACTTCTTCATATATAAAGATATAATTGATATTTATATTAAAGGAATTTCTGACATTTTTTTTACCCATTACAGATCCTACTACAGGATAACTAAAACAACTATCCACATAACTTCATACCTCATGTACATTTGGCATATTTCAATGTAAATGTATATATCACTATATGTTTAGTTTTTGCATCTAAAAGTACTGCATCCCTCTCTTTCTATAAATTCAATTTGCACATTCACTCACTAATCAGTGATTATTTCAATCTAATATCTGTATTCTGTACGCTAAATACTTATCTAGACAAGAAAATTTATCTGCATTAATTGGAACCATTGTAATTTATTTGATAAAAGGCATTTTTCCACAGGAAAAAGATGGATAAGAACTAAAATAGCATATATGGTTTGAATTATTCCCAATCTGTGATTGCATCCTGTTGTATGGGTGACATGATGTAATGACTAATAGTACCGCTGCTGGCATATGAATTGATCGACATCAGCAAAAAACAAGGAAGCTTCAGTAGAGCCATTTATACATACCATCTCAGAACCAAGTCAGAACAAAAATCAATGGATGAAAGCTTTATCAAGGAGATGCTCTTCTTTCTGCACATTTAGGCTATTGTGCAGCCTATTGTGCTGCATTGCCTTTAATTTCCCATGATAATTCTAATTTGAAATGTTGAGATAAATATATTATTCATATTGATATGACTGCACAATGACCCAGTTTATGCCCATCTATCAAGAAATGTTTTTGCCCAAACTTCTGCATTCAATTTTTTGACATTTTACTATTGCATGTTTATAACCTGTTACCCTGTGGTATAGTTTGTCATTATCTTGATACTTGCAAAGAAACAGAATTCAAAATATTTAAATCAGGTATTTTAAATGTAAGATAAATTCAGTCTCACTATACAGCTAGCACAGAGATACATGTATAAGCAAAGCTTGTCTTGTACATTTTGTACTTGTTATATCCTTTCCAGCTTACAAGTGATGAGTAATATATATGTAATATATATGTATATACATGTATATATTATTCATACTCTTAATATAAAAATCAATACTGACTACATGATATGCACGGTCAATGAAAAGCTCTATAATGATGTCCCTGAGATCAAATTAACCAAATATATGGATTCCTGAACAGCACAGAGCAAGTATAACATAGCTGTCATAGCTCAGAATTGGCAAATAAACAATGGATTTATGGTCATTAGTTTTACATTATGGTTATCTTAGGAGAGTCCATTTGTAAATTCTCTATGACAAGCAGCGTAAACAGAATTATTTGTTTACCATGTAAAATAGGCCTCTAGGTATAAATCTTGATAGGAAGATGAAATGCTTTTTAAATTTACCTTTTCACATCAAAAGAGACTATAAACTAACAACCAAGATCACCTAAGTGTCAGCAAATCACAATTAGTTCCACTATTCAAAGAATTAAATAAGGAAAAAAATTAACAAAAACAAAAAACAAAACATATTGCTCCATAATTATTCATTATTTTCAAGCATTAAATAACATAAAAAAGTCCTTTAGAAGGAGACATAGATTTAAAAAAAAAAAAAAAAGTATAATATACTTTTCTATGGAGCTACATTATTTTTCAAATAAAATCTACAAAGTTTTTATACCCACTATGTAATATGTTGTACAATGAATGAATTTAAACCCATCTCAATGTTAGGTGGATAACCTCTCTACATAGAATGTAAATGCTTTAATATATACAAACTTTACACTTCATTCAACTTCACACATAGTTGTCAATTAAAATAAGATCTTATATAGGTATAGAGGTTGGATAAAAAATTCATGTTTTAACACATTTAAAATGTGAAACAGACCTGTATCAATATATTTCTAAACCCATTTATCACCTTCTGCAAATAAAAACCTACCTGGCCATAGGCGAATACTGTCGCATTGTAGCCATCAAAACACCTAAAAAAGATAATATATTGCTTAGGCGAAGAAGCTGTGAGCTAGTAGGTAACGTGTATCATATGTATGCAAATCTTTAATTAAATGCTATAATTTTAATTTCCTTACTCCACAATGTTTACTTTTGCTGTCTTCTCAAAAATTAAGCTATATGAATGGTAAAAATGTATTGTAAAATTCATGTATCCCAAAAATTGTTTTTTCCCCCAATAAACATACAATTTCTATGCACATTTTTAAACATTAATCATAATTGTTAAAAAAAATTTAATGTATTTTCACACAAAGATGGCATATAACTTGAGACCATATAGAATATTTCAATACCATTTCCATATATTCTGCAAAAATTCTTTATTTCATAAGATTACAAAGAAGATGTATTTTCACTCTGTCAGATTCCTGCTGAAGTAAATAAGTTCTTGATTTTTGAGATTAATTAAAGTATTTGACACAGAATTGAGTAGGTGTGCATGTCTGCAAAATATTACGACAACTATGCAGACATTTCCGGAACATTTTTGTTTTTGTTTTTGTGGATATATAATGACAGGAAACCTATGTGTTCATGTGCTTTGATGTCCTTACCCCTCAATGAGAGCTCGTACGCAGTCACCATATATAGTTTCCTGTAATGTCGGCATGTCAAACACGTAATCGTAGGTAAAACTTTTGTCTTTTCCCATGATGACCTGAGTGGCGTCCACGGTGGTGCAGACTTGACACATGTCAATCTTCTCCTTGGCCAGCTGGGGGCGGATCCTGAAAAATTTAAAAATCAATCTATCAAAATTTAATAATACAAATTCTGAAAATTGACTCTTTAACCATCCATTATTTCAATTCAATAGTATCTACCCCTTTAACATGTTAATAAAATACCTGCCAGAGTGCCAGTTTATATGAAAGAATAAACATCATCAGATCTTCTCACAATCTCTTCCCTCAAAATTTATAAAAAATTTTACTAAATTCTAACAAAGAAACACATCATGTACCAAAAAGAAAGAAAGAAAAAAGAAATTAAGAAACAAGATGAAATAACTAAATAGCTAATGTGTAAATCATATCTTTTTTTCTACCCATATTAATTGCTGCATATGCAGATTTTCACTGCCAGAATTAACATAACACAGACCAAGTTACACTTAAGGCCTTTTTTGGCCCTGTGAAGCTACAGAGTACAGACACTCACTACACAGATGTTTTCAATTCTTTTTTTTTGGTGGGGGGGGGGATACTGCTAAAAATGATTCTTAACATTGTATACTTTTTCCATCCATATATTAAATACTAATATAGTAAAACATGCTGTAGCTAAGTGCTAGGGACAATCAACTTTGATTCCTTAAAAACATGATTCATTATATATAAAATGTGTTTATTATGTATGTTTAACAACTACAGCAATGAAAATCACTTCATTGTAAGTGTAAATTCATTATAAGAATCTTAGCTGTAACTGCATTTTACTGTATCACTTTATATTTGACAGTGTGCACTTGAATCTCTAACAAGTAAATATATGCTTATTAAGTATTCTTTCTCTTGGACAAATGAGAAGTCCTAGCTAGTATCTGCATATATATTGCTGCTAATGATAAAAAATGCTTAAAATGCACACATATGAAAATGCAATATAGAAGAGTGCCAAGTTGATTCAATTTATATGTACCTTAATATGCTTGCAGAGAAAAAAAAAAAAAAAGAAAAAAAAGATTTAAGCAGAAATAAGTCATCTAATTGTATCTATCTAGCAGGTATATTTCTTGAACAAGGGGGTACATGATTTTTTAAGGTCATGGTAAGGTGCCCACCTTTTGAGGTCAACAGCGAGTAACTAGTTCAAAATCTTGATACATCATGTCAATCTTTCTGACCTCAGGCTTCAAAAGTGATTTCAATTTCTTTCTTTACAATCAAAGTTAAATGAAATTGGGGTATTAATAATCCCCTACAGCTGGATTATATTTATCATCTTAATAAAATCCTCATTTCAAAACTGTTTAAACAACTTCTTAATTCTCTGTTACCTACATGTAGTAGTCTATATCTACAAAGTGAATGTTCTCTTACATTAGATAACAACTGCTAAGACACTCTGAAAAAGTGGAGGGTTTTGCAAACAAACCTAAGAGTGAATTGAATACTCATTGTGTAACATTTATTTTGGTATGTAATCCAACATGCTTTCAAACACTGTAAAATCAATTTAATGTCTTAAAACTATGTAGGTAACTTGAAGGAGCCATGACCACTATTCAGTATTTATTTTTGGATACTCTGATGGTAAATATTGGTCTTCAATGAACTCAGGGGTGTGCAATTAGCATCGCCCGACGCCCGGGGCTACCATTTTTTGGGGTCGGGCTAGTAGTTTTCTGCACAGAGGTAGCACCTTGGGCTAGTAAAAATTAAAACTACCAATGTAATACATGAAAATCACTATCGGTATTTTCTCTCATTTTTGGCTATAAAATTCTTAAGCAATGAAAATTTTTCGGCAGCATGCGCCTATTACTCGTAAATCTACATAATATTATCCATTTTGCAGTACTACCTGACTTATTTACTTCCAAAAACGATCGTTTTTATCTAATTCGAATTTCCTCTATTCCTCTGTTTATGGTAAATACGCATGCAGATATCTCATTAAATTATTTACGATCACTCAATCAATTGAAAGATAAGTGTTATGTGGTTTGCATAACATATACTCCAGCGTATTTAATGATTTAAGATGAAAAAAATGATTGTCATTTCATTTTAGATAGGATAATTGATTTAAATTCATTTTTATTTTCTATCATAATTATTAATTTATACATGATTTAATTTTACTAGTGAGAATTAAAAAGAATCACATTAAAACCCTAGCTGACTTTTTCAACAATAAACTATTTTCTTTTAATATTAGAACTTTGTTACCCCCCCCCCCCCCCCTTTCCCCTACATTTGGGCTAGTAACTTTATTTCTGCCACTAGCCCATGGGCTAGTGCTGAATTTTTTTAATTGCACACCCCTGGAACTTCCTCTAAAGCATGGCAATAATACAACCTCATTTACTTTGATGGTCGATCAAACATCTGGACAAACAACAACATGGTTAAATCCTTAAATAGTTAAATATCTGGTGACTAAGTCAGAAGAAAAACACCATTTAGTAGCCTACACCTCTAGAGACCTCTAGTATAATTCACAACCTTTGTTTCTTTTCATTACATGGTACTTTTACATGGCATGTCAAGTTCATTAACACAGGGTTGAAGATCTGTAGATATTTAGTGTATCTCTCAATCCCTTGGGCAACAAGCACTGTGTTTAAAACACAGAACAGGTATCTGAATGTATTTCCACCTTCATTTGCTTATGTTACATACATACAGTTTTTTTTTCCTTTCAATTGTCTCACATGGCCACTTTTTTGTCTTACATTTGTATCTATATACTATAAAATGATGGTACACAGTAAGTAATTCTTGTCTTGCAAGAGATTAAGAAAAGATGCTTGTCAATTACTAAATTTGGTTTATTACACAAGTGTGGTGTTGTGCAAGGAAATGTGTTGGCAATATAACATGAGCCATCTGTATGATATATGTTAGCTAGAGTATATATTGCAGTTTTAAGTGTTAGTGCCATTACACAAATCTGCCTGTGTAAGCATATCCATAATAATTTTATGATGTCAAGGACAATATTTAATACAAACACCAAAACAAAAAGATGTTCCAGTGAATGTTTTCTGAAACAGCTTCCTCTATATATCATAGATTTTGTGCTTAGTATAACAACAGTATACATAAGGACATTGAATTCATTGCAGCTTCTCCATATGTTTCATAAATATTTATGTACATAATAAAATGATCTTGATATCCATTTCTTTCCCTTTTTTTCAGTCCTTATTTTGAGACCAGATGGAATTCTTCATCAACAACACATAAAATCTAAACAAATGGGGGTAAACCCAAATGGGTATGTGTGAATCTTTCACATGAAAAAATGATTTTAATATTTCCAATTTGGCATGTTGTTCCCAACATACAAATAACTTCAGCACTGGATTTGATTGACTACAGGGATAAGGATTATGAAGATGTGGACAAAACTTTCAGATTACTGTAGCATACAGAGGAATGTTGAGAGACAGAGGTCATCATACAGCTGAACTTAGGAATTCTCAAACACTATTATGTCAGATATATATGTCAAAGTGGATCGGCCACCCTGACCTTATTAAGAATTAGTGAATTAATTTTGAGATTTCCAACTCCCTGATATCTGGAATTTTTCACTACTCTTGCATGTTCTGGACTTCAAGACAAATTGCATACACAATTCTTAAAATTAAGGATTCAGTCTGCAATTAACCTCATTTTGACTTGTGTACACGGGCAGGTTCTTTTCTTGTTTTGGGAAATTCAAAAAGATTCAAGTTAGTGACTTATGGTTTACAGAACTTTATATGTTTACAAAGGTATCTTAAAATTAAGTTTCATCAGCTTATTACTCTGCACCTCCTATCAGGGTGTATCCCATATCTCAATGTAAAATCTCAAAGTAAAATATTCAAAATAATAAAAATTTTAAATGTTTAATATATTTGGGGGGAAAATACATTCCAGATATTTTAACATGTTTAACAGGGGGAAAGTTTTGTGCAATGACATTAACATTCATCAGCAGGTGCATAGCTGCCAATATGATATCAAGTACGCAAAGTGCATACAAATCATTTTCCCACTAAAAAAGAAAAATTAGTAGAGAGAATTATAGTTATTCAGAGAAAAAAAGTACCCTCCAGCAAAAACTGTGTTTTAAATTATTTTGACAGTGTGTCATATTGTTTCAATTCAAATTTTATATTATCATGTCTCTATAATCAAAACTGAAATCTTTTATTGCATCATTGTTAAAACCAAATAAATCATGATCAAAAGTTCACAAAGAAGAAATGATCGAGGTACCAAAATGCTCAACAGTTAATTAGCCCGCATAATCCTTTCAGGTAATCTAGATATGATAAGCGGAAGCAAAATCAGGACACAAATATAAAATCAAGATTTCTAAAAGGATAGAAGACTTTCAATTTCCACTGAAGTAGGAATCAAAATCATGTTCGAATAAATTAAAATCTGAAGTGAAAATAGTTTTTTCATTTGATTCTGAAAGCCAAAAAACAAAAAACAAAACAAAAAAAACAGAGAATAGATGATATATACCAGAGACATATATGTCTCTGTATATACCAAAATATCTGTAATATTCAGCCTCAACTATATGTACAAAAAGGCTTTATGAGAGTATTAACTTTCCATTAAAAACAGCATCATTCAAAAAGTCTTATAATTTCTAAAGAAAAGTGAAATTGCATGATTATTTGCAAGAAAATGAATGAAATATTTGGTAAAACGCAGAGGCTCCTGGTGACTTTGCCCCTTGAGCCCATGTCAGGGCTACACCCTGGACCCACTGGGGGCCTCAAAGTGGCCCCCAGACCCCCTGCCATTCTCTGCATACACTTCATTTCCATTCTGGCTATGCACCTGTGGACTTGTCAGTACCCTGGTGCACTGAGAGAAATATTCATGTCTTCATAATTATATTGAATTTCTCTGTGTCAACAAAACATGTCAAAAAATGACGCCTTGTTTCTGGTCAATATCAATGCACATTATTGATATCTTTGAGGGTTTTTCAGTTTTCACAATATGCCTTACAGCTTCTTATCAAGAAATGTGTGCGCCTTCCAAAGATATGCTGGTGCTCAGTCATTGGAAATGAAGTTTCCAACGCTTACTAATATTCATCAACACTTTTTAAAATCAATGATGTAACTACAACAGAACATTTCAATTTGTTCATAAACCATCTGTCCATAACACTGTTCACTTATGGTACATCAGTTTTTTATCCCCTGAGAAAATTCGAACGTTTAATGGTAAACTGGTATGATAATATTCAAATTTGCTAGTTGTACAGTAAAAATACATTGAAAACAGGGAGCACACTTTTAAAAAAGAAAGTAAGAAAGTTTATAATACCTGAGTGCAACTCGCACACTGCTATCATCTTCCTTAGAATCTTTGCTTTCCGTCATCATTGCTGTCTGAGCTCAGAACGATTCATAATTTCCCACCTGTGAATGAAAACACTTTCCACTGCGACTCTGCCGTCATAGACGGCCTACACTGGGTTTTCACATGTTACAATCTGTAAAAATTTGCAATAAATTTCTTCAATAAGTTGATTCATAGTAATCTGTGAACAGTTCTCACTCTGTAACCGATTTCCCCGTCTATCAATATTTTTTTTGAGCATCTGCAGTGACCCCTGTCGGAAGTGCTTATTAAGGGAGGCTACTCTTAGAATTGCAATGACGACTGCAGATTTTTTTTTTATCTCGTTAGTTGTTACAGTAACTAACCATGCCAGATAAATAATGATAAATCTCTCAATAAACAGTAATATGCAGGGCACTTGATATTTTGAATTTTAATATTAAAGAATCTATATAACTTTTGGTATTTACTGGTGTTTCAAATATAGCAATTGAAGGGGGGGGGGTAAACTTATGCTGTTTATGGCGTACTTAAAAATGCGCTCTCATAATCCTTTTTATAGAAATTAGAAAGAGGAAGGGCTGACTGTGTTTAGAGCAGTGTTAAGCTAAGAATGAGAAATACAGCTGCATGGTTAGTATTACTATAGTCAGTTACGAGTTACGGAACGCTTTAATAATTTCAACTGCTTGAAGTAGAAACAAAATAAAATTGATGCAACGCATCAAATCGGCCGCAAACATAATTAAGCATTTAAAAAAATCGCTTTCACAAGGAAGCGTCCAAAAGAGCGCAAACTATTTCAGGCTGTCTTCAAAAAAAAAAAGTGCCATTCGCAGCTATAACATATTCAAAAGAAATTGTACTGGTTCTATCAACTTTTCAATTTTTATTCATCCCTATTAGTATCCGGAAAATCTAAGGATTCATATCTTACACACTTCTATGTTGGTGAGTACCTTTTTTTAAATAAAGTTATAAAATAATAATTATCTGATGAGAAAATGAAAATGAGTTTGACAAATATAACAGCAAATAAGAATTAGTTTAAAGCAAGTTTTTAAAATATTTTACTCATACTATTTTATATGTTATCATCAACGAATTATAGGCTACTGATATTTTAACGATCTAATTTAAAAAAAAAAAAAGAAAGAAAGAAAAAAAAACTATCATTTCCCCATGTGCACATTGTATCAAATCTGAGTTGTCTTTCTTTGTTCTTGAGAGTTCAATTCATTGTTTGTTGCGAGAACTTAAGGATTCATGCTACAAACATACAAAAAAAAAATTGGATGCATGAAATGTGAAGCTAAGGAAGTGACCATGCTTAAAAGTCCATTGAAACAATATAAATTGTGAACAGAGCCTCTGAAAACAGAGGTTGAATCAGGTGCAATGGACGAGTGAGCATCCCATGTAGACGGGACACACCCGCCATGTGGCCCTTCATGACTGGTTAAACGAGAAAAAAAGTACACAATTTAGTACTAATGTGAAAATAATGGCTGAACAATTTGTGTGAATTCGACCTAATGATAGACTGTATTTGCTAGGGCTGGGTATTGGCCAGAGATTTCGTATTGCGATATATTGCGATATTTTTAACTGTATTGCGATATGTATTGCAATATTTTCAACGAAAATTAAAATGACATTTTCTTATTATATTAACTTCAATTTACATGCAGAATGTACATAACTATGATAAGTAACCAAAAGGAAAAAAAAAATCTTGTTGATTTAATTACAGTTATACACTGAAATACACCCATACAACAGCTTCTGTCTTACTGTTTGGCTTAATCACAAACCTTTCTGACAACTTGTCTTTATATTTAATGATAGAATTCCCGAGTCCAAACATTTTGCCGGTTTATCGGTATTACAACAAGAGGCCCATGGGCCACATCGCTCACCAGAGCACATTGGCTAGGCAATAGCACAAATCAGTTCAGTATTGAAAAGATTACCGGGAGAAGGGGGGAAGGCTTGAATTTAAAACTACCTGATGATGCTTCCATGTCAATATAACAAATGGCTTTGTTGCGCTTGAGAAGGTTTTAAAAAAAGCCCATATATTCCTTTGTAAAAATTTAATCCCCCATTGTGGCTCCTCCCTATCCCAGGGGTCATCATTTGAAAAAAAAACTTGAATCTACACTATCTGAGGATGCTTCCATATCAATATGACTAAACATAGCTTTTCTGTTCTTGATAAGAAAATTTTTTTTCTATATGTTCTTATGTAAAACTTTTGATCCCCCATCGTGGCCCCACCCTACCCCCGGGGGTCATCATTTGAGCAAAATATTGAATCTACACTATCTGATGATGCTTCCATATCAAAATGACTAAACATGATTTTCCGTTCTTGAGAAGAAGATATTTTCCTATATGTTCCTATGTAATCTTTTTCCTCCATTGTGGCCCGATCCTATCCCCGGGGTCATCATTTTAACAAACTTGAATCTACACTACCTGAGGATGCTTCCATATCAAAATGACTAATCATGGCTTTGCAGTTCTTCAGAAGAAGATATTTTGCTATATATTTCTATGTAAGACTTTGATCCTCAATTGTGGCCCCTACCCCCGGGGGACATGATTTAAACAAAATAGAATCTACACCCTGAAGATGCTTCCACATAAATATGACCATTCAGGGCTTTGCTGTTCCCGAGAAGAAGATTTTTAAAGATTTTTCCTACATATTTCTATGTAAAACTTTGATCCTCCATTGTGGCCCCACCCTACCCATGGGGGTCATGATTTGAACAAACTTGAATCTACACTACCTGAGGATGCTTCCATATAAATATGACTCATCATGGCATCAGCCCTAGTATTTGCAGACAGCGTCTCATATCGACCATAGAATTTGTGAAAAGTTGACTTCAAACGAGATTGTTGATATCCTTGATTTATCAACCTATTTGTCAGAATCCTAGCTCATTTTAGAATTTGCTCGTACGAAGAACACTAGGAATCAATTAGGAGAAATAAACCCCATATGTAGGTGTTAATGGCATATTGCAATGTAAATAAGGAAAATTGACGATAGAAAAGTTGAGGTCATCAAGTTTGATATTTGGCTCATGTATTCCTTGGAAGAATGGCTTTCGTGAAATACCAGGGTTACCGACCTCGTGCCCTTTGAACTTGATCTTTGACCTATACTTTTCAAAATACATCATAGTACCGATATGCAGATATTCTTTGATTTTTTTTAGAAGTATGATTGTGGTATTTGGCAAGTGCACTACTTTTCATAAGACATGTTAAAAAATATCAGCGTTACAGTCCACCTGACCTTGACCTTTGGCCTACTTTCAACAATACTTTGAACCGCGTTGTTATATGTCTTATGAGTTTTGAGAAGAATGGCTTTATTAACTAGCATTTATAAACAGGTTTATATAATATACTGATATTTTCTTTCAAATTGAATTAATGACCGTAACCACACAAACTTAAATTTTAATTCATTCTCTTATCAATGCCTTCACTGAATGTAAAGATACTACTCAGAAGGGAAATTCAACTCTGCCTATCCAGTTTGTTTTAATTGAATAGGAAGGGGGTTTTTTGTTTTTTTTGTCTAAAAGTTTAACATTTAAAGTTTTGATGTAAATACATTGGTTTTTTCAGGTGTTTTCCCCCCACAGACACCTGAATCGTGGATAGCATACATTTCTTCATACCCCCCCCCCCGCCATCAAAATGTAACGAGTCTCTATTTTCTCGAAAATATGTAATTTTCCCGTCAATTCCATCTATATGTTATTTGTGCAATCGGTTTGTCCTTTTATTAAGGTTTAAAATTTGGCCATATGCGGTATCTAAGGTATAACTGTCTAAATTTTGGTTTTATAATGTGATAAAGCAATTGGTTTGCGTGATAATTTACATAAACGCCAAAGGCGTATATGCATAAAATTATCACGCAAGTCAATTGCTTGATCATCACGATAAAACCAAAAACTCTGACAGTTATTTCTTATATTTACACTCTTGATTCACGTGCCTTGCTGTTTTGTTGAACATATGTCGTGGAAAAGAGTTTGGGAATTGCAGGTGTAAAACACCTGTGTTAAAATTCTGTTGCTTTCTTTAATACTGACTTGTAATGAATGAACTTGTTTTTGCATACAAACTAATTATGTGGAATTAATACACATCATACATAATGTGTACAAAAAAATGCGATTATAAACGCCAATTTTATTCTATAAAAAATGCAAATTTTATTGCATATAAACACAATAAAAAATTTTTCCCCTCTGAACGGACCACAGCAGGTTTCCGTACTTGCATAAACTTACCCCCCCCCCCTTTTGTTTTTTTGAGAATACGATTACGGATAAGAGATATTTTTTTTATATTCTGTTAATTTGTATCGTTACCATTATACTTAATTGATATTCTAAAAAAATTCTGATGTATTCATTCTTTTTTACTATAGACGTTAATGACCAACCAATACGTCTTTCAACTGATTTGGTACTCGGGGGAATGGTTTAATCTGATTTAAAATGGTAAAATGAAATGATGATACACATTGTTTAGATTCCATGTAGTTAGATCTGTCTAGACCACTTTAAATGTACCTGATTCAAGGAAACTTATATAGACAAGATCGGGATAACAGTGTAAGAAGGGTGACATTTTATGTCTTCGCGGCCATAAACAGAGGAACATAGGCTTGTGACGTCAAGGGGATATATATTTTTTTCCCCAAAAAGTTTCAAATCCGATATTCAGAAGATTATTAAAATACTGATTGAAACAGCACTAACAAACAAGAAGAAACTGTGGTTGCACTTTGATCCAATAATACAAGACCGTGATTTTGAGTCTGCGCATTCTATAAAAAGTAGCGTATGTGCAAACAACAAAGGGTGAAAGAAATAAGACCAAAGAGGTATCCGAATAACAAGACAAAAGGTTGGCGACTAATTAATTTATTCAACAGAAAATATAATCATGAAGAGAATCAAAGGCCTTTATCCCTATTGACATATAGAGGCATACCCCAAGTTCGTCTGTCAGATATTTAGCGATCTAAATGCCTTGGCCTGTAGAGGGAATTAAAGACATATTAATTCCAGAAAGGTACATGTGTCACATAGCATTAAAATATATTTGATTTAATATGAGAGTCATGTATGAAGTACGTGTTTTCGCTTTTTTTTTATTTGGATGTTCTGAAAAATTGGTAGATGTCAGATAAGAAAACATAACTTTTGTACACATGAACGTGATGGGAGTAAAATTACTGGT